AAGAAGAGAGATGTTTTTCATCAAATGAACCGCTTTTGGGCGGAATACCAGTTTATTTCCGGTCGAGAAAATAATCCGAGGAGGCAATTGCTCAATGGAGAAAATCAAACACGTAGTTGGACAAAAGAATTCTGTCGTTCATCTACCTTCTCCGCTTCGGGAGAGAAAGTAATACCTTTGTCAGAACTTGATCTCAAATCTGGCTACACTTTTCCTGCTCAATCATGACCCCTTTTGGAATTTCCAGTAGTTCCTGAAGTGTAAAGTATGTAGGACAGGTTACTATTTATCTGGGCATGCTCCGAATTTAAAAGTTATTTGTTGGATGGAGATTTAAAAGATGGGAAGTTGAGGCAGAGTCAATCTCCCACAATTGCCAAGTTTCCATTTGAAGTGATACTTTTCCTCAGTACGGCACCGTATTTCTCACTGGTCAGTAAAATCTTTGCTTTTGTATCTTTTAAAATGAAGCTGATCCTCTCCGAGGGGAATTCTGGGTCGATGGGAACATACGCAGCTCCTGTTTTCCACACGGCGAGAATTGAGCTTATCATGGGCTCGCTCTTATCCAAGAAAAGTGCGATGATGTCGTCGGGTTTGGGGTCAAATTTAGAAAGCAGATAATAAGCGAGTTGGTTTGCTTTAGAGCTGAGTTCGCTATACGTAGTTTCTCCGTTCTCTAAAGAAACTAAAGCTGTTTTGTAACCAAATTTGGTTGCAATTTCATCAAAAATTGAGCTTGGTGTGTTATCATCTTGCGATGGTTTAGTATTTCTGGTCAGTAATGATGCTGTTTCTAATTTTCCGACTGGATTTACATCAGAAATTTTGACTCCGGCTTTCACCACCATGTTTGAAAAACTGCTCAAGAACGTGGGCATAAGTTTTCAAGAAATTTTCTATTGTGGCGTCGCGAAATAGTTTCGTGGCGAATGTAGCAGTTCCCTCGATGCCGGATTCTTCAACCTCCGTCATGGTGGTGGACAAATCATATTTTGCCGTTGTTGCAGAAATGTTTGGCTCGTAAGGGTTCAATTTCAGTGGATCTTGATCAGTAAAAAGTGAATGTTTCGCCATCGTTTTTGTTGGATTGAAGCTGAAATTACTTGAACTAAGGGTGGCGTGATAAGTCAATTTCTTTCGTATTGTCACTGACTAATTTGTCAAACGGCATGTCTTGATGTGCTTGAGATTGGATGATCTCCTCGCCCACGGTGCGAATATACTGGGCAAGACTTTCTTCCGGATTGATTCTGCTTCTCAAGGGGAGCAGGTTGACAAAGAATCCGATAACATTTTCAAATTCGGGGAGATTTCTGTTCGATACTGGATATCCGATGAGAATATCTTTCTGGTTCGTGTAGTAGCTCAATGTCAAGCTGTATGCGCTGATGAGAACGCTAAACATGCTTGTTTTTAGCATTTTAGACAGCTCCTTCAGCCCCCTCGTGGTCTCGAGTGAGATGTGGAAACGTAGTTCTTTTCCCTTGTAGGAAAACTTTGATGGTCGCTGGAAATCTGGGAGGAAATTTAGTGTCTGAGCCGAATCTAGCTTGTTTTTCCAATAGTTTGACAACGTTTGGAGTCTTTGTCCAGTCAGGAAATTATTTTCCCATGATGCAAATTCTTTGTAGTGAGAGGTAAGCGGGGAAGCATGTTGGGTTTTGATAATAATGTGGTATTCACATTGTTGGCATAAAGTGACTTCAAATCCCGTTGAAACACTCCCCAGGACCACCCGTCGAAGCAAATGTGGTGGAAAACGAGACACATTATGGTCGTTGGTGTGTCTTCAATCTCGTAAATCGTCACTTTGAGGGGAAGTTCTTTATCCAAAGAGAAAATATATTGCGACGCCTTGGTCAACCCTTGACTTAATTGGGCATGATTTCGACGCGAATCGTATCAACGGAAAAGAGACGCTCAGTGACATCTTCCTCTCTGATAATAACCTGCGCTTTATTACTTCCTGTGAGAATCAGAGTTCGTAGGATTTCATGTCTCTTGATAACCGATCTGATGGATTCTTGCAGAATTCCCAAGTTCACCGTTTTTGACAGTTCGAAATAGAACGGGACGTTGAATGCAGAAGTTCCATTTCCATCTCGTTTTAAAACAGTAATCGTTTCTGTGCTAAGGAAAGCTCAAATGTGACCTCGGATGGTTGAGATATCGTTGAAATTGGGGCATCTGGCTTCATCTTGCTTTCAATGAATTTCCTAAACCTTGGATTGTCCTGTGCTCAAAAATGTGCTGACTTGGATCGACTTTCCAAACGATTTCGTCATGGTAAACGACAAGCTTATCGCTAACAAAGAATCTCCACCCAGACCGAAGAAGTCGTCAGTAATTCCAATCTGATCTTCTGGGAGTTGTAAAATCTCTCCCCAAATTGTGCACAGTTTTGTTTCAAGTTCATTTTGTGGAGGGGAAAAACCAAGTCTCTCCATCATCACGGGTTGCGACAATTGCTTCGTGTCAACTTTTCCACTAATGTTGACAGGAATCTTGTCAATGGGAACTAACCTCTTGGGAACCATGTAGCCTGGCAGCTTCGTTGCAGGTATTTCCTAATGTCAACCTCTTCCAAGTTCTCCTTAGGGACACGTAGTACCGATGATATTTTGATTACGGGAAATCACAACGCATTGCGTAATCCTTGACCCGGGAGGATATGATAACATGGCTGCCTCGATTTCACAAAGTTCTATCCGTAACCCATGGACTTTTACTTGAAAATCGTTCCTTCCCATGTAGTCGACTTCCCCGTTGGATAGGAAACGACACAAGTCTCCAGTTTTGTACAATCTTGCATTGTCCTCGTCCCCATCAGCAAATGGATTTCTGACGAATGCCTTATCCGTCAAGTCGTCCCGATTCAGATATCCTCTTCCCACGCCGACCCCACCGAGATACAAATCTCCAATCGCTCCGGAAGGGAGGCGTTGCATATTTTCGTCGAGAATGTAACACGTCGTGTTTCCCACGGGGTGACCAATGCTTTTATTCAGCCGTCTCTCACTTGGGTCGGGATAAAGTCTTTTGTGACTCGTAATCGACACCTCGGTTGGACCATAGCCGTTAATTATCAGTCCGGAAAAAGTGCTTCGAATTTTGTTGAACAACGGTTCACTAAAATCTTCCCCGACCGCGTCAATTCTTTTGAGATGGGGCAAATCCCTGTACTCGTAGAGAGAGAGGACGGAAGGCGTGCCGGACAGATAGGTGACCTTGTTGGCCCTCATATACTCATAAAGTCGGTCCTTGTCGGAACGCATTTCGTCGTTGAGGACCACGAGGGTTTGTCCGTTGAGTAAAGCGTCAACCATTTGCTCGACAAAGTGATCGAAAACGTAGTTGGAAAAGGATAGGATGACTTCGTCGTGGTTATCTTGAAGAGAGAATATTTGAGCGAGTGAATTTTGTAGGTTGACGACTCCTCTGTGCTCAATCATGACCCCCTTCGGATTTCCGGTCGTTCCTGAGGTGTAAATTATGTAGGCAAGATCTGTACAAGTGGAAACCGCGGTGGGATTTTCAGAGTCCAAATTATGCAATCTTTGCTGAGATACTTCTTCAATTTGGATTACACACTGATCTGAGCACGACAGAGTTTGTACTCTTGACGCGCTCGTTGAGTTAGTGATGATAATCTTGGCTTGTGTATCTTTTAAAATGAATTGGATCCTCTCATCCGGATAACTTGGGTCCACTGGAACGTATGCAGCGCCAGATTTCCATACTCCAAAAATGCTTAAGATCATGAGTTCATTTTTGTTTAAGATGAGAGCAACCTTATCATTGGGTCGGATGGTGGTTAAGTTTTTCAAGTAATTTGCTAACTGATTGGCCCTCTTGTTTAATTGGGCGTAAGTGAGGCTCACATTTTCATACGTGACGGCAACCTTATCCGGAAACTTGTGAGCGACTTGTTCGAAAATTTTGTGTAAAGTGCTTTCACGTGGAAATTGTTGCCTGGTACAATTGTTCCATCCGTCCAGCAAGGATTCGTGTTTGGGGAGAAGACAGTTTAATTTTGTCACAAGTTTTGACTCCGGACTGTCCACAATTTGCCAAAGCAGTTGGGTCACGAGGGCGAGTAAATCTTGGACTATTTCCAAGTCAAAGAGCTCTCCAGCGTAGCAAAGAGTAAATTTTAACCCTCCTCCTCCACCTCCTCCTTCTTTTGTTTCCAACACTTCACGAACAATTACTGCCAGCGGATAGTCTAATTTCTCCACTTCCGAGAGAAACTTAAACCCCAACTCCTTCCTTTGAAACTCCACTCTAGAATTGTCCAGATTTGGATAATTCTCCAAAACGAAGAGTGTATCGAATAGACCATGTTTTAGCCCAGTATTATTGTGCAAACTCCCCAGCTCAATATTGCTCCTGCTATTCATCTCGATCACCTTTCCCTGAATTAATTCCAACGCATCCAGCACACAAAGACCGTTCTGCTCGGCGTGATCCACGATTAACGGGAGAGTATTTATGTACAGGCCGACGGATCGTTCAATCCCGTCAATCGGTAAATTTCGCCCGGATACCGTCGTCCCCACGATGGTTTGTCGCCCTGACCCGTAAACATGGAGGACTTTGTGCCACACGAATTGCAAAATGGAGTGCAGCGTTATTCCACTAATTGTCTTCAACTTGGAAACCAACTCAGGTCCAAATTCTACTGTTTCTTGTCTCTGGTCTTGCACTCGGTCGTAGTCATTCAGTTGAGTTTGATAGCGTACTTCGTCCCTCAGAAGGACGGAGAGATTGGACCGGTTCTCAATCTTCTCGACTTGCTTGGTCCAGTGGGACAGGTTATCTTTGCGGTGGGATTGAAGATAGAATTGTGCCTGAAGATAGGCCTCGTCAATCGAGTCGCTTCTTGCACTGGGAATCGCAACGCCACTGCCGTGCAACAAATTGAGGTATTGTTCATGCACAAAGGAGAAAAGAATGGGGAAACTCCACCCGTCAATAATTACGTGGTGACAGCTGAAGAGAAGGATGAAACTGTTTTGCTTCAATTCGAAGAGATGGATACGAAATAGGGACTCGGATTCGAGGCGGTAACCTTTCTCCCGGTCGGCTTTCTGCGCCTGTGAAATTTTCAATTCTTGCTCTTCCGGTTGTAAGTCTTTCAAACTTTTATAGTTCCAACTCAACTCTTTTTCGTGGTTGACGACTTGGTAAATTTCTTTCTCAACGCGGAAATTTAGTCGGAGGGAGACATACTTTTGCTGGGCAGCTTTCCATGATTTTTTGTAGTGCAGGATGTCCAGAGGAGTCTCGTATTTGTAGAGGGACTGCATGATGTAGGCGTCATCGGGGGTATCGAGCTGCTTCATGTGGTGGTACATTAGCCCCTGCTGCAGACTATTGGCCAACAAGGAGGAATGATTTGCGGGGATGATGGTATCGTCATCTTTTGCAGAAATGGAGTCATTTGGAGCAAGCAGGTCGTTGTGATTTTCATCCTCAAGCAAACTGTCAGCCAATTTTTGTATCGTTCTCAGCTTGAATATCTGTTCTAACGTTATGTGGATTTTTAACTGTTGTCGAATCTTGGCAATTAGCTGGATGCAGGTAATGCTGTGTCCTCCCAGGCGGAAAAAGTCGTCTGTAATTCCAACCCTTGTTTTCTTAAGGTTCAAGGTTTCCCCCCAAATTTGACAAAGTTTCGACTCCATCTCATTTCTGGGAGGGGTGTAATCCAACTTTGCTTGGTCACCTCCCAAATCAACAACATTTGGCAAGGAGCGGAAGTCAATCTTCCCGTTAATCGTGACCGGAATATCTTTGACTTGCACCATTCTCGCCGGGATCATGTATCTCGGCAGGTTTTTCTCCAAATGCATGATAAGTTCGTGTTCTAAAATGTCTATTCCGTCACCCACGACGAAATAACCGACGAGATGTTTTGACGATGCGGTCGACTCTTCTTCCGACTTGGTACTCTTCACGACAATCGTGCATTTCTTTAGGCCCTCATATTTCATCACGATGGACTCGATTTCCGCCGGCTCGATCCTAACTCCACGGAGTTTGATTTGAAAATCGTTTCTCCCAATGTATTCCACTTCTCCGTTGGCCGTCCACCTGGCCAAGTCTCCAGTCTTGTACATTTTACTGTTGAATCCTGCATCCTTTTCCTCCCTGGTTTGGTACGGGTTTGGAATAAATTTGTCGTCGGTTAGGTGAGGTCGGTTGAGATAACCTCTCGAAATCCCCATCCCACCGATGTGCAATTCTCCAATAGTTTGGAGAGGAAGTTGTTTCAAGTCCTTGTCTAAAATGTAACATTTCACATTTCGCAGAGGTTTTCCTATCGTTCTGTCAACTCGAGGAGTGTCAGGGTCGAATATCTTCATCGCTGTGACCAATGCGGACTCGGTGAATCCGTATTCATTTATGATCCTTCCGTTGTAGTTTTGTCTCAATTTTTTGCATCGGGATTCTGTAAATTCTTCCCCGATTAAGATAAGTTTTGAGAGGGAGGTGCAGTTCGTCAAGTTGTACTCTTGGAGTACAGAAGCCGTCCCGTTGAGATAAGTTATTCCATATTTTTGAAGAAATTCTGGAAATCTGTCGAGATCAAGTTTTTCCTCGTCATCCACAATCACGAGTTGGTGGGAGTTGATGAGAGCGATTAAACTTTGACGAACGAAGGGTTCAAAAACGTAGGCGGAGAAGAGACAAACGACTTCTGGCTTGTTGTGCATGGAGTATTTGATGGATAAGTCGGTTATGCTGTTGACGACGCCTTTGTGTTCTTTGTGAACTCCTTTCGGTTCCCCGGTGGTGCCTGAATTAAGGACAATATTGTACTTTTTGTAATGTTCTGACGCCTGACTAAAGTATGAAAATTAAACCAGTATTAGTTACCTGAAGTGTACGTCACATAGGCAAGCTGACTGCTGGTCAATCCCAATTCTAAATTGGCGACAGGAACAGAATCCGCCTCTGTTTTTTCTAGGAGAGTTTCAATCTTGAAAATTTCTTCGTCACTACAAATTGTTCGGAGCCGATCGTAATGACGCCCATTGGTAATGGCCAACTTGGCTTTGGTATCGTCAAAGGTGAATTTTACCCTAGCGTCTGGATACGTAGGATCAATCGGAGTATATGCCGCTCCAGATTTCCAAATTGCCAAAACCGTAATGACCAGTGATTCAGATTTATCGAGAAAGAGAGCAATTAATTGTTCCGGCTGAACGCCAACGTTGAATTTTAAGTAATGGGCGAGTTGGTTAGATTTCTCGTTCAGTTGTCGATAAGTCAGGTGTACGTTTCCTTTCGGGTTTATCACGGCAATTTTGTCCGGCGTCTGGGCTGCGGCTTGTTCAAAGAGGTGATGAAGTCGCTTATCTTTGGGAAAGTCTTGGCTACCTCCGTTCCAAGAGGAGATTTGGACTCGTTGGATTTCTGGAAGAACGTTAACATTTCCGAGTGGTTGGTTAATGTCTTGGACAAATTGTTCCAAAATTGTGGTCAGTACGTCCAGCATTCCGTCGATGACGTCTTCTGTAAACAATTCTTGAGAGTACGAAATTCTGACCGAGTCATGAAGTAGGATGATGCTGATTGGGAATTTGGCAAGAATTTCGGATGCTAAAGTGTCCATTTTTTCATCGAGAAGCAATAAGCCATCGAATAAAGTGACATTCATCTCCAGAACTTGATCCATTGTTAGACTATTGTTGCTGGTCTGGGTCACAATTTCTTGTAAGGTTTCAATTATTGGTTTGTCGTTGATGTGATGATGATCCATGACAATTGGGACAAAATGATTGTCCTGTTCGTGGCCAGGTATTCCAGTCAGGACGACGGTGTAGTTTCCAGTTCCGTAAATGCTGAGGACTTTGTGCCATGCAAGCTCAACCAGGTTTGCAGTGCAGGGAATGGGAGACGAGTTTAGTAGTCGAAATTGGTCCGGTATCGTTACCTTCCTTACGCTGAGGTGGTGAGGCAGGTGTCCACTTTTTATCCCGTTTTTAGGCAGGCCATTGAAGTCGCAGCGTTCGGTGTATTGACCAAGTCGTGTTGTCCAGTAGTTCATCTTGATACCGTAAATTATTTAGTTCCAGGTCCGTTGGTGAAATTATCTGTCGGGGGAAAGATGACAATTATTCGAAATACTGTAAAGAGTTTTGAACGGATATCAGGGATTAATTTTTTTTTTGAATTTTATTGCTCCAAGCTTTCGACAGAAAAAATTTGAAATACTCGAATCTGGAAAATTAACGTAAATTATGTGAATTACCTTTTTCTCGTGTATGTATTGTGCTTAATGGTATTTTTTTAGTAGGACTTCACTAGTTGTAAGTCAGTCAGCAAAGGATAACAATTTCTTAAATGTTACAGTAAATAAGTTTTTTTATAGTGTACCAAAACTGGCGTGGGTACTTATGTATGAGTCAAGCTGGTTAGAAACGTTTCTTAGCAATTAGTTCAAGTCGAATGAACATCAGATGAAATTTGTTCGCAGTTTAAGTAACCTAAAGGTAGGTGCGGGTAGATTGGTCTAAAACTGTGATTTTAGAACATATACGAGTGATCTTGTTTTCATGGAATTAGAATGCAGTTATCTCCCTACTTTTACTTTGCATGGTAAAAAATAGTAAAAATACATCCTGCCTCGCTTGGCCATGTTTACGATATTCCAAGTATTCAATTAAGCCGCATGAATAATTACTTCAGGAAAGTGCAGTCCGTATAATTAAGTAATTTCATGAAGCACGTACACAAGTACAATTTTTTATTAGCGATACATTTGACAACAAAAACATGTAATGCAATCAAATTGGCCTGGGTGGAAAAACAGCAGCTGGATTGGATTCATGGAATTGTAAGAAGAAGGATGTACATTTTGTAATAAAAATTCATGGAACGGATTGACAACTCGTAATAAAAATTGGAATAAATTATGTGAAAATGGATTCTGTGAAGTGAAAATGAAAATAATATTGTTGGGCAATACATATATGAAAAACAAGATTATCGTCGCAAATTAATTGAAATTAAGATCCAAGAAATGCAGTTTGGATTTATTTGCGACGTGCGGCGGCTGGCATTACGGGTTAGCAAGTGCATTTCTGGTAATCACAAGTGAATTAGCATGTGGCAGTAGGACATGTCTGTTATTGAGTATAAAAATTCAGCACGTACATGTTCTGACAGTTGTTGATGTTGTCATCAACAAGGTTATTAAATGGGTCATCATTTATCCATGCAAAGTAATTCACTGAAAGAACATTACCGACTATTTACTTGCTGAGCAGCACGTCAGCACCACAAGTTCAATGCTAAATCTTAATGCACTTGCCCATAGAATCGAAATTGATTGGATGCAATATCTCATTTTTTAACGTCTGCAATTTAGATGCATTTTTTGATAATGATGAACACATGCAAGTTTTTAATTATACATGCATATTTACTCAAATTTAATCATGTGCAATTTTGGAAATAACTTGATTTTTTATAGTACCATAGTCTCAATTAAGAAAGATAACTTATTTATAAAAAACTAAGGTCCGAATTTCAATGGACTTTCTCCCACTGCCTTTCATGGATGCTTTCTCGTCATAAAAAGCCGTATGCGGAGCCAGTCCGGCCACGGATTCGCTGCAATACAGGTTTCGATTTCCGCGTTCGAGAGGAAGTGGATACGCTTCTGCCAACCTTTGACTCGCACTGTCGTAACATTTCGCCATCAGGACTTCATCCGGTGTCATGCAGCTCCAATAATACCAGGCGTGACTTCTGTTCCACTTCACGGAATAGGTTTCCTTGTCCTTCACCCACACTTCCGGATATCGTAGATCCGTCGGCATCAAATCCACATGTAAATTGAGTGACCTGAAGTCTGCCATAGTTAGCGGGTAGTCGTACACGATATTGACAATGGGTCGCCAGACGTTGATTATTTGAAAGCGATAAAATGACTGAACTTCCGGTGAGTGCAGGGCTATCCGGCCCCACGCACTTTTCGGTGTTTGGTCAACATGCGCCCGCATAACGGGGAGTCGATGCAGCCAAGTTTCCGAGTTGACTTGAGACTGTCGAATTGTGTGGTCGAACGCGACGGCCTTGTCCGCTCCGGTCACTTCCATGAGAAGCTTTTCTACTTCGGGGTAATACACGGTCTTTAGGACATCTCCTCCTGAAAGGAGTGTGTTGGATGGGACCGAAGTGGGTGAGAAAATGGCCTGGAATCCGTTCTTATCCAGGGAAAAGTTATGTTCAACGCCTCTCAAGTCGTGAATGGTTGTGGAAATGGGATCATTTTCGGCGTTCGTGATTTTATTCCCGTTAGGACACGAGATTGTGTCAATGAACCATTTCTCGGTTGTGGATGATCTGCTGTAGTTGATTGTCGCTTGGACATCGCGGCCTGGTTTGATTTTAATCATATTTCTAGAAGAGTAGCTGCAATAGACAGGATTTAGTTTCCTGAAAATATGATAAATTTTTAGTAGTGTTAAATACAACTCCAGTACTTACTTCCCGGAAGGAATTGAGCTTGTACTTTGCACAGTGTCGTATCAAACTGTATGGTAAAAATTACTGGAGACCACTAACAATTATTTATATCACTCCCATACAGAAATTGAGGTTTGGTTGTAAAGTGAGATACAAATATGCGCAAACAATTAGGCAAGGATTATGCTACTCGTCAATTTTGCATGCATCACACAGAAAGTTGAACAAATGTAAATCATTCCCGACACTGAGACCGATCTGAACTCATCACTCGAACATTGACAAGAGAATAAAGCCACATACTCATTTTAATGTAAGTCGTTATGTACACCATTGGGGAATTTGAGACAAATTATTATTTACATTAGAGTCAAACATATTTTACTCTAGATCATTTGCAAAAGCGGATATGGAACCTTCTACCACTAACGAATCGAAGGACTTGGTCGAGGGAAATTTCGTCGACTTGCATAGACTTCGAGGCCTTGGAGATGATCCAGTCTATTATCCCCCCATTCTCGAAGACCGGCCTCGTCTCTGGCCCTTGGACAAGTGGTCCTCCGCCCCACGAGATCTTGGCTACGACAATTTCGCCACTGAACACTGGAAAGGTCTCCGTCTCCTGAAGGACCCCGAGACCCAGTCCGTCTACCACAACATCCTGTGGGAAATTAAGCCCAAAACCATCATCGAGTTGGGCGTGTACAGCGGAGGGTCGCTAGTTTGGTTTCGAGATTTGACGAAAGCGTTTAAATTTCCGAGTCGTCTGATTGGAATTGATATCGATTTGTCGCGATGTCAGATACCCGAGGGTGAAATGGACATGATTTCATTGCACCAAGCCGACTGCAATAATCCAGAGTCGTTCGCCTTCTTGAAGGACAACGTCGAGCATCCCATTCTTTTCATTGATGACGCGCACTGCAATACTTTTAACGTTATAAAATATGCGGTCAATAATTTTCTAAAGGTTGGAGATTTTGTGATGATCGAGGATACGATGGGGATGTGGGGGAGGTACAGCCCAAAGCATCTGAAGTCTCATCTTGCCTCTTTCAAAGATGTGATGGCACTGGACTTGTTGTACTCCAATGTTCCATGTCAGCTCAAAGACGGTGTATTTCAAGTGATCAAGAGTAATAATTGAGCATGAAACAAGTTTTAAGAAATTTATGACTTTGTTAATGATTGTTGCATACATAATTGGTTAATTAATAAATAAATGAAGTAGTAAAATATAATTTAGTGTGTTAATAATTTCATTTTTCTGCATTGTTAAATTCACTTTCATTCAGGATTAGTACCGGTAATTTATAATAATAAATAACATATGCAATCATACTTAATTTTCGTGATACGCAAGGGCAAACGCATAAACAAGATTTTGGTGGCGTGGACTTATCAGAATAATCAGTTAAAAGTAAACATCAAGATTTGTTGTTAAATAATGAGATTACCAAATTTATTTACTACCATCCTTTTTTAATAACAATGATATCCCGGATTTCCCTTCATCTTGCAAAAAAATATTTGCGAACTGATTTAATTAATTCGAATTGATTTCGCAGATTGGTTTGGTTCTTAGAACTGTTTTTTGTGCCCTGCACAATACACAAATTCAGTGAATTATAAGTTCCAAGCATCAAATCTATTTGCAAAAACATATTTACAGTGTAATTCTGCCATAATTATGTCTTAGGGACAGCATCTCATTAGAATAAAGCGAAAGCTACGTGCATAAAAACAGATTTAAGGAATTATGCATGGCTTGAATTAACTGAAAACCTAACCTAACCCATCAATCACGACTTAATGTTTTATAGAATTAATGGTCAACACATTACTAATTAAGTCGACCATTAAATGCACCCAAACCCCATTAACGACTCTGCCACCACTATATACCACTCACCATTTTTTAACTGCATTTGGCTATAAATACTGTCTTAATTGAAGCTACAGCAATAATTTATTCCAGTCTCGCTCTGTTGACACGGTCCAGTTTGCTCTCAGCCTTGCTACATTACATATTTACACCCTACATTTTCGCAAAAATGCCATCTGCATCCAACCCACTTGTGCCGACCATCGACATTTCCCCACTTTTTGGGGACGATAAGAATGCAAAGTTAAAAGTCGCCGGCGAAATTGACCAAGCATGTCGCGGCTCTGGATTCTTCTTAATTTCAAACCACGGCATCACCGTTCTCGACAAGTTGGTCGAGACGACGAAAAAGTTCCATCAATCGATGACCGATCAAGAAAAGTTTGACTTGGCGATCGTTGCGTACAACGAGAAAAATTCGAAACAGCACAGGAACGGGTATTATCTCCCGATCAAGGGGAAAAAAGCGGTTGAATCTTATGTAAGTTACATAATTTTATTAAGAATGATATGACAAAGATGACACTAAAAATTAACCACGTGTCTCAATTTTCCCCTCAGTGCTACTTAAACCCGACCTTCTCCAGTGAGCATCCCATGATCAAAAATAGCAACACACCCCTCCACGAAGTCAACGTTTGGCCGGATGAGAAAAAGCATCCTGGATTCAGAGAATTCAATGAGGATTTTTACTTCAAGATGTTCGACATGTCGGCAAAACTCCTTCGCGGATTTGCCCTTGCTCTTGAAAAGGAGGAGGATTTCTTTGACTCTTACTTCAAGAAGGAGGACACATTGTCGTCAGTGCGACTTATTCGCTACCCGTATTTGGAGGACTACCCTCCCGTCAAGACGGCCGCGGATGGGACGAAAGTTAGCTTTGAGAGTCATCAGGATGCTTCCCTCCTCACGGTGCTGTATCAGCCATGTAATTTTCCTTAATAGGTTATCATCGGTAATGTGCATTTGGATAATAGTTTTCTATTGATTCTCTAGACGTGGCAAATTTGCAAGTAAGCATGCCTGAGGGTTATTGTGACATTCCGTCGTCGGACGATTGTTTTTTGGTCAACTGTGGAGGATACATGGCCCACATTACGAATAATTACTACAAGGTGAAATAGTCTAGAAAATCAATTAAACGCTTCAATTTTCATCATAATTATGACGTTTTCCTAGGCTCCAATTCATCGCGTGAAATTTGTCAACGCGGAGAGATTGTCGCTCCCATTTTTCGTCATGTTGGGATATGAAAGCAAAATTGAGCCGTTCAATCATTCGAAACATGATGCCAATGCTGCAGAAGCTCCTCCAGCGATAACTTACGGGAATTATTTCCAAAATGCGAGAGTCCAACTGGTCATTACAAATGGTCAAACTTAATTTCAAACCCATATTACGCAAAACACTGTAAAAATGCATGGACAAAAATATCTAATAAAAATAAATTTGTGGATGAATTTAATTAATTAAAATTAGTCGACTACTACGTTATCATACTGCATAACACATGTAAAATGGTAAATCTGTGACACGTACAAAAAACGTTCAATAATTCGAAATGTGACGCTATGGAGCTTCTAAGAATTATTTCCAAAATACGAGAATCCAATTGGCCATTGCAAATGGTCAACTTAATTTCAAACCCATTTTACGTAAAACATTGTAAAAATTCAGAGTGCGAAAAATATCCACTAAAAATAAATTTGTGAATGGAATTAATACATTAGTCGACTGCTGCATACATTATCATACTTCATATAATAACACATCTGCTAATACCTAGGTAATGAATAGTATGCAAATTTATGACACGGATAAAAAACATAAACATATTTACCTCCTCGTTCGTACTTGAACTTGAAATAAAATGGCCCACATTTTTTTAAGGCAATCATAATATTATGAAACTCTGGGTAAACTTAATATTTATGCATTAAATTTATTTTTAAAGATCTCCATGTGAATAAACCGTCGTCGTTTTTGCATTATAGCCATTAACTTATTCTAAGTAAATCTGCATGTCGTGAATCATAAGGTGTTTTCACTGAATTGCATATTGATGAGTCAATAAGTTGCAGTCAGGCAGCTGCATACAAATTAAACAAAAAACCTCCGCTTCCTTTGTCATTTCGCGATATTGGATTTCGTCGAATTCTGCCAAATGAGTCATGCTGCAATGCGATTCTCATGTGCACTTCTTTTTTATGCTCTCATGAAAAACGGAGACCTCATGATCGTTGTCCTCCTCGCAAATGCATAGTCAGTCGGCTTTAGCACAACTTTTGCACTCGTGCAGTATTAAATAAATGCATAACAATAATTATTTTTTACTAATTAATTAACTAATTATATTACAATTAACCCCTTCGCAACCATGTACTCCAACATAAATCCACTCGTGTATTCTTACCTAAAATCGAATTTTTTATCAAAACTGTTTTTCCTCTGGGTAATTCCACTTTTGCGTCGAGGGAGCAAGTTCAAGTTAAATTGGTCAGATTTGGAACACGTGAGTAAATCGGATGAAGCAGCCTTTGTCGGAAAATTATTAAAGGCCGAGTGGGATAAGGAATTAAGGAACAAAAGTGGAAAGGATGCAAGTTTAGCGTGCGCTATTTTCCGTGCATTTGGTGCTCCATACTGCGCCCTTGGACTCATCGTGTTCACCAATGAGTGCATTATCAACATCGGACGAGCAATCTGCATGGGATATCTCATCAGATATTTCCAATCTGCGGAGAAGTACGATCAAAATTATGGACTCGGGTTTGCCGGTGGGGTCGTTTTGTTAGCCTTGATGCCTACCATTTTGCACCAGACTTACAGTTTACAGGCAAGTGAAGTCTAAAATATTATCGTAATTCCCTTCTTGACAAATTTGACAATTAATAATGCTTAATTAAGTTATGCACTCATTTCTGTACAGATTATGCGAATAGGAATGCGAGCCCGGGTGGCCGTGTCGTCACTAATCTACTCAAAAATGTTGCGACTTAGCGTATGCAGCTACATGAAGATTAATCCCGGCCAAATTGCCAACATTCTTGGAAACGATCTCACCCGATTTGACCAGTTATCATTTTCCTTCCACTATTTGTGGGTGGGTCCGCTACAAGCAGGCCTCGTCACGACGCTCCTTTGGTTGGAATACTTGGGATGGTCATGTCTCATCGGTCTTGGTCTCATTCTCGTCTACATCCCACTCCAACTGCTCTTCTCCAAGTGTTTCAAGCACCTAAGAAATCAAACCGCAAGAGCGGCTGACGACAGGATCAATCTCCTCACAGAAATACTAAATGGAATTCGCACCATCAAAATGAACTCGTGGGACGTCGTATTTTCAAAAAGGGTGGATCAGGCGAGGAAAAAGGAGCTCAGATTTGTCAAACTGGCCGGATTTCTGCGAGCCATGAATGGAACTTTGTTCGCCGTGTCGTCAAAACTTATCATATTTTTGACAGCGTTAGCCCAATATTTGACGGGGGAGAAGATCACGGCGGAAAATATTTTCGTGTCTTTCGCATTGTACAATACGATTAGAATAATTATGACATTTTGTTTCCCAATGGCGATCATAAACATTAGCGAGGTTGTTGTCAGCCTGAGACGAGTGAAGGAATTTCTAATGGAGGAAGAAATCTGTGAAAATATTTCGCTAAAAACTTTGCCAGTATTAAACAGTAAGGTGCAATTAATCGCGTCCGGTGTGAACATAACCGTGGGTCAAGCAGGGCTTGAGCTCCGTGATGTAAACTTTTGTGTAGAAGGTCCGTCCTTAGTTTGCATAACTGGACCTGTAGGGAGTGGCAAGAGTACGTTGCTAAACGCCATTTTGGGCGAATTACCCTTGACGAGTGGGGATCTTGAGTGCTTATCGTCAAACTCGGTATCTTATGCGGCGCAAGATCCCTGGATATTTGGGGGTTGTATCAAGGAAAACATTCTGTTTAAGCAGGACTTCCGCCCTGATTGGTATCACCAAGTCGTGCGGGCATGTGCTTTGGAGGAAGATATGCAGGCATTGTCTCACGGTGACGCCACCTTGTTGGAAGATCAAGGTCTGAACCTCAGTGGTGGACAGAGAGCTCGAATTAGCTTGGCAAGGACGGCGTATTCAAATTCCGACCTAATTTTACTAGACGACCCGTTTGCATCATTAGACGGGAGAGTTGCGTATAAAATTTTTCACGAGTGTGTGCTGAGACTAATGAGAAATAAGATTGTGGTGCTGGTCACTAATAACGAATTGCATTTGCAAATGGCCAATGTTATCCTGCAAATTGAGGATGACGGCAACGTTAAAACTATTTGTAACCCTGCAATTACTGAGATGTCGAGAATAATAGAGGAAGAACCACTTCCTCCACAAGAAGCAAATGAAGGGAGAATTATGCCACGATGCATGTCAAGCACGGAACCGGAAGTTGGGCAGATTCTAACGTCTTCTAAAACCGAGGGAAAAACGGGAACTTTCCAATATTTCGGTGTAGTGTCACTCTGCCGGAGCATATTTCAAATCATTTTCCCCACAACTGCTGGAATTTGTCTCCTGGTCGTGGTAGACCTTTGGATAAAGCTCTGGGTAGCTGGTGGTAGCTCCGATTCGGACATAATTTACAGTTGGCTGCCACCTATAGTAAAAACAGAGGAAGGGATCGTGATTGTCTACTCGGTCATCGTGGGGCTGCTCATAGCGACATTTTTCCTAAAGAGCACCCTCTTCTTCTCAATGTGTGTCTGCATTTCGGCCAGATTGCATTTCTCCATGAGCAAAGGAGTTATCGGAAGCCCGTTAAGTTTTTTCGAAAGGACGCCGTCCGGTCAGATCTTATCTCGGTTTTCCTCAGACACAGGGACACTCGACGATATTTTGCCCCAATCTTTATTCGACGCAGTGGAGTCGTTACAAAGCGGGATAGCCGTTTTAATCGTGGTGTCCATCGTCGCACCCATCACAATCCTTCCGGTCTTAATCCTGCTCATATTTCTCGTCATTTTGAGGGGATTTTATCTCAAGAGTTCCAAAGCTGTGAAGCAACTCGAAGCTGGGACGAGAGGAGACATGTTGACTCGAGTGAAGTCAGCATTTCGTGGAATTCCTCTTATCCGTTGCACTAATGGGATGGTTGAGAAGCAAATTGGTGACTTCCACGCCATTCAGGATACACATAGCTCAGCCTGGTTCATTTATGTGGCGAGTGGGCGATGGATCGCGATGTATTTAGACTTTGTCGCCGTACTTTTCACAGCGATGGTTATCTTTAGTTTTTTCATTTTTTCGACAAAAGGGGATAATTCGACGACATATGGACTCGTAATTTCATCCGCACTAACTCTGACGGGGATGTTACAATTGGCTGTCAGACAGTCGGCTGAGGTTGAGAATCAGCTCGTTTCTTTGGAACGAGTGAAGGAATTTTCTGAGGGATCTCTACCTTCGGAAGAGATGGGAACCATTGAGGCAGAAAATGCTCAAAAATGGCCGCAAGAAAGTACCGACATTGAGTTTGCTGATTATTTCTTAAAATATGGAGAAAGTGATGAGACTGCTGCCCTCAAAAATATTTCGCTGTGTGTGAAATCTGGCGAAAAGGTCGGCATCGTGGGGAGGACTGGGTCCGGAAAGAGCTCGATGATCGCATCACTGTTGAGATTAGTGCCTTCTGCTGCTCAACAAGGTGCCATTTTTATCGGTGGTGTTAACATTTGTAGCATTCCGTTCCGTGTCTTGCGATCAAATATAACGATAATTCCACAATCCATGGACTTGTTTAGTGGCACGTTACGCTACAATTTGGATCCTGAAGAGAAATTTGGGGATGATGAGTTGCACCGAGTTCTAAACCTTCTTAATTGTCCTTCTTTAAGTACATGCGACTTGGACGAGCCTTTAATTTCAGAGAATCTAAGCATGGGACAAAAGCAATTTTTATGTTTTGCACGTGGGTTGCTGAAAAAGAACAAAATAGTTTTGCTCGATGAAGCCACTGCGAATTTAGATGTGGAAGCTGATATTACCATACATAAATTGATTAAGGAATATATGAAGGACTTCACGGTGATAAGTATTGCTCATAAGATACACAATATTTTAGATTGCGATAAAATTGTAGTGCTGGATGGAGGACAAATTGTTGAGAATGATACCCCACTAAAATTAATGGGAAATCCGGACGGTATATTGTATCGACTTGCTCATCCAAATGCTGACGATGATCAGTATTTTCAAGATAATGATGTAATAGATACAATTTTATAAGCTTATAATTAAGTTAGCAGCGATAAGTGAGGAACTACTTTTTTAAGTTATTTGTAAAATGCTGCTTAATAATAATAATTAAAATGGGTAATTAATTCCTTGAAACAATTTTGGAAATAAAAAACCTTGTATTTATGTAACTTATCCCATTTCGATAGCAATTTTATTCGCATCACACAACCACATTTAACAGACTTCATCGCATGAATTCTGAGAACTTGACAACGATGACTGCATGATTTGAGTTAATTTTTCATTTAATTTAATTTATCACAAACAGCAGTTCACCAATACTCATCCTGAACAACATCGGCATTACTTTCAGTATTAAATTGCAAATGCTTTAAGCCACACTAGTTCTTCACCATATCTTGCTCTGAACCAATTTACACATATAGCAAATTTCAGTCTGATTTTCGCCAATTGCTGTGCGTATGTATATCTCCTACTGAAATTACATCAAGAACGGATACCTGAAATGGAACCTTACAAACCATGGTTTTTAGAATCTGCAGTGAAACTTTTAAACATCCCGTCGCACAAAGTTAAGGTTAGTATAACTCTCAACCAATAGATTAAGAATGTATATTTTTTTGATTTCTTAAAATTAAGAAAATGCTCAACATTATTATGTATTCAGCTCGGCAATTTCCCAACCCCACTGCACCCCTGGTCATTCTCTTTCCAAGGAAAGACATACAACTTCCTCATAAAACGGGACGATTTGACGGATTTAGCCGCAAGTGGGAACAAAATACGGAAATTGGAATTCATCCTCCCCGAAGTTTTGAGGGGACAGCACGACTGGATCGTGTCTCTGGGGCCAACGCAATCCAATTGTTGTCGCGTCGTGTCCGCGATCGCTCCCCGACTTGGCTTGCGATCTGCTCATGTTTTAGTGAAAAATCTGGAATGTCAACCATCGCAAGGAAATCTCTTTTTCCATTCACTATTCGGATCTAAGTTATTCTTCATCTCGAGGGACCATTACCTCCAACATGGGCAGCAAAAGTTGCTCGAAGAAGCGAAGGAAACCTTGATGAAGGAAGAGGGTGCTTCGAACCCGTACATATTGCCCATGGGTGGGAGTACGGTGCACGGAATATTCGGCTACATCGACTGCTTTCACGAGTTGGAAGGTCAACTCGAAGAATTGAAAGGTGCTCCCGTGGATGAAATTTTTTTTGCCTGTGGAAACGGTGGAATTGCTGCTGGGCTCGTGATTGGAAAGCTATTGTCAAATTCTAGTTATTTAAAAGATGTAAAACTAACAGGGTACATCGCATGGGATGAAAAGCCGGCATATTTCTTGAACTATGTCAACGAGATGTTGACGTTGGTCGGATTAAGGGGAGAATGCAAGGCAGAGGACGTAATTCGGTTTGAAACTGCTAAAAATCTTGGTTACGGGATCAATTCAGGGGAAGAAATTGAGTTGATTAAATGTGTGGCGAGATCGTCTGGGATAATTTTGGATGGGAGTTACACAGTGAAAGCGGTTGGTAGTTTCATAAAGGAGAAGAGACACGAGGGGAAAGTCTGCATCTTTTTGCACACTGGTGGGATGTTTTCAATGATGGGGAGTGGACATATTTTTGATTAGTATTATGCGTTAAATCCATATTCGAAATTGTGAGACATCTACATTATAAGAGTAATAGTAGTAAATTACTACTAGTAATTAATAAATCCAGCAGTATAAGTTAATTAACAATATATCTATTTATTTATCTAGTGACGCATGTACACATTTAATTTTGTTGTTTGTGTGACCATAAAAGACGACACAAATATTTACTTTAGGAAAAGTGAGCTCAGCTCACCTTTTGAATATATCACTGACAAATTCACAGACGTACAAATAGTTTAGATTTTATTTTTAAATTGCATAAACAAAGTTCATACGAACAAATTATCGACGACGAAGATGTTGCTGTTAGCTTTGATGTTAGTGAGAAAAGATGGAGCTTATAGATCTTCATCATCATCGGGTAGAGCAACGTTGGCTGCCTCCTAAAATATGCAAATAAATACACAATAATGTAGATAGTTGCCAATTCGATACCGATAAAAAGTAGTTTATTTTAAATCATGCACTGACCTGGAGATCGTTTTCAATCTGTCGTTGCCAAGCAGGATCCATGTGGACCTCTGGTGCCGCCAGCGCTGGCATGGCGACGAACTCAAGGTTGGCATCCCCAATAAGTTTACGAGCCAGCCAGAGAAATGGTTTCTCAAAGTTGTAGTTGCTCTTAGCGGAGATATCGTAATATTGTAGATTCTTCTTCCGATGGAAAACGATGCTCTTTGCCTTCACCTTCCGATCCTTGATGTCAACTTTGTTCCCTGCACACACAACAAATCATCCCGTTACGTTGTCACTCATCATATAAATCATTTTTTAGACTTTCATCAGTTTTAAACATAAAGTGAGTAAGTTATGTACTGTGCGGATGGAGTTAAACTCACGAGAAACCCTAGTCTCAGCACAAGGTACTTCAGGAGGCCGTAGGTTTAAGCTCCACCCGCACAGTACATAACTCACTCACTTTATGTATAATAAACTCACCGCAAAGTACAATCGGTATGTTCTCGCAAACCCTAACCAAATCCCGATGCCAGTTCGGCACGTTCTTATACATGGCACGAGTAGTCAAATCGAACATTATAATCGCACAATGACCCTAGAGAAAAAATATATAAAAAATTCCAAATTAATAATTTAATTTATACATGAGTTATCCTCCCGTGCACCGCCATCATCGCCGACCAACTAATATCAATCAACCTCTCTTCCTTACCTGAGTATAATAACCGTCCCGCAAGCCTCCAGATTTCTCCTGACCTGCTGTGTCCCACACTTCGAAACGGATCGAGCCTCGCGACGTATTGAAGACGAGCGGGCGGACGTCGACGCCAGACGTAGCGACATACTTTTTCTCGAATTCTCCAGACACGTGACGCTTGACGAACGTGGTTTTCCCAGTCCCTCCATCCCCCACCAAGACACACTTGAAGGTCGGCATGTTCTCTTCCTTCTTCTCCGCCATGGTGACCACGATAAGCGACGACGAACACGTAAAAATCAAACACTTGGCGACGATGACAAGGCGACGTAGGCAGGCAGGCAAGAGAGAGCAAAGAGCTGACAATGTAGCCGACTGGGGAGACGGAACCAAAGTGAGTGCGAGCGAGAGACGGTCGGAACAAGCAGCGACTGACCCAGAGAGGCTGATCGGTTTGTTAAAGTGAGAAGAAGAGGAAATGAAAAGTTCATTGGCTTAGCTCAAATGTGTGAAGGAGTGGCGGTTGGCCATTGGCAGCATGCCTGGCAGTCTGGGAAAGCAAAATTTGCATCACCACAACCACACACTCATTCACTCCGATTCCATGACGACTTTCTCGGACTGTCTGTAGAGTAAACAATACAAGTTGACAAGGAGTCAAATTTTTTTACTTTGTGCAGCAAATTGAGCGATTTAAGGTTGTCGAAAGAGAAACTAAAGCGAAAGCCTATTAAAAAAGGACTTGGGGCGGCTCAAAAACTAGACCCCACGACGAGGGAGCGAGAAGACCTGAACAGTTGGTTAATTTCAGCTATTGACTCGATGCAAATTCAAATTGATTCCTTCGAGTGCGAAATCGAGTCCATTTTAGCTGCAGGGAAAAAGCGCTTGGATAAAGATAAGCAAGACCGACTCGACGAATTAAAAACCTTCCTCGAACGACACAGGTTTCATATAACAAAATTGGAAACTCTGATGAGAATGCTTGACAATCTAGCAGAGGATGTAAATGCGGTCAGTATAAGATACTAAATCTATAATAAACATTAACGGTACCTCAATAATCTGATTATTCACCTTGTTAATTTTCTTGTAATTACAGCTTAGAACATTTTTAAGTCAAGTCAAAAACATCAAAGATGACATCGAGTCATCGAGTACTTAGAGTCCAGTCAAGAAGCTGGATTTGAAGAGAATGAATTTATTTATGATGATATTGACGGTCTCGATGGTTTTGACGATTTCTCGTCGGCAAACCAGTCGGCGGTGGTACGGGAGAAGAAGGAGCAGAGGAAGAGTTGCCAATATCAATTACAACAACTTCTGGGAACAACTCACCAATTTCCCCCGTTCATTCCAGTGATGCTTCAGATCCTGAAAAGAGGAGAAAATCTTCAGACGACGTCTCCGTCAAAGTCGTCAGGCCTGTTGAGGTGAAAGCGGTGGTTCAGTCGAATCATAGTCCAAGTCCTGTAGGCTGTCGGAGCGGTAGGAACACCCCCCAAGGGTGTCGGTACTCCGAATAATTCGTCTCCCAGCTCAGGGTTGTCAAATCACGTCTCCTCGCTCTCGTCTCTGTCTTCGTCCCCCACTCACAACTACCACAATGCTCTCAATAACTCTAAATCCATAGGTAACGGTGATGGTATAGCTAGCATACAATTTAATCCTAATTTTATGACAAGGGGACAATTTTGTTCTTATTCGGTTGTATGTATCTCTAGGCCACCCTGATCTAACGGTGCACAAGGACGGCTCTTCGACCACGGGTGGTTTATGTTTTCGGGGTTTGTCCAAATTTTCAGTCATGGATTCCAGCATAATTAGAGGTAATTATGAGCATTCAACAATTAGTGATGTTTTTTATTTGTAAGTGATTGATTAGTGGTTAATTTTTACATGGTTGTTTAACTTTAGGGTCCTTGGGTGGTATGTCAACAGTAAACGGGAATGGGGGTCCGATTGATGAGGATCATTCAAGTCCACATACTCAGTTATTAACATAATGCAGTACACCAATTACTGGATCCAGCTTAACCATGGAAAATGGGCTTATCTCCTCTTCCCCTCCACAAGAAACGACGTGTAGTAATAACAACAACATCTTGTTAATGTCATCCTTCTCCTCGACTGAGACAAGCGGTGTGAATGAGCGCCCCTCCTCCCACTCGTCCCAACAATTACAACTCCAACAGCAACACCAACTCTTTGGAGACTCCTCATCATTATTGTCATCGACGATGGAATCACTTTCTAACTCATCATCCCTTCAGCAACCTTCTTCCTACATTCAGCAAGCTTTTAATGGACTTGGCTCCGTTACCGGGGGCGGCGAGTAATTTATCTGAAGGATTTGCGTCAAACCTGGGTGTTAGTAGTAATTCCCTGATTAGCAGCATTAACAATAGTAGTGGTAGTAACTCTTGCAGTGTTATGGGTGACACGTCTAATGTGATCGGACTACCTAACATAATTGATCTGAGTAGTGAAGATATTCAACTAAACAGTTCCACTGGAGATCAGATAAGAACGGAACTGGAGTTCAAAATAATGGAAGCTGTTCATCAACACCTTCCAGTTTCTGCTGATAGTGAACGCATGCGTCAGTTTTTCCCCAGAGATCCGTACCCAACGCCACTTTATTATCCACAAGTATGTCAATAATACTTTCTCGAATTAGTGGCTCCTGTCCTGTTTTTAGATGTTCCTTATTAATGACAGCTAATTCTCTACATTCTAGCATCCGTTATCAAATTCTGATAGCTTTGAATTTATCAACCGGCTATCGATAGAAACTTTGTTTTTCATCTTTTACTATTTGGAGGGTAAGTAATTTGGTTTTAAGAAACGTGCGATCGAACTATTTTGAAATTCACCAATTCATTACAGGAACGAAAGCGCAGGACTTGGTCATACAAATTTTGAAAAGCCAGAGTTGGAGGTATTTATTTTATTCTGTCTATTCTATTTCTAGGATATATCTGTAATTTATAAAAATTGGTCATTTATAATAACTTATTAATATTATAGGTTCCATACAAAATATATGATGTGGTTCCAACGCCATGAGGAACCAAAAGTGATTACTGAAGAATATGGGCAGGTAAGATGAATAACTCATTTTACTATTCTGAAGGACAAAGAGTTAATTTCTAACTCAACCACCACGATTATTTGTGCAGGGGACATACGTATATTTCGATATAGAAAAGTGGGGTCAGAGGAAAAAGGACGGATTCGTGTTCGAATATCGCTATCTGGAAGATAGAGATTTGAGATAATCAAGTCGCTCTTAATCATGTCTCAATGTAGTTTTAGTTTACGGATTACTTATAAATTGTATAAATAAATATACATTTTCGGGATGATTCCCAATAATAAAATATTAATGCAATGTTTAGAAAACTTTTAGTTCCGGTGTATTACATAATTTTAATTTGCATAAATTCCTTTAGTAACACAAATTGCATGGCGCAAAAAAATATTAATATGAGATAGTCCTCATATCAACTGACCATTTTACTATAAGCATTATTTTTGCAGTTGCTGAGTTCGTCTCAATTTTGTTTAATGAAGGGCCGGCCAGTGCAGTATCAATTGAGAGGAATAACAGGAAATAATGCGCAACTCATGATTAAATTACTAATTTATCATAAATCAACATCGGTTCATCTGCATTTTACTGTCCAGCAGTAGTTTAGCCCAAATTTGGGAGCAATTTTATAAGCCCGTCAGCCAATTAAGAGAGACCATCATCTCAACCTGCCTCCAGGGGAGAGTGAACTATTTATAGACACATCTCGATGCGGGAGAACAAGCCAAACGGTCAAAATTCCCAGAAATGCGTGGCTGACAGATCAAAGTTACTTAATTATTAATATTAGAAATCCCTTTGCATTTTGCGGCCAATTAATACCATCGCCGTCGGTATATCGCTGTTGGTGTTTTTTTAGTCCATTACTTTATTGCGATATCACCACTAAATCGGAGGAACGTAGTATAAAATAGGTGCCTCAACCCTTGTTTTCCTTCATTTTCCTCTCCATGCATTATTACGCTTTTAACCCATTAATTAACTTGTATAACGCTACATTCATCACATCATGCTATCTTTAACTATATTGTTTCCATTTTTATTGATGTTTAAAGATGCAAATAACTATCACCTTGTCGTGGAGTCGATCGGAATGTGCGGATATTTCAGTCCTTCTTATCTCCTGGAGTTGACACCTTATCTTGAGAAAGCTCCGAGTGCTTGGCGAAGCGAGCGTCCCTGCGAGCAAGGCGTCGTACAAAGCCTACTTAAGGAGCCACGACTGAGGGTTTCTGCTCATTCTCTCTCTCGCCACCGTCGAAGTATAAAGGTCAAAAAAGTGCTCTCTCGATCTTGCTCTTTTTCTTCCCAAGTTTTGAGCTGAATTTAAAAGTTACATCTACTTTTCTAGAAACTTGAAGATTTCTTGCCATGGCGAAAACACGATCTTCTGGACGAGTTTTGCGATGTCGTAGAAAGTCGTGCGGGAACGCAGACTGTTGTGTCGATGTAGAAAAGGCAGTTCTAAAATCAACGAAAAGGGAAACGAATCAAAAGGCAGCATCAATTATTAAAAGGTAAAAAATTAAATAAGGTTTTTTAAAAGAAATTTGTCCCTTAATTTTTTTAAAATTCCACTTGTCTATTTTCAGACCTTCGACGTCAAGCCCCATCTGTACTTTTCAACGTCGAAGTTTAACCTCTGCTCGTCGAATCAAAACATGGCGATTTGTTGATTTGGCAAAGTCTAACCCTGGGCAATATGGAGCTTTTGGAACGGCAAAATGGTTTCGGTCATGGACAAACTTCATCGATGAGCCAGGGGTCGTCCACCAGGAAAATGTGATGATATGGTTTGCGCAATTAAATGAAATTTTTCGTGTAAGGACTATAATTTATTTTTCAAATAATTGTAAATTTATTTATGACTTTGTTTGAAAGATAAACTGTAATCTAATTAGTTTACATTCTTATAGAATTCGCAATATGGGAACTCCGAGACGGCAAAGCAAAACAGTCAGCCGACCAGGAATCAGCAGATCAAGAAAGAAAGATCGTCATCGAGAAGCGAGGAAAAATTATTCTTGAAAAAATAAGAAACCCCGTCCTTGCGAAAACAGGAAAAATCATCCGTGCAAAAGGAGGAAGAATCTTTCCTGGGAAAGAAGGAAAAATTGTCCATCCAAAAAGAAGGATCGCCCTTGAAAAAAGAAGAAGACACGCCGACTGTAAAGAAGGAATCGCCGACTGTAAAGAAGGAATCGCCAACTGTAAAGAAAGAATCGCCAAAAATAAAGGTGGAAAGAAGATCATCGTCGTCCTTGGATGATGAGGGAATCTCCATTCAGCTGTCGGCCTCTACTACGGATGTATCTCACGCAGATCAAGCTGATGTCGAGAGTTAGGAGCCATCAACGGCACCCCCAGCAGATTCTTACACGTACTTTGCCGTAGTTCCGGATGGCCAATATACTATAATTGACGGTCAAGTCATTGAGGACTTAACTCACCTGACAAGATTTATTGGGGACGACCATAGTGCTGCTTTGGCTTGCTACCAGCTAATCCACGCAGGCAACGAAGGCGTCAATTTTGGACAAGGAGCCGAGCCTAGCTTCGAACCAGACTTTGGACAAGGAGCCGAGACCAGCTTCGAACCAGATTCCGGAGTTGGTTTATCATTCACAGAGAATGACGATGATCCGTTTTTGAAGATTGTACTTGAGGAATTAGATAAGTACTTTGAAGGGGTTTCCGCCGAGGAGATTCTTAAAATGGTGGCAAACTGTCAGCCATGATTAAGTAAATGCTATTTCTACTAATTACTTCGAAAATTTAAGATTATTGACATGAAATGATTATTAGTATAATAGTTTAAATGTACAAATATTCAGGGTTTTAAAATTAACAATATGAATTTTATGAGTCTTAAACCACTGATGTTCTATTATTTCTAACAAACACAATCAATTTGACAATAAAATGAACTAATATTGGTTGATTTATTTATAAATTGAGTGTGATTTATACTGTTTTATTTTAAAATTCGTTATTTGCATAGTCAGTAAGCATTTACTTATGTCCATCGAAACTTGTGCATTTTTCATAGCTGACCGAGCAGTGTAAATCCAGGTCGATCTTTTTTATTTCATTTTCTGAGGTTGCCGGATAACTTTTATGATTTAAAAATGAATGGAAGGGGTATAGGTGCACATATTTTTGGTACAAAACTTTATTCTAAGTAAAAAGATTTGTGACTGTAATACCAGCACTATATTTAACCAATTATCTCGGTAATTGGTGCGAAAAAATCCTGCTCAAAACCTTAGAAAGCATGTTGACGTCAATGTGATTAAGAAATTTCAATCTGGAATTGATTAAGTTGTTTTGAGTGATTGTAATACCAGCACTATCTTTAACTAATTATCTTTAACTAATTATCCCGCTAATTAAAGTCGGTAGAAATTGAATATTGGATTGTTGAAATCCCAAATGTTGGAAGAATTCTGTATGTAAATGTTCTCCAATCATTTCGAAACTATGTGATATATCAGTAAAAAGTATGATTACTTGCGATGATAATGGTACCTTTACAATTCATTTATTTCAGTAAAAAAAACTTGGAGATTGATCATAAATCACTGAACAGACACTGTATTTATATTGGTAGGATGGTTGATAGACACTATATATTCACTACGTTGGAAGGCATACGTAATTACAATGACGACAAAATAAGCTATAACATTAAAAATCATGAGATAAACTATATAGTCGCGTCCACTTGAAAAATTACATCTAATCTGCGAAAACTATTTCTAAAATTTATTTCTCGTTATTAAAGATGAAGTGTGTCCACGGAGGTCACATTATTGAGATTTATACTTTCTAGCTGTTCCAGACATAAAATAAAATAACATTAGCAATTAGTACAAGTTTCCCTATGCGATTGCGAAGCTGAGTTGGACCAAAAGATTTGAGGGTAACCATCATAGACTACTCAAATGACAGCATATATATATATATCGTTCAACGATTATGCATGTAGTTAGTCATATAGTTAGTTCATAAGGTCTCAGGTAACTGTGGTAGCGATCATATTAACGGGTAAGAAATATATAAGAAATGCTAATTACAATTCTTAAGTAGCAGTAATCAGAAAAATCATAGTAAAATAGTCCTATGTTATTGGCATAGTAGGTTCAAGAGGATTTGGAGATAAAACATTCCATGAAATTGATGCTACATAATATAAAATTCTTCTTTGTAATTTAGTCTTGATGATTTTTGCAGGCACAGTCGCAGGCACATCGTTTCACTCTTTTGTGGCTCTTCTGGCTTTGCGGCTCTTCTGGTGTGTCCTCGTTGTCAATGGAACGTCGTGGACGAATCACTATGTCACATAAAAAATCCTTGAAATTAATCCACCCTTTATAATTATGTGTAATTAAAATGTCATTGGAACGATAATTTTAATAGCTTTGAAGCAACTTAAACCAAAACAATATTTGGATTCCAGCATGATGAAAAAAAACGTACCAAGTTGGCCATGTTGGAAATGAGCTCGTGGCATGATTGGGACTGGGTGTGGGAGAGCCCTTTCTCTAAACTCGGAGGATTGCGGGTGGAAGAAAATGGGTCCTGGACCTGAAGGATTGTTGTTGGACGAGTCATCCAACTTGTTGTTATTTCCTTGATGTGGAACAAGCACTGGAATCAAATGGGGAGGAATTCCGAGAGAACTCAGAGGTCCAAAGTTATTGTTACTCTCTTGTGCTTGTTCGTCTTGTGGGGGTTGGACAAAAAATTGGTGGTAAGGAAGAGAGGTTGGTTGAAAAAATGCGTCTCAAAAAACCCAGCCCTATTTAATGGCCGGGTCAGGTCATAGGGGTCAGGTGGTTATTAAGGGGTGCAGCGAAGCGAAATCCCTTTATGGAAATGTCCTGTCCGTCTGTATCCACGATAACTTTAGAAAGGATTTGAATTTCGACATGGGGTTTTCGCCAACGTGTTTCTAATTTTTGAAGTACGGATGAGTTCGAAGATGGACGTGCTAGGTTATAAGGTCACGGCGCCACGGTGATGACGCCAAGGGTTAAAAATGTCGATTTTTTGGCATTGATCGTTGTAGACGTAGTTTTGGGCCGGGATTTAAAAAGTCAACATGGTTTTTACGTGCCATGACCGTGTCGCTACACCCCTTTGCTACAGTTCGTTTGCAACGGTTTTTTAATAATCGAGGTGCGTACTAGCTCCACAGCTTTTTTTATTTTTCGAAAGATTTTGCTCATCTTCAAACGTGATTCATAATTTTGCGTATTCTACTTGTGTGTAAAATTCATGTCGATTGGATAAATTTTACGAGCGTAAACGATAGATAGACAGTCACACAATCGTGAAAATAAGCCCTAACTCGGGCTACAAAGTCTCTACTTTAACATGCTCCCTATGAGAAGCATGTAGAAGTATGTGATGTTTGCGAAGATAATCATTTTACTAACAATAAGGTCAGCCAATTTTGATGCGAATGAGAATGAAAGAATGTAAATAACCAGAAATGAAGTTTAAATATTTTTTGAATTGATAGTATTTCAATTTAATTTCAGCATAATTAAAAGATGATCCTGATTTCACAACATGTCTTTTGAACAATTTTTCTTAGAACAGAATGTGACAACGGATAATTTCTTTAGAAAAAAGATAACAAGAGAATTTATGAAAAATTTTTAATAGTTGTTTCGTGCCCCATCCCTGGTGGAGTCGTAGAGGACCCAAGGGTGCGCCCAGCCGTGGACCTTGGTGTCGAAGATGGTCTCGAGAGTTGGGTCGTTGGCGTACATGGATCGGAGTGGAGAATCTTGTCCGTCTCGTTTGGAATCGTAGATGACGAATGGATGGTTAAGTCCGTCCCTCTTGGAGTCATAGATGACCTCGTAGTTGGAGTAGTCGCCCCCCGCGTTCTTATTGTTCATCATTGTCCTCTGTCCTCCATGTTGTTGCTGCATCATCATGGGCTGTTGTTGTTGGTACATTTGTGGTTGGTATTGTTGTTGCACCGGTTGTCGCTGTTGACGGTACATGGGTTGTTGTTGCTGGACTTGTTGGTGTTGATAATTCATTTGTCGTTGGGGTTGTTGGTGTCCAGCAAACGTGTTGGTGGGCGTCTGCTTCATGGCGCGAGAGTTGTCACGACGAGTGTCGCTGACGACGTATGGGTGGTTCACGCCGTCCTTCTTGGAGTCGTCTGGAAGGTACAAAGAATAAATTATTAATTGTTTGTCCGTGAGATAATTGTCGTTTTAAGTTTTGACTTACAAACGGTTTGGAGAGAGGCGTCGTTCTGGTAAGTCATCTGCTTTCCAGAGGCACCATCCCGTCTGGAGTCGTACTGGACGTAGGGGTGGTTCACACCGTCACGTTGGGAATCGTACACGGTCTCTAACCCTCCTGCGTTCCGACCCAAAGTGTGGGCGCAAGTGACCGCGACCAAGGCGGAAAGGACAACCTGGAATTTCACAAGAGGAGTAAAATTAGAAAATGGTTTTTAACTAAGGGATGGGAAGCGATCGACTCACCAAAACCTTCATGTTTTCAGGTGGGAGGTGGTGGGAGCAAGTTGTTTCTTGTGATGAAATCAGGGCGAACTAGCCAAAACTACTGATGGAACGGTCAGCGTCCAGACTTCTTTTATACCCGGCAGCGGCGAGGGAGAGAAAAAAACGGACTGACTTCTTAACCTTATTCAACCACCACGCCACGCCATGGCGAGATTAATAAATATAAATGCGATGGTATAAGACATCAATTCCTTGAGTTCCATCCATCCATCATCCCTTCATGTTGCTGGTAGGCAGTGGGAGACATGGATGGGTCAGTCAGGTATCATGACCACGCTTTGGACCCAGCGCTAGAGTTGAGACCAGACCCAGAGGAGTCGGTCGGTGGTCCATTACACTGGATATTGGCTGCTCTGGGGGTCTCCTGACATGTCTCAAGGAGAGAAGAAGATTCGCACACTTATGGCAAACAAACGTTGCTGTAAACTCGATTTTTCCCAATTCTCCTATGCCTAAACACCTACATATCTGTGCAGTGAGTGTGTACCTATAGTGGGAGAGACGGGGTCAGTTCTACACATATGAAGCCATCCCTGCAAAAGTTGTTTTACAGATATTCACTTTCTCGCAAATTACTTGTACCGCTTGCAAAAATACCTGTACCATAACTTTTCTTAATTGTGGAAATTCACCGGAGGAGCACTGAGATGGAAAGTATCATTCATAAATCTTGGTCGTTGAATCACACAATACGTGTGGGTTTGCTTGTGCACTCCTAGTTAGCGATTATGTTGTATATATTTATATAAACCCCTAAATATATACGCCAAAAACTATTTCATAATCCGGTTAATTTCTTTAATAGATGAAATTAGCATTAATCCAGCATTAAGTGTGATTGTTCATGTTACACAAAGGGAGATTTCTACGCAAATGTGCAAAATCTCATCATCAACAAGACAGAGATCTGCGAAGAATGCTAATTATTATCTCGTCCACTTCAGCTCTAAATCTTCTTGTTCTCTTTTCTCGTTCTTGCTTTCTTGGCTAATTAATGATGTGGGTTTTCGGTGCAGGTGGTGCAGGCTATTTGTACACTTGACTATATTTTACACCTTATGGATACGTGCATATATATCTACTCGTACACTATTTGATAGGACATAGAGTACAAAATAAATTATAAAAAACTCATTTCTTGGAACCACAAAATAGTAATTCATATCTGTATTAAATAAGAAAAGAAAAGAGTCATATCAAATATTCGCTAATGGAGCGAAACCTGCAAAAAAATGGCTTCTGTTTCAAATAAGGCTTAAAGTTTAATAACTCTTGTGTAAAACTAGCCATGCCAGGGATCAAATTCAAATGTGCACAATTTATAATTTTATTCACATTTTTTGTCCGTCAATCATCCACTTTTGCAAGTTCACAGAACTTTGTGATATGGTGGGTGGATTGGACATGAGCATTCTGTACGCGTTAAGTGAGATAGACGACGCTGAACTCTGGTTTTTTGAAATTCTTAAATAAGTACTTATCTCAATCTCACCAAATTGAGGGGAGAACAGGTAGTTCAACTTTATCCAAAATCAAAAGTAATTTAGGAAATGATTTCATATTTTTAGCAATCAACAACTTAATCAACTCCAAATTGTGTAGGATGCCAGAAGCACTTCCACGAGTTCATTACATATTGACGTACTTACGCAAAAGACGTACTTACTTACCATTGCCTCAAGTAGCTTACATCACTTTAACTGTATTCACCATGTCTCGTATTCTATTAAAACTCAATGTTTTTCCACATTAATCGATACTTACTTTCCATGCTCGTAAAGGTGGCGAATAAAAATTTAGAGTTTTTTGTCACGTATTTTATTTGATTGAGTAACACTGAAACTGGTGTAAGCAAGCCAAGTGTGTATGAGTAGCATGTAGCATCGTGACCTAATACCACCAATGGTGCGAGAGCTGATCTTCTTGCAATTTTTTGCACATCATGGAGTTTCCGAATTTTCAATTTGCAATTAAATCAATCGCGTCACTATTTTACAATCACATACTTAATGCACATGCATATGTAACTCGTTGTCTTATATAATAACAAGAAATTAAATGAAATCACAATGATAACGAGACACGTGTAATAGGTTTCAAAAGCACCAATGATTATGTATACAACCAGCTTCATTTGTATCTACTAATTGATTCAATTAGACGGACGAATAGTTCTTGGTCATGACGTGGGTCCGCTTTTTTAAATTAAAAAGATCTTTACTTAATGTGATTTTAATTCGGGCAAAAAATTACTGACGTGCAGCTACCAAATTTTTATTCTATTTTATTTTTTATTTTTCAATATATATTTTTTCTTTAGAAAAGAAGTTAAAAAGGAGTGAAACAAATAAGAAATTAATTGCAAATATTGTTATTATTATGGAAGTGCAGAGAGAGAAGTGCATGGGGGCACGATGTCAATGGAGTAGGTATTTGATATGATACTTGCTGCAACTAAGTTTCAAATTCAAATGTGGAAATCCGTGTCACTCCGTAAATTATGTACTTGCGTGCATTTGGGTTCACATATCATGCCGCATTTCAAATTCATTAGTGCGAATGGTCGGTGTTAGTTGAGTGAGTGAGATGGGTAGGTATCTATCATGATAAGCTAGTGAACATGAGAACACCTGAGTAACAAGCGGGCAGTATATACCTACTCGCTTTGCTCATTATCTTCAGTAATGGACTCGCAAAATGACATGATCCACCTGCAGAAACCAGTCTGGTCATAACTAACGCTGCAAGCTGGCTAGCATAAAGTATTCTTATTGACATTGGGCCATTTTGCCTGTCAGTCTGAGGAACAACATTCCATCCGATAAGTCTCATCTTCCCACCACCAACTCCACTCATGAATTACAATTAAACTTATTCAGTGGCAGTTGAAGGAATTTAAAGTAGAGTCATGTTTCTAGAAAAATAACTTCAACTAGTTTTCTTGGAGGGAGAAAAATGCGGGTTGTACTTAATTGCTCGTGCTATTCAGGGTTCGGAAAAACCCAGGGGTTTTAATGGGTTTTAATGGGTTTTTTGGGTTTTAATGGGTTTTATGGGTTTTATTGGGTTTTATTAGGTTTTACATAAGTAATACATTGAACAACAATTTTCACTACTATTGCAATCCAATTTCAATTAATATGCAAATCCTACTTGTCCATGTTAGAATTTGTATCCGTTTCGAAATAGTCCTGTTTAACTGATCATAGTTTAATACTTTATGAGAATATATATTACTTCTTTCTCGAATACTTCCTCTCATCATAATGAAATCCAAGTTTAAAAGTTTTTAAAATTTAATATTTCAATGCGATCTTAACGTGTATTATCAATTCTGGAAAAAATCGAGTACTTATGAACAATGAAAGTACGTATGTATTATGATCGAGAATATAATAAGTGCTTTTTACAGACACACTTCTTTTGCTCATAATAAGGTACTTCGCTGTCCATAAGTACTCGATTTTTCCAGAGGTGATAATTAAGATCGCCTTGAAACATTTTAAAAAACTTTATAAATTAAAAAAATACTACAGTATTTTGTTTAATTTATTCGCTGAGATGAGAGGAAGTATTCGGGAAAAAAGTATTAATTATGACAGCAAAATGTAAATTAAATGTAATTAAATTATGTATGCTCACTTAAACATACCTCGTTCCGAAATTATTATTTTTAAATATTTTTGTCACTTGAAACTTGTAATGGCACTCGCTGATTTATTCCTGGTTTTTAAAACTTACAGTATTAATCAAATAAACTGCTTAGCTGCCATGAAACAACTTCGTCTAACGTACGACAGCTGTTTTCAGCTTTTAGAATATAGTTTTAAGCTGAAACACAGTTAAAACCCATTAAAACCCGAATAAAACCCATTAAAACCCAAATAAAACCCATTTAACATGGTAAAACCCAATGGGTTTTATTCGTTAACAACCCATTAAAACCCATTAAAACCCAAAAAACCCAACCCAATAAAACCCTGGGTCGGAATACCCTGGTGCTATTGCATGTCGAATTATTTTCTTGCTTGTTCTGGTTTTCAGGCTACATTTATTTCGTCAAAAGTGTTGTTGTCCAAGCGGAGGAACTTTGTCTTGAAATGGAAACCACCACCGCCACCATCGCCATTTTTTTGTGCAATCCCTTAAAGATTTGCACACAAGAATTCCGGTTTTATTGGAATCTTGCAATTTCTTGCTTGCTGTCTTCTGTCAGTCACCATGCACCGCCGCAAAGAAGGACTGATTCTCAGAAGTATCCAACCTTTTATCGGTATGGATGAGATCTGATCTCTGATTTGAGGTGATTCATATTCCAGGCCAGTTTTGCACCTGGATCTTTTTATCGGCAAATAAATCTTGACAAATTTCGCGGATAAAAGTATGTTGGAAAATTTCGGAATATACAAGCTCTCAGGTTTCAATTACTTATTTAAATTTCTAATAATATCAAATGTTATTTGAGCATGCATGATTACAAAATTGGATAAGAATCTGAACACCCACGGTTATGTCCGGTTCAACCCGTCCTAATTTATAATTACCAGTTTAGCACATACCCATAAAATTAGCACTCTCGCCGTGCTGCTAGTTGCATACATATTTAAATGAATGAATAAGTCCAGTTTTCCAGTTGGACAGACATCTTCTATTTCTGTGGAGTGAATCATTCACACGCAATCTGGCTGCTACCCAACCCATAAACGCCAACCAGCCGACTTGTCTGTCGACTGTGTAAATGTCGAGAACGAAATTTCAGAATATATAGTTTCTTGTTTAATCATAACTTCTTGTTGGGAGGCTTGTTTTCACCGACTCTCGAAGAACCACGTCTGTGGGTCAGTTGGAGGATAAGTTTAATTCGGACCTTGTTTTACATGATGTGGCCATAAATCCTGCCTCGCAAAGCTGGAATAATGCGTGACATCGGCAATCCCAAATCATGTCAAGCACTTTCGTAACTTATTACTTGTTCAGGATTTCATTTACTTGAATTTGCCTACCAAAAGGTTAACACAATAAAATTAAATAAGTAAAGAAGAAAAAAAGTGCATGACAAAGGCGAAATTTAATATTTCATCATGACCCAAAAAATCAGCCGTCATTTAAAATTAAATTCACCCCCGTTGTCAGCAAGCGATCTGACATAAATCAATTTTCATACCACTTTTGATGATGAGCAGCAATTCAGTTTGGCCGTCTCTGGACCTGTTTCTCGCAGCCATACTGCACAAAGATCACGATTTGTGATGGCCATGAAATTGTCTCTCACTTCTTGAGGTTGAGTGACCCACATTAAATACTCTTTCAGAGCAGTCATAACTTTATGCTGTCCACTTGAAGCATGCATTCCACATGTCCGAAAGAATGGTCAGTCATGAAATTAAATAGATTTCTCTCTCTGGTCCGGATTTCAATTTTGTTAATAAAATATACAGGTCATGTCTCATTATAACATGCATTTGATTACATTTATGGCCTGAATTGTAATCATCAACATTGAGTAATTGTAGCATAATAATTTCCCATTATTTCCAAATGGTTCCAGTCAAGATCACGATTTGGTGTCGAAACCAAGTTCTTCTACTTAGCATATAAGCATGTATACACACTTTATGCATTGTAGTTTTAAATACGCCGATCAGAGAAGCAATACTACTCCAAACTCATTAGCATTCCTACTTACACCAGGTCTTAATTGCGTGTTCGAGTTTGATCGAGCCAATAAATCTCGGCAAAAGTGGGAATAATTGATTTACTTACATACTTCGAACCCACAGAATACTCTGTGAATTCGATGAAACATGTTCGATCGGTAATTCCATTGTACACGTATGACCTTTATGACCCTCTCTCTTGTATAACGTTTATCGTCTGCTAAATGTTTGTTGTAATATTATTCAATTACTGAACAAAATATCGGCTCGTTCGAGTGCAAATTTTAATGGATCTAATTGTCCTAATTCTGTTGCGTTAAAAATTCGGAATTATTTCTTTCAATCATCGGCGAAGTTTGGCTTCAGTTTTTTTTCCATGTTTTTACTTGACATGCTCAAACACAATGATGTACTACGTATTGTTGACACGCTGTCACTCACGCATATATATACATACACGGCTCATAAATATTCCAGTATAAATGCAAAACTTGGTACAATAAGTGAATGCTACTGCGTAGGGTTCATTATTATGTATTTTGCATTAAATCCCAGACTTGCTCTGTACCTAAATTAATATTTCAGTCGAGGATCGATTGGAAGTAAAAGATTTTTTAACCAGCAATCAGTCCGTCAATCATAAGATTACATATTTAGTAGACAAGTAGGCATATGTATGCATGTGCAATCTGAATGCCTTGCATGCAGCAGGTATATGTACACATAGCAGAAATAATGCTAGGAAAATTTGACAGTAGCACGTACATTACAGTGATCGTCGTGGCGTATTGTGCAAATCCTGACTTATTAAGCGAGAGGTTAAATAAGGCTTTGTTACTGATCACCATATTTTATTCAAATTTGAAAGTTTAATGACTTTTGAATTCTTCGGATGAAAACCCTTTCCTTAAAGTCGACTCAGAATTCGCGAGACTCCTTTAAATCCTTCTTACTTGTCGTTAGCCATACAAACATGCAAAAATAATCATTATTCTCTGTCTATTTTCTACAGAGTTTTTCAATTCTTAACAAGATTCTACTCCATCAGTCTTAAAGAGATAACGAGTGCAGATGGAGGAACATGTACCGTAACGCGATATTGCATTGACGCATATGTCATGGAATCTTTTATTACAAGAAAGTTATTCCAGCCAAACATTTTTTAACACGATACCATTTGGGACAAGTGCTTATATACACAATAAGTTCATTAATTTCTTTTGCACACTGATAGAAATTTCAAACATTTACTTCTTTGCAATATATAAATTTGCACACATGAGGAAAATTGAGCTTGACAATATCATTAGTTTCTGTCCAAAATAACCAGTTTTTGAATAGGTAACTGAACTCGTGTATGCCTTGCCGCAGACATTTGTTGCGATAACCAATAAAAGTGCAAAGGGATGCACAATCATAAAATTACTTGATAATTGTAAGATTGAAACTTTATTACAATTCCAGTGTTTTCTACCATCTTAATTCCAGTTATTGTTTTTAAAAAATACTATTACCAAGTATTTATTTAATCATAATCCAAATGCGCAATAAATGATTATTGAATAATTTATGAACAATGTTGACTTGTACTACTTTTTTGCCCCAATCACCTATCGTATTTCGTGTCGTGATCAGTTTTTCAGAATAAATGGGCAGTACCAAATCATGAAGTTGTCAATTTCCACACTGTTGGCAATTTTGGGGTGGCTCTGGGATGGTGGGCAGTCAGGAAACATCATGTTTTCCATAAAATCGCTCTTGCATGTCTTGCTGGATAAGAATCTTGTAGCCAAAGGCCTTAGTACTTTTGCTCAGAATGAATATTCAATCTGATATGATATGCAAATATTAACGCAGACAATGTGGTGTGGTTCGACACGGATCATTACTAGCCAGACAGTAGTTTTTATTTTCCACAGACACCCAGGCATCCCTACCTGTCATGCAGAAATAATACAACGCACCCCACAACAATTAATTAGTATGTTGATCACATGAATGCAGAAAATCCCAGGACAAGTAATTTCTCATCTAGTATTCAGCGGGTGGTAAAATGTGTCAAAATCTAATTTATTTTTCCAGCTCATCTGAAAACAGTTAGCCAAAACCTGTCCTTTTTATGGTGATCAACATGTAGATGTCAATGTCACCAAATGTCACATGAAATCCCTCAGTTTTTATACATCAAAATGTACGATTAAACTGAAACCATCCAATTTTTCAGAATAGTCGAAAGAATCTACCTCTTCTTGGTTCAGGTGAGATCGTAACGTCCTAAAAATTAATTATAAGAATAAACTTACAACAGTTGTAAGACAATTGAAGCTGATTGTGCAGTATAGGATGTACATTTTACAGCTATTTCTCTGTAAAACGAGTTATCCGATTACCTGTGCTTATCCTTAAAGCTTTGAAAAATTAAATGAGTCTTCTGGACATGACCGAATTTTAAGAAAGTGTCACACTTATTTTGTAACTGTCTTACTTCTTCACTTACCGAATACACTTTTCTTCATTGTCCGTGTTACTATACTTTCGACTTTCTACCCATCCACAAGTTAAACATTTTCCAGAGCATTTCTTGCAATGGAACGATCGAAGTAATGCGCACTTACCTTTCCCTTATTCAAAGAACACTACTTCTTTTAGTTTCTAAATACCATTTAATTTCCCAACAAAAGGTCCCCCTCTCGGAGCTTAAAATTTACTTTAAGTTCTTTCAACACAAATTGAATGCAGCAAACTGATTTCCACACGATATGAATGTATGTTGAAGTGTACAGAGCTGCAGGATGCCTTGTGCTTATTAATAATTTTTTAAATAAGTAATCTACACAATTTGTTTGAGGTTGTAGCAAATCTCATTCTTCTTGGTGACAAGGTACAACAGTTGAGAAAGGGTGATTAATAAATGGATTTTGTGCATGATACTTTGTGTTGCAAATACTTTAACAATTTATTCAACGTTTACTTTCACTGACCAATTTGCGGATCTACCGACTTGATCCACTCATAGTAGGATGCAACATTTGTGAAAACAACGGGGAAACCAGCCTGACCACAAGTTGTGCCCCATGACGCCATGCCCACGACGGTGTAGCGCTCACTTCTTCTGTCCTTGCAGACAAGAGCACCTCCTTCATCGCCCTAGATCAAAAATTAATAACGATATTAACGAACTTTTTGATAATCAGTCAATATTAATGATAACTAATCAATCAGCCATGCACATATACATACCTTGCATAAACCTTTCCCATGATCGCCACCAGCGCAAAGGAAGCTCTTCTGATCGAGTAGAAATTGAGGATCTCCGACATTTTTACGGAGGGCATCCTGGCAAACGTTCCCCTCCACCATTTGTAAGTCCACCTCCTTCAATATGTTTCTCGTCTGACCTGCGCCCTGACCCGGTGGTGGGTTTGGTTGGGTCGGCAACGTTTGTGCAGGCGGCACTTGTTGCTGTTGTTGTGATGAAATTGGACGACCTCCAACCCCGGCAGGATTTTTGTTCCCAACCACGACCCGTTGGCGAAGAGAAGGCTGCACCCCCCAACCAGACACGAGACACCTTCACACAAGTACTCATTAGAAGGCTTACTAATATGAATATACTATTTTATAACCATATTTGCATAAATAAGGCAAATCCTTGACTGACTTTGCACCCGCAAACTTGTTGACATCGTTTGGTTTAGCCACACAGCCAGATCGAATGCTGGGGAATGAGCTGAGATCGACAAAATTTGTCAATCGTAGGATGGCAATATCATTTTGGTACGTTCTAGGATTGAAATTTGGATGGATGATGATTTCACTGACTCCAAACTCTTGTGGTTTGAAGGGCTCATCATTTGAGGAGAGGTCCCATTCGCCCAGACGGACTTTAAGTCGTCCAGACCTTCCACTATACGGGTAAAATAGTGCAGTTTATGATTACATAACAACGGTGATGATGTTGTACCACTCGTCGTGGTGGTAGTGGTGAATTGCATGCCTAATTAATTATCATCACCACTGAATATTAAGTAATCACGTAAATCTTCCCACCTTTGGAGATGTTGCACATTTCGGGCCGTGGTCAACACTATTCTCCATGAAATTACGATCCCTAGACCATAAATCACTTGGTTGTTCGTATCCATTACTAACGCAGTCCAAGGATGATCTCCAAAGTTTGCCTGATTCATTCATTCATGAAAAAAAAATAAACCAAAACATTAATACTTTGCATTGTGTGCACTGCTGCGGAGAAAGAATTGCATAATTGAACATCCTTGAAAATAGTAAATTTATGGGGCACAACTTGTAATTGCTTTTCAGCAAGAATAACAATTAGCATGCACACGGCAGAAAAGTTTTTCTGATCCTTACTGCTAAAACGTGCACATGAAATGTGTATTTATTTATTTATATTGGAAGATTGGAACCTCTCTCCGTCTACGTGAGATGAAGTCTTAAGTTTTTGGTGATTTTTTTAAAGGAAAGTATAAAATGATTTTAAATGTTTAGTTTTCCTACCTCGCCGTACAAAGGGTAGGGATTAAAAAATGGGAAATTTGCTGGGACGCCACATCCTGGACCTGTCGTCAAGCAGCACATGACATCGTCCCGATTTCTGCAAGGCGGCTGCCCAACACCATAATCAATTAATTTGATACATTATAATTTGATGATCATACATATGTAGAGGGGTCGCGGAAGCCGTGGGGACATGTGGAAACATTAACATGGTTGGATAGGTGAGGGTGGGGTTTATGTAACATGGGCAGATGGTGGGGACAGTGGGAAGATTGTCCCTCTGTCTCCACGTTTCCGCGGCCATTGCATTTTTATGTGCGCTATTATGTTTATTATCATACATTGTTCACGGCCCTTTTAGCTCTAACGACCTTATAGTTGGCTCCATTGCAGTAGTACTTGTTAATACAGCGACAATAGCCTGGAGTGTAACTGGTCGAAAGGTCTTCATTTTGACCGAAATCTTGTCGTAAATCTATAAATTAATCAGTCCATCAATTAAAATTTGTGCAATTTAATTTAAGCAAATGGAAAGTTGTACCGAAATCGTCTGACGCTACTGGAAATTCGGCAGTAGTGGTTCCTACCCCATCCGTGTCGTCGTCCGAGGGGACGGATGATTCCGGAAAATCTTGAAATGACTCGTTTGACCCCAGCCAAAAAGGGGAATGGTCATTTATCTTGATGTTCGTAATGTCACCAAAGGTCAACCCCATCAGACCCAGGGAGAGCAACCAATAACTTGAGACGCAAGCCATTATGCTGCTAAATTGTGTTGGACTTTTTTCCACAAAGCTAAAATCCAGACTAGTTTTTGGGTTTAAGTGACATGTTAGTTTTATCCGAAGTGATTGTTGTTTACTTTGAAGCCAAGAAAGGTCTTCGCCCTTGTGGGTTGCAAATTCCGGTTTATTCGTACTCATAGACCAGACAAGTACGGTGTTGGTGCCATATTAGTTTGGAGCAGGTAGTAGGATCAGTATACTGTAGATTTAGTTTAATTAGCAATGCCATTATGGGATAACGACATGCGAAAGCTTTCAGCATTTTTAGGCATTTCCAGTTTTGCAACAATAATAAATTACTCCGCAATCATTTTGGCCGATGAACTTGACGATTCCACTTCTAGCTCTGTAGGACATATGTAATGAGACCATGTATTAGAGTTGCCAATAAGCCACTGGCTCTAACCAGTGACTTATTGGCAACATTATATTTTCAGATTATCGGCATCCAGGAAGAATTCATAAAGATAGATGTTTCATTCAACCACAAACGAAGTAAATGTATGTATGTAACACAAATGAAGTAACGATTACATCAAATTTTGATCAAAATGCTAAAACTCTGCACTAGTTATTACAGTCTTTAGTAAATTGTTTGATTGATCTGTTTGTTGCTGCGATTCTTTTTTGATCGTGCAAGATGAATGAAACACTAACCGGTTGACGACGATAGTCGTGACCAATACTGATCACAGCAACAAGTAAGACACACCATATTCATTGATAAGAGTACCACATGCAACTCCTCCCGTGCGGTACAAATGCAGGAGTTGTGGTGTGGAACTTTGTTGTCTCGTACGAAATAACGTGTACTTAATTATCTCAAACCAATCGATCTGGTTGTGAAGACGGATGACGAGCCGTGTCCATGTCCATCCATCAGTTCTCGTTTCTTCTACGTTACTTATCGACCACCTGCGGTAATTCACAAAACTGAGCTTGAGTTTACCTAAAAAACGACAATTCAGCACGTAGCTTTAAGAAATATTAATTCCAAGATTAAGAAAATCGCACCTGTTCTTACGAATTGTACGGTACGCAGCACACATGCACTTCAGGGTACGGAATACACGAGTGATACAATCCAATTGAAATATCCATGGGGCGGCGTTGGGTTTTATAATTAACAAGAATTTATGCAAACAATGTGATACATGTGATGGAAGTTGATTTTCAGGGTTTTATCCCAAATAATGGACACGTGTATTAAATTATCGTTGATACGTGATACCATATTTGATATATTATATGATATTATTTTTACTTCTCATTCATGTCAGAGATATTTGTGTGACGTATCGTATGCATTTTCTCTGTTAAGAATGAGTTGAGATCGTCACTATTTATTAACGAATTCATAAGAGCAAAAAATAAATAGGTGATGGAATGTCAGGGGGACCAATCTCAATCGGAAGATTTCAGAACTCCTGCCCATTCATGCACCAAACTATTACATATTTTCGAACACTTATTTTTACCCACTTGCTCCTTGGGAGCCAACATCCCCAACACATGCATAAATTTATGTAATAATTGGAATACACGGAGGTTTAATGAAAATTGGAAGAAAAGTGATTAACTTTATTTCTCGAGTTTTCGAGCGTGAATTTTTACACTCATTTTTAATATATTTAGAAATAAGAGGAAAAATTAGAATTGCAAGAGTATTATTGATTGATTTGTTGGTAGGTATCACTGGACATTTACTAGGGTCGTTAAGTGGTAATCGTGAAAAATAAATAAATAAATTTACATATTATCGGACATTTTACCATGCAAAGAAAATTAAAGTAAAATAGTATCTAAAAATACAAGACCACAGAACAATATTCATAAGAAAGATACCACCACGTTTTATAATATTAGTATTTGTAGTTAATGTTATTTTCAATCCATGGAAGGAAGTTTTGCACGTTTACGTACGCCCCCGGCACTGCATAGTCAGCACAACCAATACCTACACGTTTACATGTAATCAAGTTATCATATTTAAATCAGCTAAAGTAATTAATTTCATATTCTTATAAAATTACCCCAAGCCACCAACCCAACAACATTCCAAGTCCCGTTAATCTCGCACATTAAAGGAGATCCACCATCCCCCTGAAGTAAGAAATCGTGTAGTCAAACCAATTACTAAATGCATCAATTATGAATAAAAATTATAGGTACTCACGGTACAGGCATCCTTCCCTTCTTCACCTCCAGCACAGAGAAAACTGTGCTTATTGAGTTCAAAGTACTTCCCAAGACGCGTTGCCTTCAAAAGGTTCTCACAAGTCTGTGATTCCACAATTGGCAAATCTACCTCCTTCATAATGTAAGAATGTTTGCCATTTCCAAATGCGTCTTTCCCAAAACCAGCAACCCAGCATCTGCACACATTCAAAATTCATGCCGGTTATGGTTGGCAAACTTAATTTTCTTTATAACAATTAGTGTGCAACCTTTGCCCAGGTTTGTTGGCGTACGCATCTTTGGGCAGGCAGGCAGCTTTGATGTGTGGAAAAGCATTGACATCGATCGGCTTTGCGAGTTTGATTAGAGCAACGTCATTGTACAAATTTTCCGGATTAAATTGTGGATGAAATTGGATGTCAGCTACTTCAATTTCAACGTTTTTATACGGTTCGTCATCATCTTTGGCGTTCCATTCACCCAAGCGGATTTTCATGTAGGTACCTGGTCTGCAAATAACATATCAGACGGTTAGCATTTTTATAAATAAAGTTGACATGTTTTCCAACATATTTATATATAGTTCAAGTCATTATTACTTCCACGATTGAACTTTGTGGGCAACGGTCAGCACATAGTTTTCATTCAGCAAAGCTCCTGCCCCAATATAATTGTTGCCTTTGCCCAATATTACAGCCATCTAAAGATTGCACATAATTTATTAGTCGCATAATGTATTGTACATATATTTATAAGTGGTAAAGCTCGTACCCAAGGATAAGATCCAAACTTTGCCTGCAAAACAAATCAAATAATACGTATTTACATGTAGATATACTAAAAACCTATGCACTGTAATACGAAATCAATAACTGACCTGTCCATATTCGGGCACCCATCCAGGTACGTCTAACGCACTTGTTTTACCACAGACGGCATATCCTCCTCCAGGGAAATGATTGCCTCCACCGTTGCCACCGCCTGTGTTCTGTTTTCCGCAGCAGAACACTTGGCCTGGGCTGCATTGTACCCCGCCTTGACCGCCTGGGGGCTGCAAGTAACACAAATAAAACCATTTAGTTCAACAATTTTCATATAGAAGTTGTATACTCATTTTAATATCAGTATAATGATTTCTCACCCTGTTCACAATTCGAATGTCAATAACTCCTGCACCATCTTTTGGTGGATTCGTGCCAATTTGTTCCTCGCCCCCTCCGTAGCCGGAGTCTGGAGGAGGTGGAGGGTGTGGATTCTCAATTATGGGTTCCTTCTCCCCCGGATAACCACCCCCACCACCTCCTTGATTCGCGCAGTGTTCGACAGGGACGCATTGGCATGGCCCTCCACCACCACCCCCTCCTTGGAACCCGCTCCCTGCTCCAGAATAGGGGCCGCCACCACCACCACCAATCACGGGAATATTCTCCGTCTCATAGTTGCCTCCTCCCCCTTGATGATTGCCACCGTTGTGATCCGTGTTGCCACCACTGATGAGTTGACCTTGACCTGCTCCATGCTCAGGAACGTAGCCTGGCACCGGCTGAACTCCTAAAGTCGATGCGAGAAGACCCAGTCGTTCCTCCTTCTTTTCCTCCTCCCCCAATACCACCATGGACAGAACCACTACTGCCACCACAAGCTGATTCAAAATTGATCCACCCATTACTTTGATGAAAATGGAAACGATGGCTAAAATGAAATCCTCCTCTGTCTACACTCTGGACGAGCCACAGACGAGCAGTGAGACGCAGAAGAATGAAGAATGCATGCTAATTTCTAATTCCATTTATATGGATGACATGACCAACTTTTAAGAATTAGTATTTGGCATATTATTGTCTGTCCAACCAACCCACATAACACAAAAAATAGCTTGCTCATCATTGTTCGTCTTGGACTGGAACTCTGCTTTAATGATTGTAAGGTTGCAATAGATGAGATTTTGGACTAAAAATAGAAAAAAATACTTTTGTTGTACGTGTATGAGGCAGAGGTTTGGTGGTGCAGTGCATGGCCAATCGCACCCAATGTGATTAAAACTACCTGTGATGGCATTGAGCATCGCATCATGGCCCATAATTTTATCGCTTATTCCATTCTTAGAATTTGTTAGATCGAAAACAACCGTGGAGATGATGACGCTGGATGGATTACCACAAAAAAGGATGGAATAGAAGAAGAAGCTATTTGTTCATATGTATCGTACTCAGAAAGCTTTAATATTAAACCGATAATTTCGATTACGTACGAAAATGGTCCACTGCTGGAGGGGATACCTCTGTTATTTCTCGTTCTGGATATCGACTGCCAATCAATCTTGCAAAAAATCGTAAAGATTTTTGAGATTGATATGCAAATGCAGAATACTAACTATTGTTAGACGTTAAGACCATTGAGTTAATCCCAACCTCATAAATCATTCATCATAGTTCAGTATGCACATGAAGTACATGTATGACCATTGTTGGTTGTTCGTCATTGGCAACTTTCGTCTCAAGTACTAAGGTCGTTCTCGTTCCGTCCATTTGATGGTCTATTATAAGTGCATATGCACAGCCATTGGAAATATGCAAATGTAATTTGTACGGATTGATTTGTGAGCCATACAAAAATAATATCACTTTATGACGAATTGAACAAGATATAATAAATATTATAGCGAAATGCATATGAATTGAATTACCTGCAAAAGGTTCTAGTTAATCCTACTGTCATAATTTCGACTGAAACTATTTGAAGCGAAATAAAATACACCATCTTCTATGTCTCAACCACATACATAATGTTAGTCATCAATGAACCATAATTAATTAATTATTGATGAAAATATAATAGTAGTTGTGTAATAAACTTCTGTGGCGTAGAATGTCCCATTTTCATAATTGTTATCATGTAAGTTTTAAATACGTCATAAAAGGGAAACTTATTTACAAAACTTAGTTTCAGGTGGTATATAACTTTTATAAAATGTCAATATTCAAACATTCAGGTTAAGATAAAACAGACATAAACTAACGAGCAATATGGTAAATATATGTATGCACAAGAATCGACTAGTACAAATTATACTGCATTAATTTCTAAATTCAACTGCCTCGCAATTTCAAACACAATTATTCCAAAAGCATTCGCAGCGTTAAGGCTGTCCATACTATTAGCTAAGGGAATTCGTATCCTGAAAATGTTTACGGATTTGGATTTCTCCAAAAGTTTAATGGTTGATATCATTTTATCCGTAATGGCTTCCGTTTCCCCTCCAATTATGATAAAGTTATGAGCAAATTTGGTATAGTCAATATTTCTGAACGGGATTGAAGGCATGTTACCTAATCTTGAATCTTCCAGGTTTGAATCACAAATCAAAACACTAAAAATTTCTTCCTGACAACATTTTCCAGCAATTTGCAGCATTTTGTTTTCCATGAGCATGTGTGTGATATCTTCCTTAGTATTTGTAGTTATTGGCAGTCGAAAATGAGCTCCAGATGCGCCACGGATTACTTTTAAGTAAAAAAAGCTTGTTAAAAATGTTAAATCATAATAAATCTGTGTACATACATTTTAAAGAACACAAATATTTTTCTATATGGACAATTTAAACAAACCTTTCATATTCCATGGATCCACGCAACCTACAAAAATAAATTCGCTATAATAAGTTCGTTGAGGAATTAAATTAGTAACACAATAATAATTTAGGTTCTATAAAACTGCATATGCAAACCTTTCGATAAATATACGTCATCACATCCAGCTCCAGATGCAGAACGAAGAATGGACCCCAAATTTCCAGGTTCACGAATGTTGTCGCAAATCAGAGTAATTGGAAGAGTTGATTTTCTTGATACAGCAAGTTTTTTATCCGCTAACTGAGGCTTTTGGAAGACTCCTTTAAAATTTAATCGATATAAGACTTAAGCGAATACAATTTTGTTATAAACATTCAGTCCCATACCAATTATTCCAGGTGGTGTTGTAAGTGATGACCAAGTTTCCATTGCTTTCATTCCAATCCTATGAACTTCTGGAACTTTACATATTCCCGACGTCAACTGATGCTTTTCGTCTTCTAAAAAATGCGCGAGTCCATTCGGTAGTATTTTCAAACTTCGGAGTAAATATAACTTTTCCATTTTCAAGCCACATTCTAAAGCTTCTTCAACCATCCTGGATCCCTCAATTGCAATCCGGTATTGACTTTTGCCCATAAATATTTCTCCCATGGTTAAACTGTTATAAAGCGAAGAGAATAACAGTTAGTTATGAATATTGATGACTGATTATTTTAATAAATATTCTGTGTTACAAACTTGAAATCGGTTGCAGATTTATTTTGCTTTGTATCTGAAACTATCCGTTTTGGTTTATTATTTCTGTTTCGTTTTCCTTCTTCAGGGTCGCTAACATCCAGAACCAGCCGGGACATTGCATTGTTCTTGTTTCTAACAAAGATGTGAGACCATGGAGGGAACGAGAGATAATTTCCAGGGGTCGAAGGATCGATTAAGTTAAATAATCCACCATTTCCACTTATGGAACGACAACTTGAAGGATGAAGACTAGATGCCCAGAAAAAGCTTTTCCTGCTAATATTTCGAGCCATAATTGTATCGGTAACAAGTTGATGAGAGTCCTAAAATGTATTAATTAAATAGATCATCTTTATTAATTCCAGTATCAATAAAATTACGACGAAATAAAACAAAAATAGTGTCACAAATGCATGTGAATTTTGTTATACTTCAAATTCAAATCCTTGAAACTGCAGTAGTCAAAACATACCTAGTTTTATGGCAAACTTAACTTGAAGGTTACAAATAAGTTCCAAATTCGTAGTTATCTTGCAGCTTCAACTAGTTTGACAAAGTTGTTAACAAACAAGACGATAAAAATAAACCCATGTGAACTTATTCACCGGCTTTTTCCCGCTGACTCTGTCACATCTTTCCCCCTCTTAATCAACTGATTGGTTACCTTGACAACTGTTAATTTTTAAGAAATATGTAAAAAATATAACAAAATATAAATAATTTTTAATTTACTTTTTGTCGATTGATAAATCAACTATTGTGTTTTAATGCAATATTTAGTCAGTTTATGCATTTTGGCATATATTCCAAACCTGAGGTAAAGTGAGATTCTGGTCGCACATGTGTCTCACTCGGTGTGAGACTGACAAAATTTTAGCTACTTTAATTTTCGATATGCATGTCTTTCTAAATTTGAAATTATTAAATTATTAAATGTTTCAAAATAAATCGGAGTTATTTGATTTCAGTTTCAAATTAATAATTATAATTTGTCCCTTATTCTCCAAAGGTTGATTGAGTGGATAAACATAGAGAATGATGTGTGGTTGCTATGGCTGGAACTGGACTTGAACTCTCATCATTCTCGCATTTTACTTTTTTGACGACCTGTCTGCGAATAAAAACAGCTCCTCTGTCCACTTCTATTTCCTTCTTCCAGCTCTGCCCTCGCTTGACGAAAGGTCCCTTTGGCGATAAACGACCCCTCAAGGCTTCAGGCTAAAGAAATCATTTCGGAACCCTTGGACAACTGCGCGTGAAAATTGTGGTCACAAGTAAGTAAGCTTTAGGTCGAGACTAATGGTAAGTTGGTTGATGGAGAAAAAGGCCTATTCCAGGTCACAGGTTTCTTTATTTTGTATTTGATAGATTGACTCCCTGTACACTTATCATTTCTTTATGGTTGGTTGATGCATGTTTTCGAAATAGTTGAGGACCTCAACTATTTGAAATCTCAACTTGAGGTTGCAACTTGCATTAATTAATTTGATCCATTTTTTCAATTGATATTTTACTATTGATGCCCAGCTTAGCTCAAGGTACGAGTCATAGTGCAAGAAACCTTTCGAGCCTCCAAGTAGTGTTCAGCCCAGTGGGAAACCAAGAGTGTGAGGCCTGCTAATTGTGCCAATGTAAAAATTAACTATAGATCATATGCCCACCCCGTAATTAGTCAAGGGTCGAATTAGTCTCTCCGGTACCAATTGCTCATGTTACGGCTTCAATTCAAATGGGTGGGAACTATATCACTGGGTGGAATACATAATGATTATGTATCTTATGATTATGTAACTTTGAGATTATGTCATAATCTCAAAGTTATAATCAAATAACATAGAGGTATTATTTCGAATGTGTAATAAAAAGCGCATTTTTTCCAATTGAAACTACTTTATATTTCAAATTCTAATTAAGCAAAGTTAGTCAATTTTCTCATCCCTTTCATTATTCTTCGATTATGAGTTTTGTCCAGATCCGGGTGAAATAGTACGAAAGCATAGATGAGATTCTGCAGTAATACTATTGCATGACTTGAGCCTGTGTTCTTATTTTGAGACAGCGACTTGTATATACGAATATGAGATCAGAACATTCTGAAATATAACCCGAATGGTTCGATTCATTTTAACTCAGTCTCGCTTTAGCAGAACTGGAGAAGGGTTGTTGTGGTTGGTATCTCTAAAATATTCCCTGTCAAACAGCTGTCTGTGAGTCGTCTTGGTGATGTAGTTTTCCAAACACTTTGAATCACTTATCATTAAAAATTGTATTGTTTATCTATCGCAGTGGTGAAATTCCGGCTTGTTGGAGTCATGCAAATGCTGGCGACGGATAAGTACCGGGCGCTACACTACGTTTTGAAGATTGCAGACAGGAAATCTGCGATTGATTTCTTCAAAAATGTTCTTGGCATGAAGGTGAGTAGTTTCTTGACACATTGGTTATCCAAATGTCGTGTGACATCAGAGTGCTTAATGAGGAAAGCAATATAATTGTCATTATCATCAAGTAATAATACAAATTTAGATGCAATATAAATATTAAAGAGAGGCTAAAGTAGATAAATCCAGTGCTAAAATTTGAATTGTACTGTCAATAACTTTGGAACTTATAATAGTGCACTTCTTTTTCAGATATTTTACTTATGTTAGCAACATATGTAAATTCACCGTCTCACAATGATATGCTTCTAATTTTTAACTAGCCAACTTAATGATTGAACGTATAAAACACTCACTTAATGGAAACATTGTAAATGGTTCAATGAAAACCACGAATACAATGCATTGTATTAAAATGAGTGATTAGATTGACAATCAATAAGAATGAGCGAATCTATGATATGATAATATGCATAGAGCTATGCATATGATTCATTGTGAGGGTGTATAATAAATCATATTGCGAATATGAATATAATTGAGTTATATTATTTCGATAAATATGATACGATAAATCAATTAATCGATATCGATATACATTATGAGGCGCCTGAGTTGTGCTCCTTTTTCACTATAAATTGTTCATTGTATAATACAATTTGTATTGCACTGCAATTGCACCAGTAAGCCATTAGTTGAAGTTTCGAAAACCATTCTTTTTTTCTTTCTTTATTCAGGTTTTACGGCACGAGGAATTTGAGAAAGGATGCGAGGCTACTTGCAATGGGTTTGTAAATAAATGTTTATCACTTGAACGCTTTTACATAATTGTCCAGTATGGCTTTTAAATTTCTGACCTAGATGACATAGCTTGAGACACCCACTCAATATTTCTTTTTCGGATTTTTTTCAAAGCAGAATAGAATACCAAAAAGTCCAGTTTCGGACTTTAGAATGAAATCATACCGTTTGAACTAAACAATTATGGTGTCGGTATTATAAATTGAATTCACGAAGATGCCAGTAATATTTGCTCTAGTCCTCTGAATGGAATTCTTGAGCACATTTTTCTCTTCTTTAGAGCCAGAAAGAATTTAATTAAGTGGGGAAAGACGTGTCATGCACATGCAGAGAATTGCTGGTTAGGGTTTTTCAATCTCTTTGTGTCCTGGTTGACGAGACCATCAGATTAGTTTTGTAGACTTCGTGTAAGCACTTTCTCTAGTTTTCCTATATTTTCAAAAGTATGTTTGCTGTTACCCTACTTACTATACTGAATTTGATAGCTGACAACAGAGGATGGATCTTTGTCAAACAAGAGGACTAATTTATTTCGCATCACGTTCTATTTTCAGACAGAATTTTTATTTTAGCTGAATCATATGAAACTATATTAAGTGTTTTGTTGGCCAGTCGTTGTAAATAGTAGACTCTTATATTTGGTATAGCTTCTCTCAATATCTTGATCTTATACTTAAACTACATAACTTATTAAACTAATTTATTTTTTCAGACCATATGATGGGAAATGGTCGAAAACTATGGTTGGATACGGCCCCGAGGACAAGAACTTTGTCCTGGAACTGACGTATAACTATGGAGTGGACTCGTACATCGTTACCGAATGTATTGAATACATCTGTGTTCTTCGGCGCGATGTCACTGCTGCAAGAGCCGTTGCGTATACTACTTTGACGGACGGATCATTGGCATTGTCTAACAATGGGTACTATTTCCGTGTGATTGAAAGCTCTGCAGGTGTGTGAATATAGTTGATGTAATTACCTTATTCAAATCTCACCTTATACCCATATTTCTTTCTTACACAGACTTAATCTGTCGGGTCCAACTCCGTAGTGGAGTCGCTGAATCCAGAAATAACCAGCATGCAAAGTTCTACGAGGAGATTTTGGGAATGAAATCGGTGAACTGTGGTGATCAAGCACGGGCATGCCTCGTTTACCCAACGGATCCAATGGTCCTGGTCCTTCGACCTTTCTTACCACGCGACGACGACGACGGAAGTGTGAAACACGGAACTGGGTTTGGGCGAATGGCCTTCGCTTGCCCAACATCTCATCTCCCACGAATCCAGGCTCTCGTGTCAGAGGCATCATATGAAGGGGGTTTTAAACCCAAAATTCTAACCCCTTTGGTCTCCCTTGATACTCCAGGGAAAGCAACAGTGTCCGTTGTCATCATCGCAGACTTAGTTAGTGATAAGCACTTACTTATACGACATCAAATAATAATGATAAATATGTTAAAAGTTTTGGGCTGATATTTTCTTAGTCGGGACACGAGATATGCCTCGTTGGGGCAGAAGATTATAAAGACCTATGCAAAGAAGATCCCGGAGCGGACGATCTATTGACCAAGAGCATGGCTGAAGACAAATCCCGTGAATGGCTCCAGAAGAAGAAGCAGCAAGAGACGCAGCAGGAGACGCAAAACGTCGACGATGCCGACTAACCGAGTTTTATCTCCCGTCGATTTTATCTGTCTACGTTACATTCAATATTTTGTGATTCTACTCTTATATTTTCACTGAAAAGAAAGGTGTGCATGTTTAGTTATTTAACTCGGCCAATCAAATTACTAATAGGTTTGGAACTTGAACACAATTTTTTCCGTCCGTAAATAGTTGCAAAATAACAATATCTAAATCAAATGTATATATTAACAGAGAGTAGAAATGTAAAAGAATTCGTAGTAAAATATCTATGATTGGAACTAGTAAATAATTTATTTTATCTCGTTGAAAATTATATTGTATTCATAATTCAATGTTTCCTACGCTTTACGTGTATTGCTCCTCACGAAGGAATGAAAATGATACGGGTCCATCAAATAAATATTATACGCATGTAAGAAGGATGAGAATTAATTTATGTGAACAGCAAAATGTTAACAACAACAAAGTTTTTTATTTTATTAAATACGCCAGTTTTTATAAATTTCATCCTTCACGACTCACTAAAACTAACAGCGTACAAATCTGACGACCTTCAAGCATTGATGCATAATATATGACGCCCATTCTTACACGGAACGATACATACATACCTGATAAACAATTCAATAGGAAAAACTTATAAATTTAGAACAAACTACTGAAAATAGCCAGACTTCAGTACAAAGTAGAATATCTTTATAGTTTTGAGTTTAAACTATTCTTTGCATCTATTAATAGATTTAATAAATAATTAATTGACGGTAATAATAGTACCATATCGTAGTAGTAGTTGTAATTTTTACTGTTAAATACATTTCACGCGCTGAAAATAAATATTGTTGGAGACTGTCGATTGTGTTACGGAGAGAACTCTCTACTGTGGAATTAAAAGTTAATGATTGGTTTGTTTGTTGTTTTTGGACTTCTTCTCTAGAAGATAACTCTCAAAATATGAAATTCGATTTACTGACTAGCTGATTTATGTTAGAGTAGCTATTTGTCTTCCAGAAGGGACTGAAGATAAGCGGCCTCGACTTCAGCTTCGCCTTCGCCTTCGCCCTCGTCATAGTCCGGTGGAGAGTTTAGTCGATCAATCGAGCTCAACCGATTGCTTAGAGCTGGAATGAAAGTTTTAGACTAAATTAATTTAGTACAAAAGTGATAATAATGTATGAAATAATGCAACATACATACATTAGTTGGTATCTCAACTTATATAATGCTAAATGGTACTTACTACGATAGAATGGCTGCCGAGTGCCCAGTCGATCCTTGACTGATGGACGGGAAGCGATGGTTGCGGCGACCTCATCATCATCGGCATCCAATTTGACACGCTCCACACGGTCCCCTAGTCGGCTGCTGATACTGCTTGATTGTGATTGCTGCTGAATCTTTTTTCGAGTAGCTTGGAGTTTTTGTCGAGATTCTTCAACGTCGGCATGCATCCTCATCGTAGGCCCTTTCAATCTATATAAACAACGAACAGACTTATTATATAATTTGCAAATCACTGTGTTCAGAGGCAGGCAAATTGCATTCAAACTCAATTTTTTCAAAATCAAAATCCAAGTTTAATAATAATTGTTATTTAGGAAAGTACAAGTATTCCCCATTCTGAACGTTTTTTAAATACACAATAGTTTATGAAGGAAATTTATGTATCTCTTTAGCTTTATTACATCAAATTAGTCTCAGAATAAGTGACTTACCGCGAAGTCCATTCTTCATCACTGTCGTGACCAGCAGTAAAGAATTGTTTTTCATGCCCACCCAGATTCCCTATGTCTGGCTGCCATCCCCGTTTACGTGGTTTATCCAACTTGTCGAAGATTGATCGCCGACGCATGATTGGGGCTGGTGGTCTCGAGTAGGCCGGCCCTTGATCCAAATGAAAACGTCGCATTTGAGAAATACGAGGAAAAGCAGTGAGAGGAAGATCAACGCCGCGTGGCATCGGAGTATTAGCTCGAACATTGAGATTAGAATCAGGTCGAGAAGATTCGCCACCGCCATCCTCTTCAGCGTGCCAGTCCGCGCTCAACTTCGTCCACACGCTAAACTTTTGAACTTCCCTGAGATCTTCTTCGCTCGAACTGACCTCCGGGGATGGGTTGTAACGAGCTCGTTTGAATGGTCGCTTTTTTCGGTACCCTGAAATTAAGTTGAATTCAATTGTATTTTCATTATATTTTCGTCACAGATATTTACAGCTACAAGTTTAAAATTATAATTTGATCAAACCTTCTTCGTTGTTAAGCCGGTAATTTGGATTGTTGGGGTTTCCGTGTTTCTTATAGTACTCACTGAAATGTTCGGCTCTCTCCTGCTTTCGATCTTGATTTGTTGCAAACCGCATTAAAATGCCGGATGCTTTTTGACAGGGTTTTGCATAGCGCCAAACATGCCCGAGAGGCATTGGAACCGAAATCTTTTCATGAGGGATGACACTTGCCGAATCATAATTCAAGAGTTTGTCACCAAGATTAGTAGCATTCGGCTGTTCTTCCTCTCCTTCTTCAGGAATCGGTTTATCCTCAATATCCAAGTTTTTCTTCTTGTCAACAACCTCGTGGTCTACGGAAATAGGCTTCGTAACTTTCAACAGTGAGGCAGCAGCTTCTTGATTATTCTTATAAACAGCAATACCTACAAGATCAATCATGTTTGTTATGTTATGTAGTTATAAGTGTTTATCCGTATAATATATATAATAATTTAAACATGCAATGAACATGTATTTGCATAACTTTAGATTTTTGATAATTGTAATTGATCACTATTGTAAAATTAATTGAATTTAACCCTGAGAGAATAATCTATATATGATTGACGAAGTTATGTCCTATGTGGATGGAGCCTAATATCAAGAAACCCAAACCTCAGGACAAGATAGTTTACTAGGCCCCTGGTTTCTCGCTATTAGGCTCCACCTAGGTACATAACTTTTTAAAAGTATAATAAAACTATCGACTTTTATTAAGTATTTGAATAACCTAAAAGAATTGATTGATGCTAAAATTAAAAAATTTGCTAAAAACTTACAACAAGCATCGTTTACCCATTCCATCGCTTGTGGAACAAGTCCGATTTCAAAGAGATAGGAAAAAATTTCCTCCGTGCTCATTCGGTTAATACCACGAATAAGAATAGAATCTAAGCGGTAGTGGGTTCCAACTTTTTCAAAACTAGGTTCTCCCCAATCCTCGGCGAAAAGTCCACATCTATTCATCCAAACAGTTAATACCAAATCATAATAAATCACCCAAAGTGTCTTGCAAATCTAATTTCTTACTTTTTATACAGACTCAACAATTCTTCATCACTCACGGCGTCAGCAACTACATCAGCCCCTGCAGTAATTCCAGGCTGTTCAAACTTGTATGGCGAATCGTGGAACCGCTTCGCCCTCTCAGCTCGTTTCCTCCCTTCCTCCGAGCTTTGCAAAGTGAACGGATTCGGATATTGGCGAGGGCCTCTTTCCGGTCTTGTTGATTTAACCAGATCTGGGAAGCCATCCCTATCACGGCTATCACTTTGACTCTCAGTCGCAAACTTACTTAGTGACCTTACAAATTTCGACTTTTTAGTCGTCCTCGAGATGGGAGACGACTCAACATCCCCCAATATTCCAGTGTCAATTTCTACAAGAGACGTGCCACATAATTAGCATATATTTTCGCTCAAATTAACCATATTCAAAAACTAACTATATTCCTCACTTACCCATGCCGCTCTCATTAGAATCTGACAATGATGAGCACTCCCCATCTTCCACGTCCTCCTTGCTCCTCCCAATGATCCCAATTGGCAGCCCCACACCAATTCCTCCGATTCCCCCGACGACCTCAGTTTTTTCATCCTCAGGGACACCCAAATCCATCGGGTCCTCGTCCATCATCTCACTTTCAACCCCCTTTTCCGCCATGGCTGTACGGAATAGAAGTGAGCTTAACTAACGGCTTCACTTCTGCTGCCCTACTCGGAGTAATTAATTAATTGCTGACAAACTAATTTGCGGAGGACGAAGAAAAAAGTCAGCCGAGCGAGTGGAGAAAAGGACGAAGAGTGAAGAGAAAGACGGAGGAGAAGAAGCGAGAGTCAAGTTCAGCGAGAAGAAGTGAGGATTGCTGCTGGCCGGGCAGCTCTTTGGGGCACTGCAACTTCTCCTTGGAGCCAAATTCATTCTTCGCTCTCCTCACGTTCGTACTCGAGTTCATTCCTTCACAATTTCATAAAATCAATTTTTTTTAGCCGTCGTTCACTATTTTTTGAAAAGGACAGTTTCTTCAAAACTCTAGATCTCCACCCACCGCATTTTGTTCAAAGAAAGTTGATCACGGTGGGGATTTGCTTCGTGTTTGGGTAGATACATTTATTGACACTGTGGTTTGATTCAATTAAGTGTCAGATTATATTGCATATTAAGAGCTCAGGTAAAAGATAAGAAACTCATATTGTAGACACTTAAAATTACACTAGAAAAGATTGAGATGGTAAGTTTTTTTTTATAAATAGCTCCAGTTGCGTGAGCTGTCGTTGAGCAATGATGAGACAAGTGCAAGTCAATCCGGTCCACTGGTCGCTCCAATTAGATGCAGATTTAATCGCTTGGAAACAATTGGATACCACATTTCTCTGCTATGACCCCTACGGCCGGACGTCGACACAGATCACTAGTCCAACGGTAAGGATATTTTCTGAAATATCGAAATTATGTATTGCGTTGCGTAACAAGTTTTATATTGTACTCTTAGGAACGCCTCCAAGCAATTCTGTCGAATCAGTCTCTCTTCATTCGAGCCACTGATTTGACAAAGTTCCTTTCAAAGTGTCCGCCAGAAGCCTTAAAAGACAACTTTCAACTAATTATAAACAATCTATTTTTCTCTGGGAATCGCGAACAATCCTGGGACTTGAGAAACATGAGAAAGTTAGAATTTCCGAATGAATCGGCAGCCCTCCTTAAACTGCTTGCGGCGGATGGCCCCATAATCACGCTGGCGTTGAGGTTGATGGATGATCACAATTTTCTGTTGGAGTTTCCTCTGGAAGCATTGCCGGTTAGAAACTAAACAATTATGCAATTTCACAGTTTAAAATTTAGCCATTGTAAAATGAGATGGATATTTATATTAGAATCAACTTCAAAGAAGACTCTTGGAGTCAGATATTCCACCATTCTTTGCGAATAAATTGGGAATGCCGCAAGGTATTGCAAGGCCGCCAAGATCAATGCAAAGTTTGATGTTGAGTAAGTATATAAAGTCATTCGTTGCAACTTAATGAATCCTTAAGGAAATTTAATTATTAATGGTTTACACAACTATAGATCCATTTGAATACTACATCTTTTCATTCGCATCTATAAATCTGCTCGGGTTGGCTCCTACAGGCCGTAATACAGATTATTTGAGCGGATGGGCTGCATTGCAAGACACTTTGTACACTAATGTGTTAGAAGAGTATCTCAGCTACTATTTTCCTTGCACTGGATCTGGCGTTCCGAGTCATAATTTTAATTACACTGCAAATCATCCAAAAGAAACTGTGTTTATGGCAAATTCACTTTTGAGGTAATTAATCAATGATATTCCATTTGGAAGTTCAGCGTATCCAGCAAATGTTAACTTTCACTATTTATACCAAAGTAATGCAAATGGTAACAGGCAGCAACAGCAGTCAAAACATAACTATGGTATGGCTGGTATGCCACAGCAGCCATCGGATCTCCAAGAGAAAGCTTTACCGAAATTATTTAAACCGTCAGTTTTGCAAGAGCAAACAGGGCCTGTGCCTCAAAGGGAAGCTTTATTTTTAACAACCCATCCATCCGCGTACAAAGAAGTTTGGCGAAGTGAAACGATGATTCATGTTTTCATGGAACTTTGGATGTGCGGATACCATGGGGCACTGGATCAAGTGGACAACTTCGTTACCACTAGTCCTGTAAGTATTCGATAAATTATATAGTTGTGCAATTAGTTGGAAAAAATAGTTTTAAAAATGTGTGTATTGTTGTATGCTACATTCTAATACATATTTCACTTTTAGATGATGTACGGCGGATTGCCTACCGTTGAAGTTGTAAAATCTATTCGGATGTTGGTGCGACACTTGCATTACTTTATTAACTGTGTAAATTCTCACGCGCTGCATCCCATGGAAGAAATACGACGGTATATAAACTTTTTTATATCGCGTTGTCTTAACTGAACATGATAGGTTTGCTAATTATTATGTTTGGATAAAATTAATAGAACATCATTTCCAATCTTTCAAAGAAGACTGTACACATTTTTAAGATATCTATTTCACCACTGGCCGTTGGATAACTCTTTCCGCATCGTGTATGAAACTTGGCTAAGTTATATTCAACCGTGGCGTTACGTAACTATAAAGTACGACTAACAATTTTCTAATAATTGAGAGGATTCTCTGCGCTTGTGTGTCCTTGTATTCTCGTAGATAAATTTTATAGGATTCGTTTAAATACCTTTATAAAAAATATGATACATTCATGATTAATGTGTGTATATGTAATTTGTAAAGTTTGTTAACTGATGTCTTTACAAGGTTTACACAATTACGTGAATTGTCTCAGTATCTCTGATCATATTATTTGTAATACCAAGTCTGGAAGTTAATTATTATTTTTTATATAAAATTTAGAAATCCGTCATCTCGGGAACCTACCATTGAGGCTCCCGTTGACCGCCGTTGGTTCAATTTTCTGATCGACAACATTTTGTTTTATTCAAAAATTTTATCGCAAATACTCCTCCGTCTGGAACGTGTGGATTTGACTGCAACCAAGAACGCTTTAATGTTTTATCGACTAGCCAAAGTTTTTACTACTCATGAAAACCTAAAGTTGATGTTACACGAGATTGAAACTAGTATTCTTACATATGAAACACAATTCGTGGCAAACCCAGCTAGTAATGCTCCTTCTAATACACGAAATTCAACTGTGTTGGGGTCGTCTCCACGTTCGGCGGCGGTTTACCCTACACCATCAGGTGGCCTTGCTTCCACAACGGTGGGAGGTTACTTTAGTGGGGGAAATTTGTCTCCTATTGCTTCGTCGCCACCGGCTTCACAACAATCGTCCCACCAGGACTACGGCTTAGGATTAAGCGGATCTGCTGCGACGGCAAATGCTACCAAAATAGCTCATATTAAGCAGCTCATGAAAGACTTGGAAAACGCTTATTACGAATATGAGCCAATCTTTTCTACCGTAAATACACGAAAGGTTAATTGATTAGGTTTTTAAATTCTAAAATTTTATAGCGTTAATGTAATGACCTATTATCTTTTTTAGATAAAATTATTGCTCATAAATTCCACCGAAGCTAGAAGTAATCTGATGGCTGCCGCAGAAAAGCTAACTGCCAAAGACGTCAAGCCGTTTTATTCCCTCAGCAATTTTTTCAACACAATTTTTTCTGAATCGACGTCTGAGACGCAGATTGCTGCTGCAGAAGCGACCGAGAAGCAAAAGGCAGCCAATCATTTGGAATTTTCAAGAAATCAGTTTGCAGTGTTTTTTGATGTAACTAACCATATTTACATTTGCATACTCACAGCTTTGTTATCTTTCTATGTATCTGCATAATTTATTCCAAGTTACATATATATTCCAATTTATGTTAATATTATTTATTCAGGAATTTTTTTATCGATTATTGTAGATACAGCTGGACGACAATACTCCATATACAAACGGTTTCGGAACAAATTCGTCTCAATCTATGAGTAGCATGTATTTCTCGCCGGACTCGAGACCTCGATACAGTTCAGGAATCTACGCCAATAACCAAAGTAGCGGTGAAAGCAATTCGAACATAAAGACAATTTTGCCTCCGGGGGTTATCGTCGAGTCTGATCTTATTCCACACGGAAACCCGGACGAATCACATGTTCGAAGTGACGAAAGTCGACACTTGGTCCGCCTTCTTGGCAAAGTTTCGAATTTTTTCAATTATGTGGTAAGTTTATTTTCTTGAAACAAACAGCTGTTATTTATCATTGTTAAAAATAATTAGTTCTCATATATTATTTCCAATATTAGTTTGAAGACAAAATTGAGGAAATCTACTTCAGTCCGTCGTTGTCTGGACGTTATCTGAGAGCCATGTTAGCCGAACCTGCGGAATACATTGTCTATCTCCGAAAAGGTCCAACCGGCGCCCGAAAAGTGATGAAAGTTGCGCGTTATCTTCCTCCGCGAGTGCATCTCCGAGCTTGTGCCTCTACTACATTTTTCATCTGGGTTTTTGCCGTAATGGTCTTCTCACTCCTCCTAAGTCTAAGCTCGGGTGGGACTTGTGTCTCTCTTCTAACCTTATACTTTATTTACCTCACGTTCCGTGCAACTTCTGAACCTGTGAATAAGCTAGCGGAGTTGCAACAGCTCAGGATGTTATATTATCAGGTAGACGACGATTCTGCTACTACAGACCGTCCTGTAGGGTCACCAACATATGTCCCTTCAACCAGCTCAGTGTTTAAACCAACTTCTCCAACGTCAGCTAGACCTGAAGATGAATTTCGTATTCACCGAAGGAATCTGCGATTTGAAGGTGCAGGAGACTCCTTTTAAAAAAATGTCATTTATTATACAAAATTCAGAAGATTTTTTATATATGTATTTGTAATCAACTCAAAAGTATATTACTGTTTTTCGTTCGAATTTAATTTCAATATTTTCCCGTACAATACAGATGAATGAAAATTAAATAATTTTTTGTAACAAGAGATCTTTTGGTATGAGATTGTTTTAATTTTGGTTCCAAAAAAGGATGCCAGCAATGTCTTTATATCTATTCTATTCCTTCCGCCAGCATTGGTCAAAGTGTCAAATGCGTGACGTGACATATGTACTCGTGTCGTCACCACCCTAGCCGTTTAATTGTGTTTATCTAATCAGATCAAAGATCTAATCTTGCACATCATTCAATTTATTTCTCGTCCGTCATAATAATACGATGTGCGCGCTTTTGCCGAAAACTGCACACACCTCTTTCCACTCGTAGTTTGATAATAGCACATTTATTGTTTCATAATAGTTGTAAAACAACGATATGACACAGCATGATTTCTTGTTTGGCCACTTTCAAAATCCAAAGTCGACTAAATTTTATTCATTTAAGGTACAAATGCATGAGATAAGATTGTATCCGGCCATCCCACAAATTAGGTGCAGCTCGGTGGTGCCGGAGGTTACACGTTCTACAGACAATGGGCTGCTATTTGTGTAATAAAATCTGTAATGAAATCATCCCATTCTTCGCAAAAAAGGAAGTAAAATTTCCACACTGAACATTTCTCACTGCTAAATGAGTGGATTCATCTCATCTCATCTGTGACAGACAAGGGATGAATTATGCGAAATTAAAATGCAAATTATTTGATTATGACGAGCCGTTGCATTTATTTATCATCTTTGAAACTTTTTGCATGGGGTGAAACTCATAGACCTCGCTGTTGAGCATATTATCTACGTACGTACACAAGCACTCACATATATTGACAACTAGGAGCATCAGGTTTTCCTGACGAGGCGCAATATAAGTACTTACCACACACAACACGTTTGCATTTTAATGTTCACGCGTACGAACTTCCGTACAATAAAAAAAATTAATGAATTGAGAGCAGAATTGAATTCATCCCATCCCATCATCACTTTCCAATACTTGAATTAACATCATGATCGTAAAATATTCCACCTTTTAATCTCATTTTAGTACATTACTTACACAACTATCCAGTCCACCTACCCACTAAATTTTACTATCGTGCATTGCACATAAATATGCATCGCCTTTTTACAATTAATTATGATGTACTCACCCATCACGCTTATTAGCAGAGGGTTCATGCATGTTGGCCCAGAGCTATAATCCCGTCTGCTGGCCGTCTCATCATTTATGTACATACGTCCTCTCGCAATTATAATTACACATTCAAATTTTAGGCTTGATTGCCAGTACATTTTTATTATTTGCAATTTCATTTCGTACAATTCATTCGTACCCTGTAAAATAATTTTTACTTTTTCATTTGGAAACGATCTGAAACGACTTATTTACATAACTCCAATGTTCTAGAACTGTTCTGTGCAAACATAGAGATGATTTGATTTCTTGTCCAAATACAAACTGCACTAGTCGATATGTTTACATAGATTCTACAATCATGTCGTAATGACCATCAAAAATGAGTAGTAGAAAGTTCAATTGTTGATTCGTCCACACAGATATGTATCTGTAGATAACCAGCAAAGTTCTTATTGCTTATCTGACCAATTGTTTGACCAATCCTTTGTCTCACATGGTACAAGAATAAACTGCTGAAATTTGTCGTCTGGGGCTTCATTGCATTGTGGACTCATCGTACTGGGGGGGATTAAGCGATTGGGCCCTTCCTCATGTCATCGATGAGGACAACCCCCTTCGTCTCCCCACACAAATTGTATGTATGTAAATATGCAGCTACATCTATACTGCCCGTTGCATTACCCAGCCAAACTTTACTTATTTACGGGTTCGTCCCATCATTCACTCCTAAATGCTTATTCAGTCACAGTATGATGACCATTTACAATTTGTGAGTAGTTGTGATCATTCAAATTCACATGGGTCTTTATCATGGCAATAATCAGAGTCTCGCTGCATAGATGATGATGACGAAGAATCCATGCATGCATATAAATAAGTACGTTCATAACCACGAGAAACAAATTTGTACGTATTATTATTTGAACATGTTGAACACCCAAAAGCAGTCAACCATACTGCAAAGCAAAACTGCATAATGTTGTAGTTAGTTTTTAGTTAGCTTCGCCATGCTACTTACCCAACGTAAAAGTAGCTTTGCAATGCAACAACCTTTATGTACGTCTGTACTATTCAGCTTGGTTTGTCAGTCTTAGCAGGGATGAAATACGAAATGTAGTAACAGAAGAACCTTAAAAGCCCAAAGTCAACTTGTGTATGTACAAAGCTCCAAACTTTTATGAAGGTCTTTTCCCAAATCGACTTCACTAACAGATCCGCTCTCAACTAGAAAGGAGCACACATTTTATCATTCCCACAGGCTTTTGTTACCAAATCCATCCCAGATCAAAACTCGCCTCTGCTTTTACATAACACATCTTGCTTGTGTAATAGAATTTTGTGCGAAAATGGATCTTTTGGTTCCAGTTCAGATACGTTATTGAAAGTGGAATCATAAATCGATCATAAATTTCAAAAGTTTCTTCCAAAAAAATCGTCCCAGAGCTTGTCCCCGTGAAGACGAAGACATGCCTGTAGTGGTGATTTCTCTCTCATCGAAACGTTCGTTCAAACGGGAGCGTGACCGTGTTTTGGGACAAAGTCTGCGCAGGGGTCGCAGCGAACGTGACACTTTGCTCACGGATAAGAAAAAGAGGAAGCAAGACCAAGCTAACCAGAACCATATTGCTTCTGCTTGTGGTGCTACTGCTACCAATTCCGGTGCGATTGTTAAAGTGATGGTCAAAAAGTAGTTCCCACAGAAAAGGATATAAAGTTTAAAACCAGATAATTACACCGACCTATGAACAATAAGTGGTCACCTCTTGTATTTCTGTGTATATGTAGACAATGTATAGTGAAAAGGGAAATCTAAAAATCTAAAAAGTTCTAAGCAAAAATTTAATAAAGAAAAAAAATTAAAAATCTAAAGAGTTCTGTGCGTTGAAAAGGTAATTACATATTAGCTAATTCTCTTTTTATGGCCCTAGTTGAAATTGTATCACTGCAATCTGCATTCTGTGTGTGGTCAGTACAGCACTTTAATAATGAGGGTGAGAAATGAGACGTAGTAATGATGATGAATCACTCGTATTATTAGTTGAATTATGTACACCTGCATTTTAGAATCCCAGAGTTTACCTGGTTTAGAGTCGGATGTCAACCCATTCCAATTTATCCAATCCACCTGACTTTAAGTATATGTTTTTGTCGTCGTTTTCTTTAGGGAACAAGGCCAAACCAAGTCATGAATAAGTTGTGGCTCTTGACTGCGTATAATCTTATCAACAGAGAAGAAATGATTTTTGTAACAGCCTGAAATTACTTTAGAATTCGGAATACCAAAGTTTTCTAGGACTCAGTTTTCTCTCAATTCAATCTCATCTCGAGCATAAGATTGGTAGCAAAGTCTCAAAGAACTCGCTCTGCAGATCCTGACTTATTAATGAGTCGACAGTAGTGGTAGTAGGAGCAGTATATCTAATGCCCGGGTGTTGGTCGGGATTCGGGATGATAAGTAATGGAAATGTCGGATCGTGGTTGGGAGACATTCATTTTTCGTGTAAGAAGACAAGCTGTGCTTGGGAAAGGAGCAGGTCTATTAAAATAATTAAATGTCATTTCCACTTTATCCAGTCATTGCTCAAGGTCTGCCGGTCTCACTGCATTTGGGAATACGTAGGACTGGAAGCACACGCTAAATATGTACACGTACATCGAGAAGAAGCTTCTTCTTTCAGTAAACCTCTGTTTTCCTGCTCACGGTAATGCTCGAGAAATAACATAAACGAGCAGTGCGGGAGCTGGAATGGATAAGCAGACAGGATAGTGTTCACTCATCTCTGAACTAAATACCAACATATGTACATAGTGGGGTCATAAGTTCTCGTGAATGCATTTCCGGTAATAAATCCCAAAGTATTAGAGCTATCTGTTCGAAATTTTTATGGATTAACAAGGTATTAATATTGTTTAGAAATCATAACTTCTTTGTCAAGATTTCGTCCACGGGCAATTAGACAAGACATAACTCGTGACGGCCACAGGTCGATCGTGGTACGCGCCAATTTTCGTGCCAAAAGTATTTCAGACTTTTCACCGTTGGCAAAAAATTTAATAGAAAAAAAGGCCAGATATTTGTTGTACAGAAGTCTGACATCCGTTTAAGTATGCGGAAGTCAATACGAAGTCATCACCGTGGTGTGAATGGGAGCAAGTTGGCTGGAGAAATGAAATCTCTGTTTTTTACCGCAAAGGGTACAAGTTGAAGCCAAGAATTATTTTCAGAGTGTCCTAGAGACAAACGTTAATAACCTGAACCCTGGACCCTCCGAAAATCGCCATTGGACCTTTCAACAAGACTCTGCTCATGCGCAAGGTGCAAAATTGTCCAAAACTGGCTTCAGACGAATTTTCATGACTTTTTTTCATCCGTAGAACGGTGCTCAGTATCTGCAGACCTTAATCCCCTAAATTATGACTGGTGGTCAAAATTATAGGTACAAGTATGCTCTAAATTTCACCCAAGTGTGGAAGGGCTGAGGTCGCACTTACTGAAGATCTGGCGCTTTTCCCAGGAAATCCGTGCGTGCCGCGATCGAGCAGTTTTCGCCACGACTTATGTCTTGTGTACAAGCCCGTGGAGGAAATTGTGAAAACGAAGTTATGATTTCTAAACAAGATTAATACCTTGTTCATCCACAAAAATTTCTATCAGATAGCTCTAATACTTTGGGCTTTATCACCGGAAATGCATTCACGGGAACTTATGGTCCGACTATGTACATAGAGCTATAGCACATGTATAATGGCCCCCAAATTTATGAGATGTTTCTCCATCATGAACCTCATTATTACCTTTGCAGTATATTATTACCAACAGTTGTACGTATCCCATCATCGTTTAATGATCTGTGTCGGCTTGGTTTTCCTCGTCGTCGTTCGTGAGGGATGGATGGATGGACGAGATGCCACATGCCAAAGCAAAATAGATGGGAAAAAATAACAAATTTGGCATGTACTATGAAAATTTGTACTGGGCCGTATTCCCTAAAATTCCAGTCTTTCTGTCCGTTTTTATTACGAGACAATTTTCCGTCGTACTTTAGTTTCTCATGATGACACTGTTTTTTTACATGAAACTCTTGCTTTTGGCACACTTGATGCCTGAAATAGTCATATTTTGCGAATGGTGGACCATTGAACTATCCACTGCATTACAGGATGCATTATATAGCGGTGGACTAAGTGACCCACATTTTCACTCCTCCATAAAATTGAGTCATGATGATCGAGGTATATCAAAATTAATGCGTTTTGGATGAGGCGAGACAGCGACTTTGCAATGAAACAGTCAGTGTGGGACAACACAACAACAAAAGAGAGTGAATAAGTAAGTAGTAGCACTTACTATTTTGCTACTTACTACATACGCACAGGTACATGGATTACATTGTTGTGCTCTAATTTGATCCACTTCATGCCCAATTCATGTCAGTGTTGACGACGACGGCGTTAATGGCAAAAAGTAGAAATTGTAGGCTTCACTTCATCCACTTCCCACATCTTTGTTGACGATTTTGTCGCATGCATGCAACTACCTACTTGGATACGTACGTAATTATTTTGCTCATGAAACGGCCAAATTGACACGAAATCTCGGTTGCCTTTAAAGACAATTGCTGATAAGAATGTTTCAAACACTTGCAAAGTGCAGAAGAGCTATTTATGAAAAACTTTAAAAGACAAGATTTTCATATCAATTGAGTTTCAATACTTTTCACGATCCTCCTACTGTCTCAACCTCTCTTATTAATTGTGCCTAGCATCACGAACTTTTCTAGTGAGGAATTTTTATTAGATATTACAAATCGTGGCTCAAACTCCTCAGTTCTTCAGCCAGTGGATGGATGGACAGACAAGGTTGCGCAATTCAGTTTCATTTCGTGCAAAGATTCGTGTCACGTTCTCTCCTAGTTTCGTTGTCATTCTCAATTCGAAGGATATAAAATATGTACAGCGTTTGGGTCCACATTTATTTTACATTTTAATAGCGACAAGCACGTTGCTTGCTTATGTCAAATCCTCCCCGAGGTGCATCCCATATCTTTAATTTCAGCAGTATAAAAATGCTCATTCTGCTCACCAGAAAGTGAGAGGATCACATAATAATAGTAATAAAGTAATATCTGATTGTATCTTTGATCTCGTATCTCCTCGTTATTATTATTTCCTGTCATGTGTGATAGTGTTTGTCGTCTAATCGCATCTCGTGTGATGTCACGTGTCCCCAAGCCATTATTATCTTATTGTTTCCTACCTGCGTATAAATATGTGCTGCATTTAATTAAAATAAGCAGATCGAGTAGTGCAAAATTTGCGACCAAGTGTTAATTTCCTTATTAACTAATTAATATTTAGGGGAAACTATGGCACACATCGTGCACATTTTTTTGCACTTTCTTCCATGTAACAGTAAAAAACGGAATCTGCAGAACTAAAACGGTTGACAAAGAAGTTAATGATGCCTTCTGTCAATGATCGTCGTCTTCACAGGCTCACTCACACTGCTGCTGCGGCTGTAAATGAGCCATATTTACGTACATCCATCCCTTGTCTTTTTTGTCCCCTCTTGTTATTCGTCTCGTTCCGTTCCATTAAATTCTTGGTTTGGTTGAGCTGGCTTGGTTTGCAGGATATTGAGGGCTGCGTATAGATATTCAAATTCTTCTCGTCTTTTTTTCGAAACAGAGATCATCCTCCTTCTTCTTCAACTATTTAAAATTCTTACATGGTTGTCAATTGTAAAAATGCACTCCTCGTGCTGCGAACAATTACGGGACGACATTCTTACCCCACGATTATGCCTCGACATTTGAGAATAGTTGACAAAAAGAAATGTCTTATTGCAAATGCTAATAATTTATGCCAAACCGGCGGCAGCTAGACGTCAAATCAATCACGGTTTGCATTTCACGCTTGCACGTCTTCATTAACATTTGACACTCGAGGCGCACCTTGGTATTTATAAAAGTTGAATAAATAATTTAAATTATTTGCCGTTGCATCGTAGATAAGTACTTACAGCTGTCAGTTTTCATTGACAGTTTCATTCTCTTTAAGCCATCGATTGGCTCTGGGCAAAACAACGTATGCATTCAATCTCAGCTATTTGATGTGAGTTGTCTGGAGGCTTCATTTAAGCACGACTGCGAATAATGAGGAATCTTTATAATGCAGGCAGCGAAACAATGAGGTGATTGATTATGTTTACAAGTTGTCTTCCCAAATAAGGCTAACTTAATGTGAATCTGTGAAATGGAAGTGCTACGTACTCCATTAAGCAAGCTCGCACAAGAAGAAGTCAAGCGTGTGTGTGTGTGCCTATTGTTTTGTGACCGCTCCTGTCGAGATCGTTGGGAGATTAGGAGAAGGGAGACAATCTGGCAATTAGTTTTGTTTTCTCCGACAGCCCGATCCATTTATAGGAAGAGATTTGTCATTTATGTGTGCATTAGAATCTACGACATGCATCATACCAAGGAATCTTTCTCAATTACACAATTGCTACTTTTACCAGGGTTCATTTTGTAATTGAGCATTATTCAGCGAGTCATTGGTAAATATGGATGGATGGTTTGGACAAACAGTAAAATTGATGAAGATTTGTTTGTCAGTCATAATTGCAGAATGCATCAATTTGCTCGTATTGCGTGCTTGTGTACCTCTCATAACTCAAACCTCTTATAACTCATTCGACCTTATTGTCTCGTGGAACAGCTTAAATGCAATAGTTCTTATAATTGAAATTCACCCATCATTCGTGCAGAAAAAGTGACCTTGTCATCGCCCTTCAATGTGCGATCTTTCTTTGCATTTTCTCAATTGACTTAACTAATATTATTCAATTATTCCACTTAATTTAGCACACTTACACAACAACAATTATGAAGGCTATGATAAGTGAGGATGATTTATATATATAATATATCCATAAATACTTTTAGTTTATTCAAGAAATCCAAAAGACTCGAAATCGTATCACTTTACCTCCACTTTTACTGCCCGGATCTCATTTGCTCCTTCCTTTTATCGTAAAACAACAATGCAGCAGAGGTGGTATGATCGTCTCATCGGTGAGCTTATTCACAGTGTGAATTTCACACCACTAACATTTAGCACATTATTATATGCAGCACCTCAACATCAGAGAATGACACATTGTTATTTGCTGTTTATGCATGACTCAGTCCTTATGCTGTTTGACCAGAAAACATTAAACACGAATAAACAACCGTCGTGTAACAATAAATAGGAGGAGGAGGAGGATACCCTTCTCTGTTAAAGATAGATACGTAAGGGTGCCTGCCTGATAACAAGCTGGCATGTGCGTTGGCTTCCTGTAATGAGAATTGCATTGCTCTCAACTTCAATCCTTGCCTTCCTTCTTCGGCCAAAAGGTTTGTGTGTGCGTTTTTGGGGGGAACGGAACAATTCGTTGCTTTTGTAGTCCAGCCAGATCATCCAGAAGGCAGGCAGCTGCTGTTGGCTCCGAATTTCTGTAATATATTTGACGTTAGCTTATTTCTATTGTGATAATTCCTTGACCGTTTCCCTTTTGACTTGGAGCACTAACTTTTTAATTGTCTTCCTCATTATATCGTGAGCTTTATATATTAAATTATCTGTGTTACTTTGACGTGCTGGGATACACTAAGGTTTGTTACATTAAATAATTGTTACATTATTTCGTATTCTTAATGATCATCATAATAAATTGTAAATTTACTGAGAACGGTTGTCCACTACTTCACATGTACCAATAATTTATAACTAGGGTCATAAAAGGAAATTTGTTGTCAATTGTTAATTTCAACTTTTGATTTTATTTTTGCAGGACTGAAGGGGTATTTTAATGAGAACGACAATTTTTAAACACTCGTAACCTCCATAGATAAAAAGGATGCTTATCATCAACACCAATGATCATCATCCTTGTTAGTTAAGAACTTTTGTTGTGAATTGACTGCCGGAAGACGAGAAAGAAAGGGAATTTAGATTTGGAAGAAACAAACTTCCGGCACTATTTACTCCATATCGCTCGGTTTCTTATGTTCCGTTGGATAAGCATCGTGTGAGTTTTTTGTAACTTAATATTTTTTTATATTTTCTAACCCAGAGTTTTATTGTTATATATTTTTTGCACCAGCAGAAAATCCATTTTCAATGCGGCCACCATTCACCATTCCGACTTGAGCCCAAAAATTTCACCATATCAAGTCCTCCAAGCGACAATGGAATATACAACTATCCTTCTAGATGATACGCCATCGTGATTGAGAAATTAAATCCTTATACCGATCTGCATGTTTCTTCCTCACTCAACCAACCGACTAGAAAAGTATTGAGATTGATTATTTAGTTCCTGTTAATAATGAGTGATGTACACACGATGAAAACTGTGATTACTTCTACCTCCGCGGTGATAGTGACAAAGGAAGAAGACGGGAAATCGAGTAGTGAACTAGCTCTGGTAGTAGAACCGACATCATCACGCAACAAAGGGGAAGACTTGTCCGTAGCACCTCAAACTAATGGGATTACTACTACGAATGATGATGCTGTTGCGTCCGTCGATACCAAACAACTCGTTACCGATAACAACACTGCAGCCACAAAACAAGAAGGATGCGAGCAGTCTTCGTCCCACACGAGAACGGGTAGCACCATCATCCCTCCTCTCTCCACTGATATCGATTCTTCTTCATCCACTGTAATCATCAAAAGTGAAGTTGAAGTTGAACAAGTCAGTTGTAGTGGACCAGTACCAAATTTTCGTGTCGAAGGTTCCGATGCTGGCGACAGTTCTGTGACCGTGGTCACCTCGCTAAGTCTGAGCTCCTCCGCGCTTCAAGACTGTTGCGGTGGTGGTGGCAGTGAGAGCGAGCCCAGCTCTGAAGACATGAAACTCTCGCTCGTCAGTTGGTACTCAGAACCGGATGATGCGGCTCGACTCGCTTTGACCTCATCGACAAGTAGTGCCTGCTGCCCACGACAGACCATGTCGCTCACGGGCAGTTTGTTGAGCAAGAGTGGTTCAGAGGAGAAGGAAAATCAGACGCCTGAACCTAGACGACGAGAAGCTGAAGAAAATGACGAATCGACCTCATCCTCATGCAATTTGCTACCATTAATCCTGGACACCGAGGTCCTTGGCGGAAGTCGGGAAAGCGTGCTAACTTTGAGAGGGGAGGAAGACAAAGCTCCTAACAACCGTAAAAATCAGACCGAGTCAAACAAACACGTGCAACTACTACTTGACGGGAAAAATAGTGCGAATGATAAAACGGTCCCTCACCATGGCCCTAAAAAACATACCGCATTTAATCAGTCCACCTCCATTTCCAATGCTGCTACTCCCGAGTGTGGCAAATGCGCCCGAAAATCAAAGTCAGGAAACAACACCCCACATGGAAACCATCAGAGCCGAATTCGAACCCCAGCCTCTCGCAGATTAATGCCCTCCACAAAGAGCAGCACAGAACTGAAGAAACCTATCAAATCCATTCTCAAAAGCGACTCTCGTAGCGGGAGTGGATCAGATAACAAATCCTCGATGGATAGCTTGCCCAGCGCAGATCGAACATGTACCAACGCGACGACACCTCTTCGTCCACGTGGCGCAGAATTACTGTCTCGATCTGAATCTACTACCAGAGCTAAGTTCAACCTTAACCACGAATTCTTCAATGCTGACGGTTCCCCCTCCAACCAGGAAGCGTATAACAATTCAACTTCTGAGGAACGGCTTGCCTTGAAATTGCGTAGAATTGAGAAATATGCAACCCTTCGTCTCCGTAAGACACGCGTCAGACCACTAGAGTTGGGCAGTGATTCGGACATTATTAACACGACCGGTGGGAAAAGTAAAGCTGGCACACCCACCACCACCACTGGAATCGATCTCATGACAAAGAGCATGTCCTTCCTGGAAAAGGGTGGGCCTAACAACGGGGACGCAACCAGCCTCCCCTGGAATGGAATGCAGCATGGACAAAAGTCTAACTCCTTGAAGAGGCAGGGGTCTCTGCGGATCAAAAATAGAAGTAGTCCTCCTTGGGAGCCATGCACCACGAGAACGACTGCACTCCGAATGCAGAAGATGCAGGAATCCAAGGCGAAAGGTGGAGGAACCAGTGGCGGAGTCACAACCTACTCGTCCGTTGGGAGTGGCAGTGCTCACACGGGTAGTACTCACTCGGGAAGTGGGGACTCGATTCATCATCTCGTCCCACAGAGTCGCAGCGCCCCATCAAGCAAGACACTGTCGGCTTGTAATTTAACTTCTGGAAAAGGGGGTGACAAGTTTAAGGTCTTCGCCAAACTCTCTTCTGCCGGAGGTCAGACGGCAAGTAGCAATCAGAAGAGGTTGAAACAGGAAAAGAGTAAGGATTTAGAGTTACATGAATTATTAACATTCGTAATTTGTCGATTTAAATCGAGTAATACTAATCGTGTAAATGTGTAAATTTAAAGAAATTTTAAAATAGCGAAGTACAAAAGATTCAATACAGATGCATATCTATAAAAAATCAGTTTACAAACGTAAAATTAAGAAAATTTTTGTGTAGCATAACACACGAAGATCAGGTAGAAATTTTTTATGCAATCGTATATTAACAATTTAAAACCATTTAAAAATTTTTATTCAAGTTATACAATTTACACGATTGGAAAAATATCCTTCGAATACAGCTTGCATTTATCTGGACTTGTATCTGACTGCTCTGTTTGTGTAGGCGTTCAGACTGATGTTCACCCCACCACCACTGATCAGCTTTTAAACGGGAACAATCCCACCAGCATGAGTCCAATTCCATCCGTTGATGCAGCTTCCGACCTACTCGACCAAATAAAACAACTAGAAAAACTTGCCAATCGATATCGCAACACGGCCCTTAAATTCCAGTCTAAATATGAAAGTTCGGAAGCAATAAAATCCGAGTTAGCCAAACAGTTACAAGAAACGCAGCAAGAATCGAGCGAAATGGTAGAATTTTTACAAGCGGAAAAATCAACCTTGGCCGAATCACTTACTGAAATCGAAACCGAGGTGGGTTATATTTTGCAGACTACTTTTTACTCTCTCCAAATCTAAAGTCCTTAAATTAAGAATTAAATAAATTTATCTCTCTTCAGGCCACAACTTGGCGAGAGGAAATCCAAGGCATACGGAAAGAGTCTGACAGTCGAATCTCCACTCTGGTTCGTCTTAGCGAGCAACACAAACAAGAAGCCCTCAGGTCGCAACTACTCCTCCAACGTCTCGAGTCACAATCCAATTCTGTCTTGGCTTCGATATCAAATCAAATTTCGGAAGGAACGACCTCCATCGTGTTGACGAGACAGAAAGTCAACTCTCTTACAGAGTGTTTGATAGAGGCGTACAAGATCCCACAGGAGCTGCTCACCTCATTCGTATGTTAACCAAATAAACTGCCATGATAAATCACAATTGGAAACATTTAGACCTTTTTTTGTACTCTTGTAAATTTTTATAAAACTACTTTTCAAACTTTCATCACTTAAACTTGTATCAAATTAAAAGACGGCCTAGATTTAAAAAAAATTGTAATTTAGACAAATTTTAATTTTTTTAATTTTGTGGAGATGTAAGAACTATAAATTGAATCTAACTCATTTTATTTTAGGCTAATGCTGACCCCCAAACCACGAAGGACACGGTAGTTTCCACTGTTAACAGTGGTAACAATACTCAACCCAATAGTTCCCTCCTTCTCCCCCTCATTACCTCGCTGGCCGAAGCATTTCCTACTTCCGCCGCAACCCTTGCCAAACTCGCCAACAAGTCGGAATCTGGCCCAATCAAGTTTCCAACCTTTAAGACTCCCCAGTTGTTGACAACTAATTCGTATAATGCGAAAATAGAGGGATCTACTAACTCTGCCCCTCCCAGTAGTGACGAAACTGACTCGCTGCGAAACCTAAACCAGGCCATTATGGATCGAGAGGCTGCTGAAACTATCGGACTTGATCAAATTACGCTTCCTCAACTCGTTAGTTCATTCCCGGAAGAAGATGACGCTTATTTGACTCGTGAAATCGTGGAGCTAAATTCTTCCTTGGGCCGACTCCTCTTGGTTGTTCGCGTCATCGTTGTGCAATGTGACAAACAGGTTTCGAACGTGGCGTCGAGTATTCTGCAGGTGAGTAGAATTAATTAATGCAGTTGATGCATATCTATGATAAGAATGTGTTATCTAAATGTCGATTTATTTGCATTCATTTCCAGTGTTTACAACAGGAGGGTTCACAAATAAAATCCCCTGGGGATTCATCCACTCCCCACAACAGAGAAGACACTATTACCACTTTGACGACCGGAGAGAAAGTCGACGCCAGTCATCGGCCATTGAAGAATGGGCACACTATAACCTAACCACTGTTAATTTAACTGTATAATTACTGAAGCTGGGCTCGGATCTGCGATGTCTAAAAGTCCTGTTTTGATGGGAATCGAGCGTGCACGCGCTCTCACCTACTTTAGCCAATTTTAAACTTTGTCCTAGAGATGCGAAATTTGGCATGCACATGCACCAACATATGCTGCATCATAATATAACATCAATTCCCGTTCCGTTCGCTATAAATTTTTCAGGAAAAATCAAAAACCAAGTGAAATATGGGTGATATTTGGTTTTTAATTTTTCCTGAAAAATTTATAGCGAACGGAACGGGAATTGATGTTATATTATGATGCAGCATATGTTGGTGCATGTACATGCCAAATTTCGCATCGCTAGGTCAAAGTTTAAAATTGGCTAAAGTAGGTGAGAGCGCGTGCACGCTCGATTCCCATCAAAACAGGACTTTTTACACATCGCAGATCCGAGCCCAGCTTCAGTATATCAAGTCTAAAGCATTCTATTTCTGTTGTCTGACTCCCGTGTTACACACGTTCCAATACAACGTTCATTCCACAAGTATTCATTCTTGTACTTGTTTAAATCTTGTAAAGTTTGTTGTAAATTGGCATAAATCAAACTTTTTTGAAAGTTTAAGTTGTAATGTTTTAATAAATCTGTAAATATTTCTTATTTCTCATTTAAATTCACTGTTTTACCTCAATTTCAAATTCCTCGCTGTTCTAAGTTTCAAGTTGACCATGATACAAGAAGAAAAGAGAAATTAAAAGCTGCCTGGACAAATTATAATCAAATATATTATGAAATACCTTCTTATTTAAATCAATTATCCAAATTTCACAAAAGCAATAAAATATTAAAGATAAAAATGTGCAAAAAAAGTATTAATTAAAATCAAGCTGGTTAAGAATATAATAAATACGTTGATGATTAAAATAAGTAAACGAGAAACAATCTAACACGTAAATAATTTCATTTCAAACATTTCAAGCAAAACTTCTAGAATCATTTTATTCCATGAAAAAGGGACAAGTTAAGCGTACCAAAGTCCGGTTACTTTCTTAGCTCGGTAATAAGAAGGATTCAAGCAAGAGCTTTCGTTACAAAACAATTTAACTTGCAAAATTTTAACCATATTTTAACTGACATAAGTTTGTATGAAAAACATTGTGCTCTATTCACACTAAATCGTGTACTATGCTCGCAATTTAGCTCTTGCATGAAAATAAAATTAGTCAATACCACCAGCGTTCGATATGAAAAAGAATACGACGTTTATCTTGAAATGATTTTAAATATGATATTTGTCCAAGACTTCACAGTCATAATTTCTCCGTATTTGTCATCCTTTGCACGCACATTTTCTCTCTCTCCTCAACGTAGCGACCACTCCAAGTTTGAAATTTCCACACAGGAAGAAATTGACATTGTACTTGGAAGTAAATCGCCAAAATTTACCTTATCGAAGATGAGCGAGAATAGAGTTGTACGCGCATCAAAAGCAATTATGAAATAAATAGGAGCATGACACTCAAGTTATTTAAATACATATCGTCGCTGAATATGCATTCCACCACATCTCCAATGCTAAGGTATTGGAGTTGCATACACTAGAATGTCCAACATCATGTTTACAATCATCCACATTCTATGTAGTAGTTCAATTAATTACGCAATTTTTTGCTAATTCTTCATCATTAGCCGGAAACAACCACCAGATAAGAACAAAGCACGTATGTACATACTCTGTATACCTTCTAAGTCATCAGTATTTTTGTGGCCACGTGTCCAACTCAAAATGTAATGCACAGGATTTGGAGATGTGTCGAATGCATACTCAACGACGATATGCAATTTAACATATTATTTGCATACAGTCACCTTTGTTTTACCAAATGGGAGAACACTTTTATCGCTAAGTTAGGACAGAGTCAATCTAGGAGTCACAAAGTAGGAGGCGTTTCAAACGAAAGTAGGCTGAGCTTTGAATCTCAGTCAGTTTCAAAACTCATTTTAAAACTCAGTCTGAATTCTTTCCTCGACGAAAGCACACCGCGTGGCAGAGTGAAAAGTATCCTTTTACATGAACCTTGGTTTTGTGTGGTTTGTTTTAAGTTTATGTTTTAATTGGTGTGTCAGTGTGAGCAAAAATGTCCTACCTTCGGAACATAAGTGCACCCTCGAAGGGTGGTGGTGACAATAATTCGATAAGCAATCACGTCGAGAGTTTAGAAGATGATATATGCTCATCCGAGGGGGATGATGCGTCATCCCCTAATCATCCCCAAACTGTGCAATTTAGTACCTCTTCTCTGGGTCACATTTACTTGTGCAACTCGTACAACAACAATAACAGTGCTGGTGGTGGTGGTGGAGGTGGGGGCTCTCCCCAACCACACCCTTTACTAATACCTGCTCCTCATTCCTTCCAGAACTTGTCTCGTTCTCTCCACCACAACCAGAGTCAGTATTCTTCTTTCAGTGATGGCAAAGTTGTCGGAGGGTTGATTGTTCCAAATGGGGGAGATTTTTGTGGAGATTGGATACCTCCACATCACACCACGACGACGAGCTATACTTCCCCAATGCGAGAAATGGAAGGTTTGCTTTTAGTTTACAGATTTCAATCAAGTAGATTTTAAGAAACATTATTTCGGAACTCATGGATATAAATTTGATTGATGTTTATTGGTCACAAGCTTTCGGAAAATACTTTTTCCTTCATCAGGTGAATTAGAAACTTTGAGAAAAATTGTGTAGATTTTATATCAGATAGTTGAGTAAGTAAATTGGGAGATTATTGCTATGATATGCAGTTCGAAAATTTGAGTATTTCTAGCGAGGTCAAAGTTTTTAAAATTAGAAAAGTTGATATGAACAAAAATCAAGAAAAGACACCCAGAATTCTGATAAAATGCTTCCTTTTTTTTCATAGCGTGCCTGCTAACTGCAGGGAAAGCAAAAGCCTCGACTCCGACTGGTACCAGTGGAAGCAATCAAAGCGCATGTTCTGCCTCAGCGACAAATCAGGGACCGTGCTTTGGACAAAGTTCTCAAAAGTCCACCCATCGTCTTGGCACGGGGTCTAGTACAACAATGGGATTAACAATGGCTCGCTTTGTGGGTGGACGGCACAAAGGAAAAGGGAGTATGAACAGTGGAGGTGGAAGTAATGGTGGATCCAATTCTCCTAAGCTGCCCATTCACGATAAGCTGATCAATGTGTCGGCCACATTAGAGATGAAAACTTTGTGGGACGAGTTTCATGAATTGGGAACGGAAATGATAGTGACGAAGGCTGGGAGGTAATTTATTTTTTTTAGTGAAATTTTTGTATTTTCTCCTTTCTCCTTTCTTTCTCTTTAAGCAAACATGCTGTTCTGTTACATTACAGGAGAATGTTTCCAACTTACCAAGTTCGGCTCTTTGGAATGGATCCTCTCTCTGACTACATGCTTATCATGGATTTTGTTCCCGTGGATGACAAACGGTACAGATATGCGTTTCATAGGTAAGTAAGATGTTTAAGTGCAATCTTGTCGATGTCTTATTTTTTATTGATTCGGGGAATTGAATATTATTTATAGAAAGTATATAGATTTTTGGCATTTATGTTCATTTCATGAATTATGAATAAGTCTGTGGGAGACTCTTCATTTACTTTAATAGCTGCATATTTTGGGGCGAATAAGTATTTTACAATTTACAAAAATTGACTCCGAGATAAGTGAAGAATGGATGAGACACATATAATATTTAAACAATGAGACTAATGAGAGAAAGAGATGGATAAAAAGTGAAGTAGAACAATTGGACGAGGAAAATATAGAACAATGAGTATTTCGTACAATGTTTTAGCCCAGTAAAAGGAAAATCGACAAGATTAGGGAAAACGGATTTGATGCATTTTAGTGCTCTGGTTCCCGTCACTCGTTTCAATAAATTAGAAGACATATTTTTCCATCTTTCTCATAAATCACCATTTCCTGTCCATTTTTACTGAAAGTTGTTGTTGCTGCTAAAATAACACGAGAGAGGAACATGCATGGTGCAGTAGCAGACGTGTGTAAAGGTTCGAGACTGCTGGTGATGTTTGGTTGTTGAAATATTGATCGTTTTTCTTTCTCTCCTACAAACAGTTCTAGCTGGATTGTGGCAGGAAAGGCTGATCCAAACTCTCCACCCAGGATTCACGTTCATCCAGATTCCCCAACCAAAGGAACCCATTGGATGAAACAAGTCGTGTCCTTCGATAAGCTCAAACTCACCAATAACCAGTTGGATGATAATGGACATGTTAGTTTTCCACACTTTATTACTTTTCTTGGCTCTCTCTTCCGCTGGAAATTAGTGCAGACATGGCTTTTTTTGCTTCGTTTCACTCTGCTTAAAATTTTCATGAGTGGTTCTCGCTGTATGGTCTGTGTTTACTCTGTCGCACGTACTTCTCATACATGACCAGAATAGAAACACACACATCCACACATTTCACGGCTTTTCGATATTAGATTTTTTTCCCAACGCTACGATGAAAAACGGGTTGCTGTTGATCTCAGAAAGGTGACATTTCTTTGACATTCTTCTTCTTCATTGGAAAAGTGCTCTTCTTCCGAGTTGGGAAGGAAGAAATCTCAAACTTGAGACATGTCTCGTTATCTACACACTTGTCCAACCAAAAAACTAATGAGTCGCATTTTGCTCCTTTTAATAAACATGTGCACGTCAGGGTATCGCCGTTTCTGAACTAATTTGGCAAAACTGTGACAAAAATGTGTGATTTTTTTCCTCTTGCAGATCATTTTAAACTCTATGCACCGTTACCAACCTCGATTCCACGTTGTCCTCGTCAACGGAAAGAGTGAGGATGTTTCGCAAACAGAAAACTTTAAAACTTTTGTCTTCACAGAGACAAAGTTTACGGCCGTTACGGCTTATCAAAATCATCGGGTGAGTACACAATTTGTCTTACTTTGAGCCGAACATGATAAGAGCTGGGGTTTTATTAATTAAGCGTGAAATTCTGATTCTTACGCTGAAATCGATTCAAACCGTCGATTATGTACAAGTTTGAGCATTCTTTAAAGTTTACATTTGTTCGTCTTGTATTCCTGCAGATAACACAACTCAAGATTGCGAGCAACCCATTTGCCAAAGGGTTTAGAGACTGTGATCCCGATGACTGGTAAGTTGAGCTCATTTTATCTCGCGGATTATCCAAGTGTGTAGAAATTTAATTCCGTCTGCACATTTGTACTCCCTGCAAAGTAATAGATTTCAGCAAGTCGTAAATGAGACCTTATCCTACTCACTTCCTGAGCAAAGTTAATGCTTACAAAGTGAGTGACCACTCGAGTCAATGTCATGTTTTGGGAACATGTTACAATGTTCATGTTTTATCCCCACCCTCGTTGTTCAATCTTCCACATGATCACCATCTCAGATCATGAGTGAATAATTATGGCAAAGTAAACAGACTCATAAATTACGTTTTATGTATAAACATAAAAATTTCAGTTTGACATGAAACAGTCCATATCCATTTTCCTCTCTCTCTCTCTCTCTCTCTTCCTCACTGACCAGTTTTCCACTCTGTCGACCACTATGTTCCTCCTCTCCAAATTATTATGAAACATTAAGATTAGGATGATACTCGGGTGGGCATGTGTTTCTTAATTCCCTTCATGTTTTCAGCAGCGTTGTCGAAGGACTAGGCCACCAAGCAGTGGGGACATCGAATCAGCCCCACTCGTCATCGTCCACTTCCACGATATCCACGCCCACCCCGATCGTGGCCACGTCGTCAGCACCTTCCACCCTCACGAACGTCGACTCGCCTCTGGGGTTCTGCGGGGGAGGAGACCATTCCCAGGTTCAGCAGCAGCAACACGTCCCTTCCTCGTCGGACAGGACCAGTGCAGCGTCCCACCATCACAACCACCTCACCTCCATCGTCCCCTCGTCAACGTCCTCCTCCTCCTCATCCTCTCTCTGCAATGGGGGGAATTTCCCCCAGCACTTCCACCCACTGTGTGTCTCACCACCCACGCCGGAGGGTGGAGTGATAAAGGACCCGCTTTGTAAAGGTAAGAACTATATACGTTCTTTTTACCATCTCTGCTTTTGGGGATATTGAGACACTGACATTTTGCATTATTTTAGTTAGAACGCATTTAGTAGTTTCGTATGTGCAAATATACTAACCCTGCATTTGTCTTGTCATCTTTTAACACTTTTAATATTACTGAGTTTGGCTACTAGTCTTTTTTGCATGCATTAAAATTAATCAAGTCTCTGCATCCGGCGTATGTAGATGTTTATTAACAGTAATTTATAGCTTTTGGAAACTTACTTACTGCGCATGGAGAAGGAACATGTTTACTTTTGCCTTCATATTGACATTTTTTGCAATAAGGTCGAATTATGGAATCTTCTTACAAAGGCAATATTTATACAAACAAGGGTTGGACGATGAGAAATGTTTCTTTTTCTGTAAAGTAAGATGATATATTACTTTGTGTAATTCGATGTGGCCCAGTGAGTGAAGTGAGGTTCATATTTTTCATGACGTATGTACACATAATCGTCATCTTCATTATTCTCCTCTCTGCACTATTGTTTATCCCAGCAGGATCGATTAATCATGTTTTGTTTAGAGAAGAAGTCATTCTTTCTGAGTTGTGTGTTTTGGTTTAGTTACTTCAGTACTGCTGGGTGTCAGGCTTTGGTGAGGATTTGGGGGTAGAAGTGTAAAGGTCTCGCTCAAAAAGCATTTCTTATCTCTGTTTCTTTTGTAATGGATACTTCACTTTATCAGGTTACATAGGACTCTTCCAACGGTTGGACAGGCAACAGCTGTGCTTCAATTTCACGGTCAACATTCTGCTCACTCTCTGAAATGGCGAGTTTTGTAATTTTTTGCAAATTCCTTAAAGCCCTGTGTCACCTAGTGTCGCAAACGTATCGGATATATTGAGTGATTCTTTGTTTTTGGCTAAAAATTCAGTCGGGGAAATTGAGACGAGTGAACCCCAAAGTGCATATCTTGTACTGCACACGGAGCACATGAATGCGAGTAAAAGGGAGTCATTTACACGATATATATGAACGAAAAGGTTGAAAGAGTGGAATTTATCACATTTGACATAATTTCAATTAATGATTTAACTCATTCGGCTTCTGGGTTAAGAGGTGCTCAAGGGCCAAATTTAACTCTGATTCCTTCATACGTTCATACTTTCCATGCCCGTTGTTTTCACCCTATTTTAGCAACCATTAAATAATTATTTACTTGTGCCAAAATGGCATTTGCTCTGCATAATTTCAATTTCTTAATATTTAAAGTACCAACTTCATCCTCATGATTTGAACTCCTTTGAGAAAATCGCTTCAGAAAATGATTACAAATAAACTCGTTCTTTTAAACTTGACGTCACCCAGAATTTAAGGAATTTGTGCAAAGCAAGCGAGTAGTTGGTTCTTTCGCTAAATTCTAAATTCCACACATTTTTACTATGTAGTTAAAAACGCATTTGAAATCAGACAAGTGAGGTACACATTTTGTGAGTGCACATTTTTGTTCAACCGAACGACCATTCCATTCCTTTCCAGCATATTAACAAGAAGAAGAGCATGGAGGATACTGCTCGTAGTTCAGTGTTACCAATTAATCATAAAATTCCAAAGAGATGACGTCCAATTTGTTATCCAAAACCCGGTAGTCAGCCCTTCATATACTTCTTGGCGCAAGTAGCAATATAAGATTAATCTCAATCCATGGAGCTTGGTCGTGATCATCGTCGTCGTCGAATATGATAGCGTCGGAAGGTTCGGTGGGACACGGGGCTGGCTTACGTATGACATAATTACACTCTCATTGAGTTCCTGTGACAAGTAAAATCCTTCCAACACCCAACAAACAGATTGCTTAAAAGATTTAGGGAGAATTTGTGGAGGTGTTTTTGCAACCCGCCCGCATTGTTCCGGCTCATTGGTCTCTGTCAGTGTGAGTCCTCTTGGAAATAAATCACTTTCCTTGACTCCAAAAAAATGACTGCTCTCACACTTTCTTCCAACTAATAGCGATTTGTGGTTCCTCACCCCACAGTCGTCTTATTATTATTAGTTGGGAGCACATATACGCGTCTCATCCAGTGTGGCATCATTACATGCTCACATTTATACCTCTCTTGTCTCGAAAGCTATCTGTTGGAGCAGGGAGAGAAAAAGAACTTGGCCAGAGAGTGGTACATACATACATACGAAGCGATTCCGTTAAATGGTGCACACAGGAAGAGGGCAACAACTAACTACCATTAAATCTCCGTAGTTTTGGTTTTCTCTTGAATGGTTCCCATTACAGAAAAGCTGCAAGTTGTAACTTTCGAGCTGTTCCTGTCAGAAGAATGAGTCGTTGGGGGGAGTTGAGCTCATACGTATTTAAATGCATATGAGGGAGATACATTATTAAGAAACTTATTGGTTTTCTTGGATGGATGGATTCACGCAGTAAAATAAAATCTCAACCCTGCTCCCTGCCTGCCTGCCTGTTTGTCTCAAAGACAGTCCAGACCCACAAATTTCTTGCCTCATCAAAATCCACCCTTTATTTCACACTCTTCTTGGGAGAGAGAGAGAAGCCAAACCAGGGATGGAACCACTTTATCGCCAAACATTACTCTGCCTTTAGTGCAAGGCTCGATTTTTATTGGACAATATTTCTCTATAATTGCACACGGTTTTGTTACTCTGCCGGATATTTCGGAGAGTTCGAAGCACAGTTTTTGGCCAGATTTCCATACTTGCAAAACTTTGTTGCTCGAAAAAGAGGGAGCAGAAATTTGGGTTGTTATTTCTTTCTCTCTGCGTTAAAAAGTAACGGAGTAGTAAAATTCTGTAGGAGTAACAAATGTATTATGACTCTGTGTAGATTTCAGTAATTTGTGACGGCAGTAAATTTCTCTGTGTGCTTTGTTTTGACACGAAATAAACTCAAAGTTTACTTATATCCTTCACAACACGGACACCCAGAGTCGTCATGACCCAAGCTCTACAAGTTGAACAAAGCCAGCTCAGTTTCGTGTAATGTGTGCATGGATCTCTATGTAGCAGAGAGTGAGAAAAGTATAAATTTAACTTCATTAAACTTAATGTGTATCGCATTCTCAAATCCGAACTTTACTGACAGCCCTGTGTGCTAATTACATTTTGAGAGCAAGACACACGCAGATGGTTTCGGTGCAATTAGACTCAAATATTTGAACTTTGCCTTCCTTATCTCCGACTCCATCGCTAAATTTGGTCTCTTTAAAAAATGCTGATTTCTTATTCTTCTTCTTACCCTGAATCCAATTTGTTCATGGCTGCGAGTCACACCAGCCTATTCATTAATGGCTGAGAGAAAGTTGCTGTGACCGAATGTCATGGTCCTGAAATATTGCCTCCTTTTCTAATTTTGCATGGCTGAATTCCATTTTGACGTGACGGATAAGCAGCGGAAAAGTTGGCGGTGCTACTGATTAATTATTCCTAAATTTCCTCTCCCGTGTGTGCTAATGTAGTTCTTTTTTTTACTAGTAACGTTTTGCAATCAGTGTTCTTTAAAATGCTACTACTCCTGAATTCATGTATGCGTTAATTGCCAATTAAGTAAGTAACAGCTGCATTTTTGTGTTGCATGATTTCGTCTCAATTTGGGTAAACCTGGAACTAAATAGTCTTGTTGGGATCAGTTGTTGAAATGTGATTGTTTTTGATGAAGGTAAATCGAGTCGTGTGGAAGAGAGGGATGAATTGGGGTCGGTGCGTGGAGATGAAGGTTTCATAATTGGTAAAAACTATCGCGAGTTTTCTCAACCTTATGGAGGTGAGGTGTCGCAGTATGGTCCGGTTTCCTATTTCCCTCACAATTATCCTAAATTACGCAATTTTATTGCACAATCTCCTTATGATACGCATTCAATGTATAATACATATTCACTGTATCGACACGCTAAGGTTCCTTCTAATAGCTCAGAGTGAAGTAACGAATAAACAGTACTAAAATTTCAAATCATTCATTTCACAGTGAGAATTATTGCAACAAACCGTTTGATTAGTTTTCTGCATGGATTAAAGGGAATCGCCAAGTTTTATGGGTGCTAGTCAGGTAAATGAGTATGACGATTCCATAGGCTTTGGCTAAGAAATATTTACGAACTTTGGCCGGGTTGCTTCCATTTGCACTACAAACTGCCTACCTTCTGCTATTATGTAACTACTAATTAGATGTCAGTGACGTATGCATTGAAACGCCCAGAACTCCACTCCATACGCATTCATATAAATTGAGCATAGTCAGGAGGACCAGTTCACCGTGTGTCCTTCACGTCAAATGAGAGGTGTCATAATAATTCATAATTTGCGATTTTATTAATTTACCAAATGAATCATATTAACTAATTACAATTACGCACCACAATTTCAGTAAGGCTCATTTAGTAAGTAATGGTTGACACTCCTCGTAGTTTTGATCACTACTCGTTGCAATCTGTTCTCCAGATTTCCTCATGGCACGAATATCACAACCGTCCCCTTTTGACAAGGAGGGATCACTTTCTCCCTTCGCACTCATCTCTTCCAATCCAACACTGGTATCCTTCCTTGGAGAGCACAGGGTCGTGGTGGTCGTGGAGGTTTCCTTCTTCTCGTCCCCTGATTTTGATGACAGGGTTGGTATTTCATGCTGTTGCGACGCATTTTCATCATCCAACGACTCCTGTTGGGATCCAGACCCTAACTTTGAACTGAATTGACGGACCATGCTAAACCTGGACAGAAATGATTGCTTTCGTTGTTGACCTTTATTTGCTCCGCCAACACTTCCCGTAATAATTGCCCCTGCACTTTCTCTCCTCCCGGAATCACTTCCTCCTCCAGATTTTCCTTTTAAGGTGCGCTCGTACAAACTGCTCTGCCTCTTGAGATTACCAGTCCCACCACTGCGCGAAAAGAAACCTGCACCTGACCGACTCTCGGTAGACCCAGTGGTCTGACCCTTCACCAGTGGTTTGTATCCCGACGGTCCACCCCCCGAACTGGCAGAACCTCTACGAAAGTCATCATAACTTCGCCCCACTTTGGACTTGGAAGAACCAACTTCCGCATGAACAGAGCTGCTCTCCACACTCAACGCTTTCACCAACGCCTTCATTCTTTTCGTCTTTGTTTGTAGCATGGACTCGAGCATGTCAAGTTCTGAGGGTGAAAGTGATCCCGTGGTGACGGCGGCAGTCATTTCTTCAATTTCATTCTCCAGCTCTCTCATTTCATCCACAACGGCGGAAGATGCGGCCGTAGTTGCCAACTGGGTCTTTTTTAGTTCCTCCCGTTTCTCCATTTCCTTTGCGAGCAGCTGGATTTCCCAGTCCTTATTGTCAAAGTCGTCGTCTCCGTCCTCTTCGACTTCTTCCTCCTCATCGTCATCATCGTCATCCAATGAAACCTTGGTCTCAGTAAGTTGAATTCCACTGCTGGCTTCGTTATCGTCTTCAGAAGTGGACTCGTACTCGGAGGTGGAAGCTTGACCCGTCATATCCAACCTGACATCATCCTCTCGTGCCCCCGACCCCCCATTTCTATTTGGTGGTGGGAGGGAGTCTCGATCTCGATGAAATTCCAGCTGCCATGGGGCCGGTGGTTCGACTTGACTTGTCCGTAGCGAACTCGCTTTTTCTGCTCCTCCTGATGGTGGCGAAGTGTGACCCCAACTGCCCCCCACAAAGTTGGAGGTGAACCCTTTCTCCTGCTGCTGTTTCCGAGCTTTCGGCTGTTGTTTCTTTCCATGAGAGGCGGAAGTGTGGGCCTCTCTTTCAAAAACATCATCATCATCGAAATACTCTTGAGCACTGATCACTGTGTCGATCGAGTCTCCCCTGCTGAATAGGAGGGACGCATCGCCACGTTGATATTCGATGTCGTCATCATCACTGCTCCCTTCCTCTCGATCAATGTGATTGTGGGGAAGGCATTGGCGTAACAAGGCTGCCACGCTCGTGCTCGAGTGACCATGGTCGCCGTAGCACTCGAGCTCTTGTATCCTCTCGTGGAGCAGAGTGATGAGTTGATCCCGTCGTTTCACCTCTTGTTCCAAAGTGTCGAAGCGGCTTTGGAAATGGGCACGAATCTCGTCGAGCTTGGTCTCGATAATAGTTCTGAGTCCTATCACTACACTCCCGATGCATTCCTCTTGAGCAAAGTTTAGTCCATGGTAGTGGACCGGGGGTGAAGTTGTCGTCGTTTTCTCCAACTCTGTGGTCTTGACTGGATGAGTGGTTTGGACCAAAAGGCTGCTAAGCGTCTTGATGTTCTTTAAGGAAGGAAAATATTTTACACCAATTAAGGTCAGAATTAATCTCAACATTGCATCGATAAGCATAATATTAAGAGATGCAGAACACATGACAGGTGTAACGTGCTAACAAGATAAGCATCAAAACGTGAATGGAATTATTACACGGCAGATGAGTTAACACTGCAGTCTAATAACAATTGTATTAACATTTTAGTAATAATGGGAATTGGGGTTCAAGCGAAATCAGGGTAACCACTTGGGTTTTGTTGACATTGGAGTAGTATAAGCGGCGATAAGGGAATGAGTGGAGAAGGTTGTTTGGTGGAGCGATAGGCAAACAGGGAGGCGTTACACACGAGCGTACTACGAGACAAACAACTTTTGCAGCGTTTCCACATGCAGGGCGACCCGGGCCCGTTTCTTCCGTACTGATCTGGCAACCTCCTCTGGATACCGCAACTGTTAGGCGTTCCTCAATCTGCTCAAGACATGCTGTGGAGTTGCACTAGCAGCGAAACGACCAAGCCATGCCATGAATCAAAGCAAAACAAGACACAAATATAAAAGTTATATAACCGTCCTCATTATCCTTATTATTTTAAGCAAAACATAAAAGGGAACCAATGCATAAACCCAAAATTCATAAGGCAGGTGATGGGTTTGAGCATAATTGGCGAGTGAGACGATGATAATAATAACAAGAGTAAAAGTCAATGAATGTTAAGCGTGACGTTGAATTTCGCTGCTGGTGGGATGTGAATTATTATTTGAGGGAAACGGTGCGTGCTTGTGATCACATTACCTTTGAAAGGATAAACAAAACGATAGGAAATTATTTAAAGAGCCAAGTATTTTCTTAAAGGTGATGTTAAATGTAGGATTTGAAGGGAGTTGAAATAACCTCACCTCTTGGGTAAATGGAGAGTTGGGGTCAACCCTGGCCGTGGCGGTGGTGGTGGTGGTTTGGGTCACAGAGTGAAGGACGACACTGGCCGTCACGGGAGGAGGCAGAGAAGTTTCCGGCTGCTGAGTCTCGAGAGCTGAAATTGAGGGAAGATGTAGAGGGGGAGTAGGCGCGGGGGGCGAAGAAGATGAAGTGGGCAGTTCATCAGGAGAACGTAGAGTAACTCCTTGACGGTGAAATGTTACGTTTTTTGTGTACTTACGATGTCTGGCTGCGTAGCCAAGGATGGTTTGAGACTTGAGTAGCTCTTTCTCCTTCTCATGCTCTTCACCTTCTTCCTGATCTTCAAATTGGGCCAATTTCTTTAGTATACTTTTCAAATTGCGTCGTTCGGGGGTTTCATTGTCCTCCTCGGCTGGTGGGGAGGAGGACGAATCTTCCGTAGAGCCCTCGTTCCCATCCGGTTTCTTGCCTCCTTTGTTGTTATTCCGACTGCCGGGTTTCTTGCGTCGCTTTCGTTTTGCAGAGTGAGTGGAAGTAGTATCGCTAGTGCTTGGGCGTGGTGGTTGTGTTGCGTACTCATCCTTCGAGTGGGGGCTGGTGAGTGGTGGTGAGATCAAGGGGGACTGTTGAACTGATACGTCTTCATTATCTCCGACCTGCTGGCCTTCTCGGTGTGATTGCGTCCTCCTCCCAAGGTGAACCGAGTGGAGGAGGAGTTCTGCATCTGGGCCGACGAGCAGTTCTCCAGGGACGGACGGATTTTCATTCGACCCTTCACTCGTGCTCCGAGTCAGGACGCTGTTGGCTGACTTGGTCATCAACAGTTCTGCAATTTTTTGTCGCTCATTTAAAATTTTTAGTTTTTTGATGAATGGAAGTCTTGAAAATTCTGGAGATAGATCATCCACTGACCCGTAGTTTTTACTCGCGCTGAGTTGCTGTCTTAAACGCAAGCCAGAGGGTCTTTCACCATCCGTCCCTGCTGCGACATAGTGTGAAACTAAAGAACTGTCCTCGGTGAGGTCTTCTTCATTATCTTCCTGACGTCGCTGTGAGGAGGAAGAGGAGGAGGAGGGCATATTTGCTAACGGACCTCGTGGAGGGGATGCCGTCCACACTGGAGGAAAGGAGGATGGATTTGTGGATATTGTAGATTTGGAAGACTCAGCTGTCGTGACTTTGAGCACTGCTGCTGCTGCAGCTTCACCTATGAGGAGGGAGGCAGACTTGGGACTGAAGGTTCCCAAGAGGGGAAGAGAGGAAGAAGCAGGGGACGAGTAGCCAGAACCCGGCCCTTCCGCAGAGGACACGCTGCCACGTTGTTGGTGGTCGCCTTGTCTGAGCTGGGCAGAGAAAGGCAATGGATGTTGGTGAGATTCGAGTGGGATGGCGGAGGAGGCTTTTTGATAAGTTTCCACCGCAGCCCTCGTGGTTTGTAGGTTGGGGGGTGACGAGGTTGGGGATGAGATGGAGAGATTCGAAGGGATGAGCATTTTGAGTAGGGCGTCACGTTCTTCTGCCTGCTTCTTTTCCCGTTCTTCCTTTTGTCGGAGAAGGCGTAGTCGTTGTATGAGGGGGAGGCCGGCACCAATCAGTTCTTGCGTTTCGACTGCTGCTGGGGCTGGTGGGGGGTGAGATATTGAGGGGGCACGAGGAAGTTGGACTCGTTTTGTGGCTGCGCTGAGAACGGATTTGAGACTGAGGGGTATACTTGTGGTGGGGGTGGAGGGGGAGGACGGTTCCTTTTCGTCGCTAAGGACCACGTTGTGCATTCGTTTCAGGACGCCACGAGGTGGAGGGAAGGATTTTGTGCCGTCGCCACGCACACTGGCAGAACTCTCCTTACGGCTGCGGCCAGATGACGAGGGTTGTTCTCCGTCAACCGTGCAAGATTCGGGGTCACTGGATTCCTCTTTGCTGGAAGAGACAATTCAATCAAATTTGCTTTCATATCGTTTAAGCGTTTGCAGATTTAAAAGACTTGGAATTTTGGAATAGTGCAAACTAAAGACTTGAGGTATTGGGTAACTTCACATTACAGTTTACCTGAACACAAATATTGGCATATGCATAGTTATACGTACGTAATACTATTATTGACACAATGCACACCAAACTTCCGTTTCAATGTACAATTGCACTTCGCACGATAAATTAAATACCAACCTAGAATTGCTCCTTCTACTTCTCCTTATCGCATTTCTCAGCCCTTTCACATCACTGCGCAACTTTTCCACGATCCTCTTCCTCGTGGTGGTGTCTACCTCCACGGCGACAACGTCCTTGTTGGAGTAGGTACTTGAACTCTGAATAAGGCCTGACGTTACGACGCCTGGGACGGGAGATCCTTTCTTAGGCTCGATCACCTTCTTGGGTACTGCCGGTCCGGATGACTTTCTCGCCTCCATGAGCCTCTTGCGACCCAGGGTTTGAAGTATTTCCTTCAGGTCAAAGTAAACAAACATATTTATTCCCAATTTGAAACATAAATAACATGAAGATTACAAGCTTTTTCAGCTTCACAAACGTTTTCCTTTTTTACTAACAGAAAATAGTCGATATTTCAACAATTAAATATGATAAAATTACTTGAGCTTCTGGATAATCTTTCATTGCGGCGAGGACGTCTTCTCGTGATAAGCTAAATAGTTCAGAGTATCCGACTGATCGGACGTCGGCTGTGCGTCTATGTTGAATTGATTATTGCTTATTATTAATGAATATCTTAATATGTAGATGGTTATCTTTCTTACTTATTCAATCCGTCCAGATTTAGAATACCAATCTCCCCAAAAAAATTTCCGGCTTCCATCGTGGTTAAAACTTTTCCAGTTTCACTGTAAATTTCAAAAACAGATGAGAAAGCATGATATTCGACTTGTGCGTATCTACATATCTGAGGGCATTCTAGTTAAGATTGTGAAACTCGCCTTATCACTTCTAGTATCCCATCAGCAATAATAAACATTTCCCGAGCTACTTCTCCCTTCCTGAAACGCAACGTTGTTATTTTTCCTCACTTTTATTCATAAATTGTTCATCAATCACTCAATTTAAAATGTCAATTACCGGCAGATAAGATCTCCCGGAGTAAATATATAGGCTTTCATCTTGAGCACAAGGTCGTGAAGGAATTCTGGTTGACACTCTTGGAAGATGGTGACCTAGCACATCGAGAAATAAAAAGTTCAACCCAGTTTTTGATTTCAAGTAAGAGCACGCCAAACTACTTTGTCCGTGTGTAAACTTGTTCAAAAATCTCTACTGTAAGTTAGAGTCTGTAACTTGAGTGTGAAACCTTTACCCTTGATTGAAGTTTACAAAGAAAACTTACAAAGTTTACAAATGAACAAAGATGACGTGGGTACTCGTAGTTTGTAAGGTATGGAATACTAACTTTCTTTAAAACACTCAAATTAACATGGAGGGCTAACTCAGTCTTTAGCTTATCGGGGAGGAGTCCCAGGGCTGTATTGATATCTCCTCCACCTTGAATCCTTCCTCTGTTTGGGCATTGATATAAAAAAAAGTTCATAATTTTAGATGAACGATTCCATTGAAAGTAGTAATTTACCTGGACCAGGAATAATCGTACCACCGAAGCACTCTGCGCTGCATGTTGCGTGGAACTTTGTGATGACGCATGTATGTCTTGGCCCCATCCTGAACATGAAATTGTGTAATGTAATAACACTTGGACTTGAGGTGTGAAGAAAGTGGTCATTAAATTATTGTCACTCACCAGTAGCCTTTCGAACTCGAGTCTATTTGCATTTCTATTTGTAATCACATTTCCGACTTGTCCTATGAAACAGAGTTAGGTCATTGGATTGGATATCACGAGACGAGATAATATTTTGCAACTAAAAATGCATACCAACTATTGTGGCAAAGATGAAGACTCCAATAAGGTAGCTCACAATGGTGAAAAGGTACCTGGGACAAAACAAGCATTTTTAAAACATTGTAATTTTACAGAGGGGTTCGCATTCAACCAAAAATCTCTTCTCTCATTAGGAAGCTGTTCTTAATTCATGTAAAATTACTTGGTGTCATTCCTACTTGTCGGTTCCAACTCCCAAAAATATTCATATGCATCTCTAGTCATTTCTTGGAGCCGGACAAATTGACGCATGGATTTTAGTTTTTACTTATAATCTGACCATACTAGTAATGACTTCACTTTGAATTGAACATTCGTTACTGAACAGCATCCAAGAAATCAGAAGAGATTTTTAGGTTTGCATAATTCTAAATATGAACCGACTAACCCACTGTTACTGCTCATGTAGCGAAGTCTCGACTTATAACTTTGTGCTCGTTGTCGCCCCGTTATGTTATTCGTCGTCATATTTCTTCAAGAACACAAAAAGTGTAGTTAATCCAAAATATTCAACGAAAATGCATATTTATTTATGCCACCATTTGTTACGAGGCCATACACACGCAAACTTAAATACTCAAGTACAAAGCAGTTACGACAAAGTAAAATAGTTTTAAAGCAAATCATAAGTAATATAAATCATTTAACAAAAAATACTTAAATTTCGCAAAAACTAAAACTAGCTTAATATAATTTTGCATGAGAATAATTTTGGGAGTGAATCCGACCCTTTTTGAGTGAGCTTTACATACGACATACAAATGCAAAGCTGCTCTCAAGTTCTCCTCTAACTGGTAGGATATATTTGCATACTTATGTCGACGTAGACTCTAGTTTTATATGTAACTCACTGCCAATTGGAGTGTGGAGGAGGAAGGTCACCAATCGTCGTGAGTGTGAGCGTTGACCAGTACAGGGAGCCCAGGTACTTTCTCGTGAGGGGGGCAAACTCTGAAAAGTTGTTGGGATTGGGATACCCCCAATGACCTGCATGACATCATGTCACAATTATGCTCAAGTTTACGCGAATATTTGTCACCAAGTAAAAAAAGTAGTGACCTTCGAATCCTTCCGCTTCAGAGATGAGGTAATAGAAACAGCCAAACCAATGAGCAAGTAGTAGTAAAATGTGGATAAGATTTACTACTCTCCAAACGTTAGGGTACACGGTTCTCGATTCCACCATGTAGTAGTAGTTATAGATTCGATATACTTTCAGGAAGCGAGGAAATCTAGAAAGACAAAGAAAACCAGTCAGCATTTCTCTACACACATCACAACCAAATTACATATTGTTAGTGTGCATGTTGCGGTGGGTTTTTAAAAATGACAACCACCCTGCACTCGTCTTGTCACCATATTTCACGCCTCATTCCTCTTTTACTAACAAATAGCTGTTCTACCTCCCAGTATGCAATAGTACGCAACCTAATGCGAGTACAAATGAGACAATCTAAGGATAAGTTTGAGGTCTGCTGTCTTTCACGTATCCAACCATCCGTTCATGGGTGAAATCGTAATTGTAGGGAACTAAATACATTATTACCAGTTAAGCGAAACCAAGTAGCTCCCAAACACCCCTGCGCATACATTTTATTCTTACCCTATTATGACACCACTGGACTTTAGTTCAAGATGTTTAAGATCCACTCACTTTGGTGTGTGTGTGTGTGGGCATTGTTTTGAAAGGTCTTAATTTTGAAACATGATGGAAATTTGACCCAAGTAAACGATCCTCTCGCACCACCACTTGCTCAGGAAACGTGTGCATTGCGATTGGGAGCTTACCAGTTATTTCGAGCTTGACTTTTACTCACAGAACGACTTGGACGACCTGCTGGGTAAGACGTGAGGACGATATAAAGCCCCTGCTGTTGTTTGTTTTGTTATATTTAGAAATGCTAAAGGTTATTATAGCAAAATATATTGGATATACTGACAGCAAATATGTACATAGGCTCACTTTCCCTACCTAAGTATTTATCATGTAAGTACTTACATAAGCCTAATTGATTGGTTATTAAAATAGTTGAACTCTTCGAGGTGGAGTTTGTTACTCCATTGTAAACATTTAAAAATAACAGCTTTCTTTAACAAACTGATGTCACTTGGAACCGTTTAAGCTGTAATCAAGACATGCTGTTCTCTTAATTTGACTAGATTATTGACAAGGTAGAGTGGGAACCAACCTGAACATGGGGTTGACCCCAAAGTAGAGTTGAAAGAGGTCAGTGGGGAGGAGGGAAAAGAGGTCGAGGTAAAATGGCTTAGATCCGACATAGTGCTTGGCGAGCTTCTTTGTCTGATAAACCATGAGTCCTTGCTCCAAGTAGCCGGTACGAAATTGGACGGCGACATCCAGTAGGAATATGATATCACTAAATGCATCCGACAGGATCCAGAAGAGTCTGGCATTCGCCTAAGGTTCAAACGAATAAACAGACAAGGTAAGCATTCGAAATAACAATCGTGTCCTACACTTGAAACGACGTTGAGATTGTAATTGGCAAATTATTTGAGAGCTTTTTATGGTCTGACACTGAATTAAGTTGTCAAAAGTTGTCTTATGTAAAATTCTGGGTGTTTTTTAAACAATTAGTTTAGATTTAGCAAAGAAATTGGTTCAACTCTACCAAGGATTGCAGGATTACAACTGTTAGAACTTATTGACGTGAGTACACCCAACGCTTACGGACAAAATGCTAACAAACCATGTATTTTAGGGATTACCTGAAGCTCTGGAAAGCTCTGCCGCACGATAAGTGTCCAGAGATTGTAAAGGACACATGTCGTCAGGAGCATCAGCCAATAGAAAAAGAAGTTGCTGTCCGGATTGACGACGGACCGTGGAAGACTGCGTCGCTTCTTCCTCCCCTGTTTCGACCATTCCCCACCACCTCCACCGGATCCGTCGTCATCTCCAATCTCAAAAGTTTCCTGCAATTGGCGAATAATAAGAACAATTACTACTCGCACATCAGGTCAATCTCTTCACAAACTAAATTAATTAATTAACATAATAAAAATCTACGGTACATTTGTAGCTATGTTTCACGTAGAGTGGACAAGATCATTCTCTCAACTATCCACAATCCACCCAATTTTAATTGTTTGTTGACTATTAAAATTATAATCCACATTCTGCAACTACGTGTAATTGCTACTCTGTTGGATGGATCAAGTTGAGACGAGAGGCATCCGCTGTCTCACTTTCCTATTCCTGCTGGAAAACCTGAGGCTGAGGCCGATTCAGCTCTGCCCTCTCCATGCATCAGAGGCCATAGGTTGGATTTTCACTACCGAGATGGAGCAATGTTCCCCGAATTCGGATTGAGCACAGTTCTCACAAACTCACAACTCGACAATCTCAATCCTCCTCCTCTGGTACACGTAAACTAACGCAAGTGTGCATCCCATGCTGCAACAACTAACTTCATTCAAGGTAGAATTTTAAGTCTGTTTTGCAAATATTCGGAAGGTTGGTAGAATTTCGAATAATTCCTATTACACCGAATGGGGAAAATCCGCTCGAGGTTATCACATGCCCTCCACCACTTATGTAATACATAATTGCATCGTCTACTTGCATAACTATGGGAATAGAGCGATTCACCTATTGATGATAACCCACCACGATTTTGCCACTTTCCAACTATGCGTATATGCAACATGCCTATCTCCTCGGCCAGACATGATGCCCGCAGTGCACCCCTTCCTCCGTTCGCTTTCTTTGTACGAATATACGTGGGTATTGTGTTGCAAAATGTAGCGGAGGGGAGGAGAAAGTATGCTACCCCCGGTCTTAAATCAACTCCTGCTGCGTCCCGTTTAGTTGGAGAGCACTTTTACTTTTCACTTTTGGACCTGGATCAAGTTTCCTTGAATATGTTTGCTGCTGCTGCTGCTGCTCAAGTGCTCAAGCTCTGCGAAGAAAGTGGCAGGAAGTGGCTGCTGGCTTGGTTTGACTTTTCTCCTTAGTTTTCTGATAAATGGTAAATATTGCTGCCATCATAAATTCATTGCAATCCACATTATCACCAACTGGTTGTCATAATACAACAGGATTTGTCCCCTACTTTCCCTATAACAGGTTTCCCCATTCTCCAGCATTTTTCATCTCTCCTCAAAAGTATTGAAGGAGGTATCTCATTTTCTCCAGTAGTAGCTCCTCGAAGGAAACATGAGCCAGGCCTGTCTCCTCTCCTCTCCTCGGGCCATAAAAACAGACCAAATTCTACAAAAACTTGCTTTCTATCACCCAAACTTATGAACAAGGTCTGGAAAGAATTTGTCTTTAAGTGGAGCCCTCAAGCGAGAGGAGTCCCTTCTTCTTCTCACTTATGTACTCTTCACTCCATTTTATAAAATCAAGACACGAGAGGTAGAGTCGAATTCTACCCCATTGTACACACTTCTCTGGTTCATTAGTATAATTGAATATGCAGCAGGACGAAAAAAATCTCAAATTTGTTGAATCGCACTAAAATAAAATATAATGGCAGCCTGTTCTGGCAGTAATTTTCTTATCTATTCTTCCCCATCAAATAAACCAAGTGTCTCTCTCTCTCTGTTTTCACATGCTGAGAAGAAGAAGAAGAATTTCGCCTGGACGGGCTGCATTCTGCTGCTGCTTCTTCTTCTTCTTCTGATTACTTGCACAAATTGATGCGCATTTAGTTAGAATCTCTCACTTGTTCTCTGACAATGCGATGGTGTGAAGTGTAACCCTCCGATTTGGCTGAAATTTTAAAATTAGGTGGTCCAAGCCAATACAACTAACGTTTCTTCAGGCAGTTTGTGCGATGGTGAGAGTTACTCAAAATATTTGAGGTCAAAGTTCAAAAAACGGCCGACTTTTTTCAGGCGGAGTGAGAAAACTCCACTTCCATTCTCTTCCCCTCGCTTTAATTTTATTCAGGCGTCTCGCTCATGCATACGCCTTCATGCTCAAGCACAAGCTTTGATGCAAAATAATAAAAAATAAACATTAGTAATTATAGCTTAAAGAGCAATTAATACGCATTATACATACTTAATTTAATTTATAATTAAATAAGTGAGATTTTTACTTATTTCTAGTACAAATTTACATAAAAGTTAATTTATAAATTCGCCAACGGCAAATAAACATGGAAAAACTTAACTTGCTTTCCATTTCGAAAGCGTTGGTTATTCTAATATCCAATTATATATTAATATTTTAAATGCTCCTGTGATTCGATATTGTTGGTACTCAAGCGGATCATGGGGTGATGACGAAAAGCCCGAGTTTAAAAATGTAAGCGAAGTTTGTTTTAGAGAAAAAAATATTAGTTGCGACCTGAATTGTGGCAATCCCACATTCATCAAATTCAGCTGGTGCAGTTTATCGTATTGTTTTGTGGACTTTTATGAAAATAATCATATAGTCACATGTGGAATGAATAATTAATATTTTTCTATAAAAAATTAAATTTAAAATTGTTGAAATGAATTATTTTTCGGAGTGAAAATCAAAGCGAGGGGAAGAGAATGGAAGTGGAGTTTTCTCACTCCGCCTGAAAAAAGTCGGTCGTTTTTTGAACTTTGACCTAAAATATTTTGAGTAACTCTCACCATCGCACAAACTGCCTGAAGAAACGTTAGTTGTATTGGCTTGGACCACCTAATTTTAAAATTTCAGCCAAATCGGAGGGTTACACTTCACACCATCGCATTGTGAGTAGAGGGCTAACTATGAGCGGTGGTGACTCTTGATAATGTAACGACCCATGCACATTACCATCGTGCACCTTTCATACTTTAGTTACTTTAACGAAGAAACTTTTTGAATTAAAAATTCATCAGGAAGCGAGTGTCAGAGTGAGAATTGAGGAATAAAGTAACTTAATCATCTTTTCGTCCTAATGCACAAGTAATAATCGTATTAAACTATTTAAACTGGTTCTCCACTTCTGCTCCTCAACTCCTCAGCCCGACCATTTCTCCATCCTTTCCCTCTCCGTCCCTCGACTTGCGGAGAAAGTTCAGGGTTCAACACGAGGTTTGCTTTATGAATGGAACACAGCCTCTCATTTTCCTGTCAGTCGGCTGAAACATTACGCCACCCAAATGTCGACAGCAATGAAAATTTGAGAATTTTGAAATGTGTAATATTTAATTAAACATGGTGGATTTTAGCAGCTGTGCAGTGAGAGATAAGGCTCTTATATAATCCTTCCTATGCGATTCATTCACGGAAGGCTAATTGAAGGGCGGATTCACTTCCTGACTGTAATTACCCATTTGATTCAACGGGCTTGCAAAATTTCATTTAATCTCACTCTTCTTCCGTCATCGTCAAAGCCAAAACCCCCACTTGGACCTGAGTGTTTGTAAATCTGTGTCACACATTATTGTCGTGCATCCAGCTCCTCGTCCAACTCCAGCCATCCAATCCAACCTGCCACTGACCACCCGCTGATCCCATTCCAGGAATTCCACTCCTCCTCTCATGCCCCAATGCAGGGAGGACAAGACAATAGGAAAATCATTCCATTCTCTCTCTTTCTCTGTCGCTTGCGTTTTTACGATTTGGAAAGAAAAGTGTTATTCCACCGCCATTTCCTCTCCTTTCTTCCTTGGGAGCAATTTTCTCAGCAGTTGAGAATGTGCCAAGTGGCCGAATGAATGAATGAATTGGTTGTGGAATACTGTAACGCCACGCCGTCTCAGTTAAGGAAAATCTCGTCTTTTCCTTAACTGTCGTCATCCCGAGAGAAGAGACAATAATGGGCCAGGTTTAATCGACCATTGCAGTTGGGTGCATGGTCCATTGTTGCTTTCCCACCATTTGGATACTCTCCACACGAAGCCTCGTCATCCTCCACCGACCAACTTTCTCTCGCCTCTCTCGTTATTCCTAACGACGAGTCGGACGGACGAGGAGGTGTTGAGCCATCCCTGTTGTTCGAAATCTTCATATCTTCATGACCAAGTGTGGCGCTGTGGCTATGCGACCTTGAACCTGAGACAGACTCATTACAAGCATTTATTCAGCCAAGCGATCCTAATGTCCACCCACCCACTCCACCATCACCATTCGCCATCAATGTCACTCGTTCCGACTGAAAGTGATGCGAGGCTGGAGAATGAACAGACTTTCTCTGCTGGCCTTGATTCCCTCGAACAACTCAACAACCTCGACTCACATGGAATTGTACATGGATTTTAATTCGTGCATGTACGTAGGCAGGTCTCTGCCCAGAGGAAACAATGGAGCAGCACATTACGGATGAGATCGCTGGACCTGACTGAACCCAGTACTTCTCGACTACAAGTTTTTATGCTTTTCGAAATTTATTCCGGTTTGACCAGTCGTTACTCTTCCCACCGAATCAATACCTTCTTTCTCTCTCTCTCTCTCATCCTGTAAGAGCACACGTAGATATTTCAAGCCTCCTCCTCTCCCCCATCGTCGCATCCACTGGAAAGATGAAGGCAGAGTGGATAACTATATTTCATCTTTGATGGCTTTAAACTCTGGCTAGTTTTATTCTGGGAATGGTTATAAAATGAAATATTGAGTTGCGACTCTCACCGTCTCAAATTGTCCTGCCCATTGTACGCATTATCCGCCTGCCTGGCATGGTATTTCGAGAGTGTGTATAATTCATGTACCGTCATCTCTCCTGTCTACCCGGAAAGGATGATGCCCTCTTCTTCATCTATTACCAACATTACACGATCCACTCCACCAAGCAAACCCCACCAAGTGCTCGGCTTTGACTTGTCTCGTGTCTAGCGTCAGTTTGGTCAGCCTTCGCTCTGCAGAATGGAACTACACGACTTTCCTATTATGGAATTAAAAGTCGCTCTCCAGATGTGGACGTGTATTCAAAACCCCGACCGAAATAATTTAACGTGGGGTATGGGCATCTGCCAAACGAGGAAAATAAGGAACCAACAAGCATCGTCGG